ACTATATATAGATGACAATTGACATTCATTTTTTTTGTAAGCGGTAATGGAATGGTAGGCTGCATGAAGATTATAATAAGGTGTATAGTTGAAGGATAGGCGTGTTAAGAAAAGAATGACAATAAAAGTCAAAACATTCCGTAGGATGTAGCACTGCGGGAGGCAGTTGAAACACTGGTAGTACTTATATAAGTTTTTGGTGCGTCCTCAAGTTGGAGGTTTCTGGAAACTAAATTGATGTGTATATATTGAAAGGCTTAAAAATAAATTAAAATCAAATATACTGTACCAGTAAGTATATAATATTAAAGATATTATAGTAAAAATGTATTAGTTTTATCACAACACTATGTTATGATTTTCAATCTCTAATATAAAATTTAGTTGGAAATAATCATTTTTACTATCGATATTGAACAATTTAAAGCGTTTTTAAGCGTGAAAAAAAAACGTAGTAAAATAACACATACATTATAACATAATAACAAATACACACACAAAAAAGATAATGCAGCAAGTATCTCAATGCAATAAGTCTCTTGGCCACCGCCTCAGCAGTCTTCTGGGGGGATTATATGGATTTGTGGCAGTAGATAGAGCTTGAGTAAGTGGATTGGAATTTAGAGTCAGTCTGTCATGAAAATTATTAAAGCGGTCAGTGGCAGTTGCCGTGATGAAAGGAGTGTCTCTATCTAAAGTATTCGAAAAAATTCTGTTTCGGCGTTTAAATTCACTTAGACTATTTGATGTCATTCCAAATTTCCAGTACGGGTTCAAAGAGCATCATTCGACTATTCAGCAATGTTACCGGCTCATAGATTACATATCTTTCTCGCTAGAATCAAAATTGTACTGTCCTGCCGTTTTTCTTGACATGAGTAATGTATGAGTCAGGCTTTTGATAGAATATGGCACGATGGTTTGTTACATAAATTAAAAACGATCATTACTCCTACGTATTACTTAATTTTACTATCATATCTAAAAGATAGATTTTTCCGTGTGAAAATGGGGACTGAGTTTTCTGTCATCAAACATATAAAAGCTGGAGTACCTCAAGGCAGTGTCTTGGGTCCAACACTTTTCAACATTTACTGTGCAGACATCCCACAACATTCTGAAACACTGTTGGCTACATTTGCTGATGACTCGGCAATATTAACATCTAACAAGGATGCAGCAAAGGCTTCTCAGGTACTTCAAGAACACCTAGACGACATAGCTTGTTGGGCTAAAAGGTGGAGAATAAAAATTAACGAGTCTAAGAGTCAATTTGTTTCATTTACACTTAAACATAACTCTTGTCCTCCAGTGTTCTTTAATAATATTGCTCTAACACCTTCAAAAACTGTACGATATTTGGGTCTCCACTTGGACAAACGACTGACATGGACATACCACATAAAACAAAAAAGAAAAGAACTTAATCAGCGATACGGACTTGTTTCTAGGCTACTTGACAGACGTTCTAAATTATCTGTAACTAATAAATTAACTACTTACAAAGTCCTCATTAAACCATAAACAAATAAAGATAAAACAAAATATATGATAGTAAGCCGAAAAATCGATCGCAACAACAGGATGAAAAATAATAGTCCCTGGTACAGACCCCTTTTTGTCAAATTATTAGCATTCGCCTGAAACTACGTGAATAGCTTCATCTCATCGTAACCAACAAATATTTTATTTACGAAAACTCTCGGAATTGGGGCGTCTTCAATCTGGAGAGGGGCAAATTTTGTCTATTTAATTAGGTAGTAAAAGCTCGTAAATACCCATTTGCTTTCCATTTGGATCGTAAGATAATTTAATCACAAAATCGGGATGAAAGATAAGAAGCCTACACAAATATAGAGCCGTTTGGCGTGTCCTGCACCCTCAAATTGTCAAAATAAAGAGGTCATATATGCCAAACGGCTCAATATTTTTGTAGACTATTTTTTTTTGGATACTATTAACGAAGAATGAACAAGATTTGGTAGGCCAAAGACCAACAAGGACTATAGAATAAACAAAAAAAAAAAATCATAAATCAAACCTTTTTTTCTGGCCATGCCAAAATAAGTTTTTCATATACTTTTATTTTAATATTTTTGCAATTTTTCTAAATATAAATTACATTTTAACAATTTTAGCTCAGCAATTAAATCGATCAAACAGCTTAAATCTCCTGATTGCGCCAAGTAATTCACAGGTTGCCAATATATAATTGGTAGGAACGGATTTCAAAAATAAATTTAAAATTATGATTTTCAAATTGTAATCTATATTTATACGGTACGTATTTAAAAAAATCTAAATTAATTTTTTTTTTTATGACATTTGTGTTTTTTCTTTAATTTATGTATCACTTTCAAATATGTATTTATAAAAATAAAATCTGCTGAAAATATATATACCTACATTTTTATGGATTACTCGAGTTTTTAAATACATGAGTGACTCACTGGTTACTAATTTTTTCACGATAATTGACGCCTTTATGATATTTTTTTAAAAACGCAATTTAGGGAAGTATACCTTCTACCCTAACTATTTTCTTAATGCTTAATTTTTTCTTAAAATGCTTTATATAAAAGCCTAATTAAATCTATATTAATACTCATATAGTCCTAATATATGTATGTATGTGTTATGATTTTTTTATATCAATGATAAATGCATCGATAATTGAAAATCGCATTGAGAAAAATGTATTTATTTCATTGCAGTATAGTATAGTGTAGTATAGGAACACACCGAAAATTGCTACATAAAACGATATATTGAGTTATATAATCGGTTATTATTGAGTTATTAAGTAAAACCCAATGTTTAATTATAGGTGCATATTTTTTATGAAATGTCCTTTGGTATATTTTAAATAGTCCAAAATATTTAAATTCAAAATGTTTTGACTAGGACCTGTGATTTGTAATCGAGACTGAAGAGTGGGGTGGCCGAATATATAAACCAACTTGCACCAATGCACAACCGAAATTCAGCTCCCAGCTACCTCGCTCTTCCAACATGATCAAGGTAAATATATTTTTTTAATGTGATCAAATCAAATTTTAAAATGTCATAAAATTTGTCTGTTTCCTCAACTTTTAAAAGTTGGTATTAAAAAACTCCAAAAAAAAAAGATTTTTTGAAAACAAAAACCATATTTAGTTGGTATGAATATACCGCAAAACTATGTATGAGTAAATCGAAGACAAACAGTTTCAACATTTATTTTTCATTGGTTCAATTGACATTTAATGACACTAAGTTAAGTCGCTATATTTATTCTATGTGATTGTATTAATACATACATTGGGTTAATTAATCAACAAAAACAAAGTAGGATTTTGATCAGATTTTTTCCTTAAAAACTCTAAATCATGGTAGCCAGTTTCTTGACAACTATTCAAGATAAAGGAAATTAGTGTACCATTGTAAGAAATGGCGGAAACTTATTGATTATTTAGTTATTACTATAATTATAATTGATAATTTATCGTGAATATTAAAACGCTGTGGAAAGAGGACCCATGACGTAAGTTCTAATTCAATTGTATCAAATAGTTTTATAAATAGTTTTTTTAAGTCTTGTAAAATTTTGCAGTTGGATTAGTTTTTTCGCAGCTGCGATATATTTTTCATTTTGGTTTGTTTTTGAGTTCGTTTTTAAATTTTTTAATTCTCATTAACTAGTGAACTGTTTTCACTTTGGATGTATGTAACATTACAGTTCATAATCGTAAAGAAACTAAATATTTAGAAGAACATTTTTCGAGTATTCATACAGTCAGAGATTCAATGATTCTTGTCCATTTCAGTAAAATGAGCTCATTAGATAAAATGTGTAATTTTAAATTAAATTCTTAAAGGATTATCTAATATTTAATGTCGACCATCATTTATTTTTTCTGTTCATTTGGATAAATCACTACGTCGTCAAATTGCGCATTAATAGATAGGTTAATTACAAGTATGTCCTATCACGTCACATTCTTACGTATAAAAAACAAAAAAAAAAAACTTTTACAGCTTCGATTTAATAAAACACTATAGACTATAACCTTTGGGTGAAAGCCAATTTGAGGACAATTACCCGATACCAGATGCAGATAGATACCGATCTGAGTTGGATATAGTGGGAGGTGTATCTTTTTGAGGAATGACTCAGTGAGGCATTCCTTCAACATCCTGATGATGGTAGGTACCAGGTTTTTGAAACGGTTGTGAACAATACAAATATTGGTGCCAAGAACTCGTAAATTATTACCTATTAGAATACAAAATACAATACAGCGAGATATTTAAGATAGTCACATTCTATGTTTTTTTTATTCTCACATATAAGTCAGTACCATTCAACAAACTGTTAACATTCAGTAAATGAAATGTGATTTTTTTTTCCTACCCCCCAGGAATTTCTTGATTACAATATATATATATATATATAAATGTTATATATACATAAATTTTCAATTACCTTTTATGACCCAAGGGCATTTTAAGGTAAGAGTTATGCACGCTGTATACATTCTTTGCATCTGTGGCCAGAGGCCTTTTATTATATCACTGGGCGTGGAGGGACCGAGCCTGAAAATGAAATGTGATGAAATATTGTCATTAATTTATCGGAGAGATAAATTATTAACATGTCGGGCATGGGGAAGGATAGCACCCAGTAGAAATTTTCCCCTAGTTTGATTCAGTTAACTATGATTTGTTAGAAAATGAGATATCTTATCTAATGCTTTTTTAGTCTTTTAATCATAAACATCGGCATGTCCATTTAAATTAGAAGTAGTTGGTAAAGAGTTCTTAAACATGAGCAAACAGTTGGTAGGTTATTTTTCAATAACTAAGGTTATTTTTTTTTTAAATGTACGCCATAGTTGTTAATAAACAGTAATCAATAGTAGCTGTTTACCACATTCCACCTTACCATATTCGACACAACATAAACATGATTTCATTTTTATTTTTATTATAGTTTGAAATGATATCCAAATATTTTCAATATGGATATTTTACAGTTCGTAGTCCTCGCCATCGCCATCTCCGCAGTGCACTGCCAGTACGGCGGCTACCACCAGGAGGCACCGCAGTACCACGAGGAGCAGTACTACGACCCTCCTCACTACCAGTTCCACTACGACGTCCGCGACGAGCACACCGGCGACATCAAGAGCCAGCACGAGCAGAGGGAGGGGGACCACACCCAGGGAGAGTACAGCCTCGTCGAACCTGACGGCTCCTTGAGGGTGGTCAAGTACGTCGTCGAAGGAAAGTCTGGATTCCAAGCTGAGGTCCAGAAGGAGCATGGCAAGTACAAGCCAGCTCCCGAACCAAGCTACAGGAAGCCTGAACCATCCTACTACAAACCTGAGCCAAGCTACTACAAACCCAGATATTGAATGAAGACTTGAAGAGCAGTGTAGATCTTTTAATTTTATTTATTTTTTAATATAAATAAATTTTTATACTTTTTTTATTTATAAAATTATGTGTCCGATGAACTATTTATTCCTCATTCCTTTTATATTTCTCATTATAAATTTTTAATCAAATCTAAGAAACGTTAGCTTGGATGTTAGATGAATGGCTGAAGTCCATTGTAAACTTTTTTTTCTAAGATAAAATAATTAGAACAATTTATTTTATTCATTTTGTTTACTCGTTATTAGCGCTTTTGTATTATTAATTTTCTTTTGTCTTCATCTCTTTAAAATGACTAAATTAGAGACCCGATAATTGGCCTATTTGGCTTGAAAGAGCTGTTGACAAAAGTTTAAAAACTGGAAAAAGGGCGAAAACCATTTGAAAACTTTCGTAATTTATACTAAAATTTAATTCCACTTCTACGGCATTGTTTTGTCTAGAAAACTATCTTTGTCTGGGTGTACTAGAGTGATGCTCTATAGTCCTGGAGCTAGGGCCCAAAAATCACCCTGATCGCAGGCGAAGGTTTGATTGTAAATTAAGAAATTTTATGTCATTCTGAGTAAAAAGAACCTTGTCTGCCGTTCCAGAGCCCCTGCTTTCAAAATTGGTGGCTTATTTAAAGAATATTAGGCCAATAATTTGAGGATCGAAACGATAAATCCATTGCGAAAAGATTTTACTTTTTTAACTTGTATATCTGGATTTAGAAATGTAAAAAAAAATTGCTAATGCGGTCCACTAAGGGAAAACTTTTCACAGACAAAAAAGTCAGATTTTTATTATATTTTTTGTTTTTTTCACCTCCTAAACGATGCATCAAAGCGAAAAATGCATTCTTTAATAAATTAAAGGACATTAAATTTTGCGTCAAACGAGTACATAAACTTTATAATTTGATTACGCACCATGGTCAACCAACGCTGATTTTTACCAAATTTGTCAAAAACTGAGACAAATTTCTATAAATGGCACTATAACTTGAGAAATGAGTTCCCTGTGACGAAAAACCCATAGAATGAAAGTTGTAGAGCATCAAATTTTGCTTTAATATGACTGATGAATTAATTTTAAATATTAATTGTTTATTTGTGTGCTGGAACACGAAAAGTTTAATGACTAAAAAATAAATCACCCCTCTTTGTAAGTATATAAAATGTTACCATAGCGAATCATACATAACATATACGAAAAATAATAATAACAAAAAAGAGCAATGTTACCGTACTCACTCGATTTATGTCTCTTCATATTTGTAGTGTTGCTCTGCCGGAATGTCGCTCTCAACTCTCATGTATGCCTAACTTAATTAACTTTCTAATTATTTGAAATTAAAAAAGATAGATTTTCAAGCAAATAAAAATATTATAATAGTTATTGTGTAATTTTAAAATGAATTTAATAAAATTTGAATTATGGAAAAATATCTATAATTAAAAAAAATGTATAAAATTTTTATCCACTTAAAAAAAACCATTAATTAAAATAAATTAAGAAAAATTTACTAATATCCAATAAGAAAATTTTTTTGTGTGTAATGAGAGGAGCCTGCTGCTGTAGACTGAAGATCCTGAAACCGTCACTCTCACATAAAAATAATAAAATTGGTAAGTAATACATATTTTATTGTATTAAATAATTTTATAAATTTTAATACTTAAATATACATGAATGATTGTGATATATTTAACTATTGTTTCCAATTAATTATAGATTTATTTTTCTATAAATTTGTAATCAGTTGAATGAAAATTTACATAAATGTTTTGATTGATAATAGATTAAAATATACTTTTACTGATACTATAGCAAACACTGCCCACTAGAGAATATATGACCTACCAACCTTAATTATGTTCATATCTTAATTATAAAAAAGATGTATTTATTAAATTTCAAATTTTTAGTTATTGTATTTACCTAAGAATGAATTTAACTATAAACTAACAAATAATCGTAATGTGTATTAAACAAATATTCAAAGAAATAAAAGTCTTAAACCGTACACAGATAAAAATTAATATAAAAAATTTTGAAATTAAATAAAAAGCGTTTAAATAAAATTTCACAGTATAATGAAAACAGAAAAAATATCGTTCGTCGCTCTTCAGACAATAATGCTTGAGTGCTGCTTAGGTCTTTTATTTTCAATTGAAGTTGATTTCTCCCTGGGACAAATACATTTTATTTTCTTGTTTTCATAATATATTGCATTTTACTTACTGTCCTATAGAACAATGTTAATGGATGCAAATTTCCAAGCAAAAAAACACATGTCCATGCAAGGTCCAAAGTGGGCAGGGGCTATGGTCCAGAACAAACACAATTTTAGAGAGATGAAATTCATAACAATAAACATGTAATGTAAGAGAAATAAAACAGTATGAATAATATTATTAAAAAAATAACTTAATTTCCAAAAAGACCTTTTGATAACTTAATGGACTTATATGGACCATAGCGCATGCTTAGAACTTGTTCCACTAACCTCGCGGCACACGAAGGCTGCTTACGGATTCCTGAAGATCTACTAGAAGTTCTCAGTCCTGTAACACAAATAAATATGTATTAAAATAAAACAAAAATAATAAGTTATAGCCATTTTAACTTATATAAATAGCTAAGTTTTTTTCTTTTCAAGCCAATTCATCATCCCATTCATACACCTCTACGTCGTTTTATCGTTTATTTAGTAAGTGTTGAAGCTATTAATGAAAGACTATTTTCAATACTTAAGGTAATTACCAGTTCATTTAGACTAAGGAACTCAAGTTTTTTAAAGTATTATAATATATATATTCTTTTACAACTAATTCTTACCCCGCTGCCGCTATCGGAGACAGCGTGGATGTTCTAAGAGTTTCTGGAAGTCAGCTGCAGTTTTGTGTGGATGTTTCTTGATCCTGTAATGAAAACAAATTAAATATAATAATAACAACTCAGTTTTTTTATACTTTTTTATTATATCATTTTTTTCCTAATCGGCTTAATGAGTAATATAGTAAGTATTTTTATTTTCCGTCCTCCCCTTCCTTGCCTTTTAGGTCATACGAGGTTTTTCTTTGCCCAGGTAAAGGCGGAGGATTAAATGCCAGAGTGTCCCCTCCCCACTCCAGCCACCGGGACACGACTCTTAATTATTTTTATCACGTAAACTTTGGTTTATCTGGTTGCAGGCGCCGCACAGTGGAACGAAACGCTAAAATCGGAGACAAAATACCAATTTTCAAGTATTTTATTCCTCAAAAAGATTTATACATTCTTGAAGCCAGCTGGTGACATAGAATGTACAAGGAATGATCATTTTAAAAAGGTTTTTCATGATGAAATTTATTTACAAAGCTTGTGTTATTCTGAGAATAAATCTGAGTGAAATATGACAACTATTTATATTAAATTATAGCTGAAAGGAAAAAACGAAATTCAAGGAAATAACGGTGAATAATACTTATTGTGGCCCCGATATGTACTTTTTTTGCACTAACACTAATACTCAATAACAGCAAAAGCATTAAAAAAAAAATCGTCCTTTTAGAATTATTTTTACATTATTTTTTATACTTAATTAATTAATATCTAATTTTGTAGCCAGAAGGCACCTTCCATTTCAGTCTCATGCTGTCACTAGGACAGTAATAAATATGTTCAGAGAAAATTTAGCCGCAACCACCCTTTTGGCACATTTTTTATTGTTATTTTTGTCTAACTTAATTGTTTAGAAAATTCTGATAAAACCATTTTAGTATTTAATTACAGTCACTAATTGATTTGAAACCTATTAGAAATCTATTTATATTTTGTTCAGACGTTAGGACTTGCTCTTTCTAAAAATCTTTAATTTTTATTCAAGTTTGGACATTAGTATTAGGAATTGAACTTGAGTTGAACCGATTCTTAACTATTATTTTTATTTACTAAATTGTGATAGGGTATATATTTAAATAAGGTACGGTTATTTAGTGGAAACCTACTTATCAGTGAAACTAAATTTTGAAAGTGTGGTGAGATTTAAAGTATAAATCTTTAGCTTTTATAATTTAAAATCATTGAGTGACTGTTTTCTTTAACATTTGAACATAACTTTAACCTAAAATGAGACGCATATTCCAGAAACAAACCTCGTTTATAAGTTCTGGTTGAACTAATTTTATTTATGTGCCGAAAAAATAATACATACCGGGAGAAGTACAAGTACATTGTTCAAAGTAGTGCGCGTATAGAAAATACGCTTTAGTTTTTTATAAACATAATTGGACAATTATTGAATATTTACGTCCATGCTTATACTATATAAATTAAGTTAAATTAATTTAGCAAGCAGTAATATTTATTTTGAACAATACCTAAAGTAATATTTCTAAATTGCAGCGTAAAAGTTTCCATTACTTTCTTAAACAGTTTAACTATCACTATTGATTAATAGATGCAGTTAAACTTCTGGTACCTCAAAGAGCTACATATAACAATTATTGCAAAGTGCGTTGTACAGAACAAAAACTTGACTGAGGTCGAAGTACAAAGTGTAGGGTCCAATGTTCAAAGTAGTGGGTTATATTAAAATTTAGAAATTTATTTATTTTTAAACATAATAGTTATTAAATACTTACATTCATACTTGAAGTAAATAAATTAAGAATGAATAATTTAACAAACAGAAAGTTTTTTTGGTTTGATAATTTTATGAGCAGCTTATTTCTAAAAGTTTGGGTTTGTTTCTCAGATAGTTCAAACGTAGTAATTCATCAGGAGTTGCAATTAACGTCTTTCAAAACGAATAAAAAATTAAACAAAATAACGAATAATAAATAAATTTCATTATTACAAAATGCATTGGTTCATAACTGATTCTGGTGTGAGGGCAAAGTACAATTTTTCAACCTGCACAGACATGTAGGGTCCAAAGTTCCAAAAATGATTTCTAAGAGAATATTTCAATTTGTATTTATTCTCTATCCTAAGTGATCATAGAAGGATTTTTAAATATTTTTATATTCGTTTCTAATTTCTATTCATTCTATTAGTTTTATAATTTTATTCACTGAGGTATGGTTAATTTAAAAATAAACATTTATTAAATTCTTAAGTACCTTATTTTGTAATAACTGAGAAGCTTTCTCGTTACATACTTAATATTTGTAAATTCTTATTTACAGATATCAGAATTCTTATTACAGATATCAGAGTTCAGTTATATTTAAATAACTATGATTGCTACGATGCGCATCGGAACACAGCTGACACTATACTGAGGTGACGATACAGTATGCGAGTCTTAGCACCCCTCAATATTAAATAATGGTATTATATTTTTTTTTTAATATCGTGAATTCCGCACCCATGCTTCTTGAAAAATCGTAGAAATGCATAAAAATCATAAGGTCGAAGATTTTTTAAAATAAAATTAGTCAAGAGTATGAAATTAACTCAAAATAGTGCAAATATCAATGTCATATCTATGAATAAAACGATACAAGAATATTAATACTTGTAAGATGGTAAAAGTATAATAATTTTAAAAGGTTTATAATTTTAACAATACATTGGGCAAGTTCCTTAATTAAGCGCTGAACTCATCGTTCTGAACTGGGCAAAAACATGTCAGCGATGAGTTCAGCGCTGAGTTTAAGGTTTAATAGGTTTTAATAGGTTCGATTTGAACCAAAGTTGAAGGAAATGCGAAGAATTGTGTAGAAATTCCTTTGTATCGATTTTATTGAATTCTATTCAACAATTAAAATTAATATAAATAACTTTTAAAAATACAATAGCTATGAAATGTGGAAGGCATTGATCATGTGAAAGGGAGGTTATGTTCATAGTATTGTTATATGAGGTTATACAATTTTAGAATGTATTCATAAAGTTAATATTTAACCAGTATGCTTTGTAGTTTACATATTACTGGCATGACACCTATTGCCGTTACATAGATTATATGTAATATTCAGTGATTGGAGGGTTGAACTTAAATGGCCCAGTATAGATTTTCCTTTAGTATTTATACCGTATATTTAAATTAAATTTTACACTCACACACTGTAAAAAAACCCTGTACATTTGTGAGTTTGCTTGTTCCAAAAGAAGTCTATATTTCCCTCTCAAACTTCAAAGCAATTAGGGGCTTTATTCCAAATCTTTTTGAACTAGTTATGGTTGAAGGGTAAGATTTAAGCACGGTAAATTTTAAGTAAGTGTAGGTAGTCATTTCTTGAATTTTGTTAAGTTTATTTATATTCTAGTATTTCTTCTTGAATTACTTTTGTTCTAACTGATGGAAAATGATGATGAGTATGGTGAGGAAGCTGTACTGACTTTACTTGGCAGAGGTGTTATTAATAATTTTGATGAATCTAGAAATAACACTATCTGTACTAAAAGACGAATATACATGCATATCTACATACATATGTTGGTGGGTTGTCAGTCCATCTATACTGGATATATCTGGATAGTGCACCAAATGATATGTATTTATTTATTTATAACAAGGGGGGTAGAAGGGGAGGGCGGCTCCTCAATCTCTTACGGGTCATTTTAGCCCTTACAAGATATTTATATTACATCAGATGAAATTAAATTTAACAATGAATTGAAAGCACAAAATATTTAAAACAAAAGAAAAAAAAGAGTGAGCAAAATTTAAATTTTGTTGTATAGTTGCGTTATTTGAAGAAATGTAAACAATTTTTCAAATTTCAGTTATATCATTCTCCAATTAAACTTCATTCCGTTGTGTTTCATATGAATAACATTCAGTCAAAATGTGCCTGACTGTTAAATTGACTCCGCAGCAGATATTTATATGGACATAAAACGTGCAATAACATGGAAATTCGGTGTCAAGTCATAAGTCAGTCAGATTTGTACGAGTATTACATCTTGGTCATGAAAATTGATATAAGTAATGTAACTATACGTTAAAGCTATTGTATTGTATTAATTTAATTTGTTCTGTAGTTTTTTTTAATTCCCTATCGCTAGTAGGTAAGGAAAATATTGTCATTGCGTGTAGTTTTGAACTGCACACCGAAACTTATTTTGAGGAAAACCGAACTGCTCTGAAATTCTAACACTGATTTTTTTAATAGTAAAGTTGTTTAAAATTAGATCTTTCAAACTAGATATATACAAAAAAAAAATATATATTAATATTATTTCGTAAAATTTAAATAGTCCTAAATCTTGATTTAAAAAAAAATATTTCAAAAGATTTGACTAGGGCCTGTGATTTCTAATCGAGACTGAAGAGTGGGGTGGCCTAATATATAAACCAACTTGCACCAATGCACAACCAAATTCAGCTCCCAGCTACCTCGCCCTTCCAACATGATCAAGGTAAAATAATTTATAAAAAAAAAAAATATATATATTAATATCACAGTATGAAATTAGTTGATATATTCATTTAAATTTATATTTTTTAAATCATTTTTATTGATTTATAAAACCGGCTATTTTTTAAACACTGTTATTATATATATAGTTAATTGTTTTCTTGTCTTTTTAGGTATTCCATATCAACATTTTATGAATGTATCAATATTTGTAGTAAAAAAAAATCATTTAAATTGTATTTATATAACTCTTTTATACAAGTAATAATTATTTTTTCTATACTAATTTATTTATATTAAACTTTATTATAATTTATTTAAGGTGCCATTAAATTCATAAAGAGGTATCTAGAAGAATGAATAAAAATGATAGCGATGAATCATTGAAATGTGAATTTATTCAAAATTCTATCTATTAATTTATTCTGTCAAAAAGCTATTTAATTAAAACAATTGCCATGCCCTCAGTTATAACTTATAACCCGTCTTGAAGTTACATCCGTATTTTATAATTATTGTATGTATCTTGTCAACTGAATAATTTAAAATTATGTTGTGAAAAAATACTTATATTATAAAGTCTTTTTATGAATACAGATAATACATTTACAAATCGACATTTCGAAGATTTTCTCCATTTTATGATTTTTCCAGGACTACAATTCATGTAAAAATATTAATTCATAACAATTAAAAAAAAGAATTTTTTTTTTCTGTTCAGGGTAAATCACATTGGCTAAGAAAAGTAATTATTTTGCCAGAATAGAACACTTTTTTTTACATTAAATTTTTTTTATGTTTTTATAATATGAATATTTTTCAGTTCGTAGTCCTCGCCATCGCCATCTCTGCAGTGCACTGCCAGTACGGCGGCTACCACCAGGAGGCCCCGCAGTACCACGAGGAGCAGTACTACGACCCTCCTCACTACCAGTTCCACTACGACGTCCGCGACGAGCACACCGGCGACATCAAGAGCCAGCACGAGCAGAGGGAGGGGGACCACACCCAAGGAGAGTACAGCCTCGTCGAACCTGACGGCTCCTTGAGGGTGGTCAAGTACGTCGTCGAAGGAAAGTCTGGATTCCAAGCTGAGGTTCAGAAGGAGAATGGCAAGTACAAGCCAGCTCCCGAACCAAGCTACAGGAAGCCTGAACCATCCTACTACAAACCCAGATATTGAACGAAGACTTAAATGGTTAAATAGTTGTTTGTATTTTATTTATTTTTTTATATAAATACATTTTTTATAAAAAGAAGGTTCTGATCTACTCATATTTCTTATATACCTGTTCATCATAATTATTTATTACTTCACAATTTTCATGATGATCTAAGGAACTTCGGTCTGGTATACCTATAATCGATGGTTTTTTCTCTCTCTATATCGGTAAATATATATAAAGGAAGGAGATGGTCCGGGTGGTGCTCATAAATATTCTAAATAGTGGCAAAACTATTTTATTAAAATCCAACGTTTACCCCAACGACCCGACTTTGCAGGTCTTCTTCAGGGAGGTGTGTTCTCCTCCTTTCCTTGAATTCTAAGTAAAACTCCTTGCTGAAGACACCTCCTTGAAGAAGACCAGCAAAGTTAGGTCGAAACGTTGGCTTTTAATAAAATAGTTTTGCCATTGTTTAGAATATTTATGACCGTCAGCCCGGACCATCTCCTTCCTTAATAATGCAACGGTCAACTATTAAGTATTCAGTAAATATATATTATTATTATTAACCTTTTCGATAATCGAATGACGTGTCCATTCTTCATTTCCATCCTTTATCGTCCCTTTTAAATTGCTTTACTAGGGTAAGAAACTCAGATTTAAAGCACTTGACTTCCCTCATACTTTTGAAGTGCTACTTGTTCCGTGATAGAAGCTTATTCAAATGATTTAACTTTTTTTTGTTCTCTTAAGATTTCCAATAAATATGGGATACATGCGTTGCCTCAGCTGCTAAATTGAAAAAACGCAAATATTCCATTCTGCTTAATTAGTAATAGTTTTCCTGGATACATTCTTTGGAAATATATAACGCCATCTCATTTAGCTTTGTGCCTCTAATACTTTCCAAGTCTAAGTTGTTCTAAATTTAAATCATGTTTATTCCCCAGAGCTATATTTATTTAAATGTTTGTGGTAATGTTCTCTACTTAGAATATGAATGAAAGGTTCCAAGCTCGTAGACTTTAGTCCGAAAGCCAACAAATCGACGATTAATCGATTGAGACATCATTAGGAAAATTAAACAAGACCAATTTCACATGAAAAATTAATACATTTTTTAGAGTGAGTATGTCAAATCATGACATCATCTGAACACGTACAGAAAGAGAAAGGAAGATACAATGTCAGATATCAGGTAAATTTTTTTTTTTTTTTAAACATTGATGTGAGATGTGCTTGTCTGAATTGAATACGAAGAAGACATTTCGACTGATAATTTGTTGACTTGAGTCTTTGGGTTTTGAATCTTTCAATTATATCCTAACACTTAGTTTATACCAATTTAATTTTTTTTTTCATCAGTTGCATTGGCGTATTTAAGAATTGGTGCCAATCAGGGGGGGGTAATCTGAATTTGTCTGCTCTCTCCCAATAAAAGCCAACATTTTATATCATTATTTTATGCAAATTATTTCGAAAAAGAATATATGTTAAGTTATAATATACTTGAGTTTTTAACTGAATTAAAGTCAAAAGAACCAAAAAGTTTATTTATTTATTCAGAAATATTACAATTTGTCACAATTAAGGAAATTTATAATAGTGTCCAGAGAGCACATTCACACTCTATTAACAATAAATAAAAATAAATAATACAGAAACTAATACTAATAAAAGTAAATGTATATAAACAAAAGAACTAAACTAATCAAAATAACAACTAAAACACACGCATACTATACAATATTTACAGAATCCATTCACTCAGAAGAACTCCGAACCATGCCTTTCTCCCCACTCGTGGAAGGAAAGGCAGGACACTAGGAGATCTCAGCTCCTCGCACTGAGCCGCATTACTGGTATTAAGAACCAGTAGAGGCTAAGGATATGTGATTATAGCGCCTCATAATCACATATACTTGGCTGAAGTGGAGGATCTGGCCATTGCCAAAACTCCAATATATGCTTATTCACCGAAGGTCTCTGGGCCACTGCCACTTCAATCTTCGACGAGGATTGTAAGGAGAACCAAAAAGTGGAAACAAATATTTTTACTTTAACTAAAAAAAAAAAAAAAAAAAAAATTTCTTGGAATTTGGGGTCATCCAAATTCTTTTCCCTTCCTTTCTCGCTTCACTATCTTATAATTTAATAGTATATTATAAAAAGTTGGTAGACCATCAACATCCTTTACAACATTTTATTTTATTTTTTCATTTGGGTTTAAAACTAGGTTATTCTGTTTCTTCCGTTCTGTTTACAGTATATATACTGAAAAAGCTTTGAATATGGATGGATATCAATAAATACCGATATCTGTGCTTAGGTTTGCCGATGCTATGATTTGATAATATCAAGTGAAGACGCGAAAATTATATAAATTAAATGAACCAACGTTGAAGAAAGCCGGTAAAGAACTGGATATCGAAATAAATAGAAATAAAACCAAATATACGGCAAGCAGCGAAAATAGGAATGATGTACATATTGAAGGGAATACAGTTGAAGACTTAGAGGTATGCAGGTATTAGGCTCGACTATAACTGAGGAAAAGTATATTAAAAAACAAATTAATGCTTGGAAAAATTACTTAGCTCGCACCTTCTATCCAGTTATATATAAGATTACGAAAGTTAAAAATTAAAGTTGAATTATAAAAGACAGATAGTAAATAAAAATATAAAAATTTATTTTTACATATATTACAAAAACAGTTTTTCAATATAGATTAATGGTAGCTTGGTTTGTAGTAGGATGGTTCTGGCTTGTTGTATGCTGGTTGGGGCTTGTACTTGCTTGGTTCCCTGTGTACCTCGGCTTGGAATCCAGACTTTCCCTCGACGGAGTAGTGGACTTCCCTGAGGGAACCGTCGGGTTCGACGAGCCTGTACTCACCCTGAGTCTTGTCTCCGTACCTTTCCTCCTTCTGGCTCTTGATGTCTCCGGTGTGCTCGTCGTGGACGGAGTAGTGGAACTGGTAGTGAGGAGGGTCGTAGTACTGCTCCTCGTGGTACTGCGGTGCCTCCTGGTGGTAGCCGCCGTACTGGCAGTGCACTGCAGAGATGGCGATGGCGAGGACTACGAACTGAAAAATATTCATATTATAAAAATATAAAAAAAATTTAATATAAAAAAAGTGTACTACTCTGGGTGTAAAATAATCAATTTTCTTAGTCTATGTGATTTCTCCAGAACAGAAAAATAATTTGTAAAAAAATTATGTTTTATTTAATTGTTTTGAGTTAATATTTTTATATGAATTATAGTCCTGGAAAAATCATAAAGTGGAGAAAAATCTTCGAAATGTCGGTTTGTAAATGTTTTATTTATAAAAAAGACTTTATATTAGAAGTAATTCTTCACTAAATAATTTTAAATTATTCAGTCGACAAGATATATACAATCATGTACTCACAATATTTATAATATACGGATGTAACTTCAGTATAGGTAATAACACAGGGTTGTAAAATTTCCTGTTTCTTTATTTTATTTTGGGTGATAGATATTCAGGACGGAGTCCTTTTTTAAAAAAAAAATTAATTTTTTACTTATGCTAACGTTTCAACCCAAACATGTGGGTCATCTTCAGGGAGTGGTTTGAGCACTGAGGGTATTCAAGTACTGACTGAGTCAGTACTTAGAGTAGTAGAGTAGAGAAGTACAGTAGTAGAGTCAGTAGTTGAATACCCTCAGTGCTCAAACCACTCCCTTAAGATGACTCACATGTTTGGGTTGATACGTTGGCATAAATAAAAAATTTAAATTAAAAAAAAAAAGATTGCGTTCTCAATATTTATCACCCATGATATACAGAACGTATATAGATATGTAACTTCCTTCAATTTATTTTATTTTATTTAAAATTCACTGAGAAAAAGTTTTACTATAATTAAATAAAAATGAGCTTCTAGTATTTTTAACGTTGTAGAAATACATAAATGAAGTTGTATTTTAATTTATTTATTTTAAAATTTACTCTTAAAAATAAATAAACTAATAAAACTCAGTTTATTATATTTCAACCAAGATTGTAATTTTATATAAAATCTTTTTATATTCAATTTATTATATTAATTTATTTAATAATTTAATTTATAATATTTTATATTATATATATTTAATGTAAGTCAATCATTTTAAAGGAATCGAATCTAATCACAAATTGATTTTATCATGTATAAATACTTATTATAAAGGTATATAATTATTTTTTTAATCTACGATCAGCGGTTGCTAATGGCTCCGGACGTAATATAAATGCAAATAAATTTATATGGACTGGATTTTCATTTAATAAAATAGATAACTAATAAAGTTATAGCAAATAAAATAAATAGATTAAGATATAAATATTTTAAATATTTATAATAAAGATTATTCCGAACTGATGCTATGTTACCTTGATCATGATGTATCTAGAGGTGAGACTGAATATCGCCTGTTGGGAGCTGGTCTCTTATATGCAGTCAACAAAACCCCACCCACCCAGGATAGGTTACGAGGATTTTTGAATGAGTCTGTTGCGTGAACCGTTTAGTCATTCTTAAAAGATTATTTCTGATTTAAATATATTTAATTTTCGTAATACATATTCAGAATGTAGAAATATATTATAGTAAGGGATATCAGGTAATATCAGTGTAAGAGCACATAATGAGTCGCTTATTTTCAAAGTGAATCCTGATCGATTTTTATGGAAATCGAGATATGTATCGAATTGCATGTAAAACAACCAATAAATCCAAAGGTGCAATTAATTTTATTTAAGAACTTTTTAAAAAATATTATTATATCTTATAGGTCTTTACCTAGATATTTAAAAAAAAGTGTGAAAAACATTTTATTTACAAAACTGGCCTTTTTTTTAAAAAAATTGAATTTGTCATGTATTCTTATTTTTATTTATTTATTTTTCATTAAATTTACCACTGCTTTGTAACGCATCAAGCAATGTGTTGGAGTTTATTCTATCTTCTTTAAATCTTGATTTTCTTAACTTTTCAGCAGAAGATCTCTAAGCCTTTTTAGTCGTCTTTGAGGCTCACCAGGTAACAAGGAAGACGATAGAGATAGAATGAGTGGATTTGGATGATTGAGAGTAGAAGCATGAAATGCTGTGTATTTGTTGTGTATGTAGGATTTTACTTTTGGTATGTTGAAGTCTGTATGTATGGTGTGATTTGAAATAAACCAAGGAGCATTGAAGATTTTACGAAATCTTTTGGATTGTGGGGTTTGAATTTTGTTTATGTGTGTGTGTTTTACGGAACCTCAAAGTTCTGCTCCGTATGTCTTAGTATAGTGATGTAGATTAGTCGCTTGTTTAGTAAGTTGAGTGGGGATCTGTAGTCCAAAAGATGTGACAGTTGTTTGTATCGTCTGGTCAGTTCTTGTTTTTTTATTTCAATGTGAATGTTCCAGGTGAGTTTTTTGTCCAAGTATAGTCCAAGATACCGTACGTGAGTTTTTGAGGGAACTGGTTTATTGTCTATTGTCACATCAGGACACGAGATCTTCCTCAGGGAGATGCTAACATGAGTTGAATTGCTGGGATTGATTTTAATTCTCCATTTGTGAAACCATTTTTCAAGGTCGTGCAGGTGATTTTGAAGGGCTATTGAAGCGATAGTGAGATTTTTGTGAGAAGGAAATATTGCCGATCGTCAGCAAAGCTATAGAGAATGGTGCTAGGGTGCTCAGGAATATCAAATGTGTAGACAGCAAATAGAAGAGGGCTTAAAACCTTGTGGTACGCCCGCAAGTTGAGGAAAGAAGGGAGAAGTAGAGGAATCAATAGTAATACGGAAGAACCTGCCAAGAAAGAATGATTGAAGCATCAGAAGTTGAAGGAAGATGTGGTTTTATTTTCCACAGTAAACCTTTGTGCCAGACGCTATCAAACGCTTTCTCGATATCCAGGAATATCGCTGAGCAGAATTCTTTTTTTTTCGAAGGCGACTGAGATAGCGTCCACTATACGATGACACTGTTGTACAGTGGAATGGCAAGAACCAAAGCCAAATTGTTGATTCGGAATAACTTCCCGACTTTCTAGGATTGGCTTTATTTCAAGGAGAAATAATTTCTCAAATATTTTCCACATTATAGGTAAGAGTGCAATCGGACTATAAGAAGAAGGGTTGCTGGTAGGTTTAGAAGGCTTAGGTATCATTTTTATTGTAGAAAGTTTCCAAAGGAGAGTGGAGTAAGTTGTGCGTAAGATAACATTATAGATGTGAGTAAGAAAGATAATGGCTTTTCGGGGTAGGTGGCGAAGGATGAAGGGAGTGATAAGATCATAGCCAGGTGCTTTTTTGTTTGAAAGTCTGTTGAGTTCCTTATAAATGTCTTTTGGGTGAAATTTTGGTGGAGGTGGTGATAACGGTACTGGGGTTGTCAAATCGTATTCAATCTTTGTATTGTGCGTGTTGTCCTGAATATTATTCGTCTCAAAAACCTGAGCAAGATGTTTTGCGAATTCGTTAGCTTTTTCTTCGCCTATTATAGCCAGGTATTGTCCGTCCGTATTCTCAAAAATAAAATCTATAAAAAGCTTTTTTAACAGTATTGTTCAAATCGAAATTAAAAATAAATTAGTTGTACCATTTATTTTAAATAAAACGTCAATTTTTTTATAGTTCAATTTTTATAATTTTCCCTCTGATTAAAACCGCACAAACATATTACCGCTTTCGAAAACTCATAACCCAAAAATATGTGCCTCCCTCAAACATTCAGTGTCAGGCGGATCTACGGGGGAGGAGGAGAGGGGGGAGAGGAGGCTTTCGGGCTGAAGTCTCCCCCCAAAATGGTAAAATATAACCATGTTTTACAGAAAATAAAATATTAAAAACTATCTCTTAAAGTATTCTTGTTCGTGTAATTACATATAATAGGACTTCAAGAACCACTTAAACACCATTCCATATAAGTATGTGTAGGATTGTGTAGGTAAAATTCATCATGAACTTAAGTAATGCATTGCGGATTCCTTTAGTCCTTTCAAATTGAGTTAGGGGTTGAAAACTTGTACGTGAATTGGGTTGGAAAAATACTTGATGGGAGTTTCTGATTTTTCTTCTCACCGCAGCTTTCTTGATAAATTAAATCAGACAATTCATTATTTCAAATAAATTAGAAATTATATTAAATTTCTTCTAGTAAGTATTAGTGAAACAATTAAAACCTTTTCAATCTGTTTTCCAAACGATAATGAGAGAAAAATAGTATCTCAGTAGCTGAGCTCTGGCGCTCTGATGCTCACTTTTTATTTATTTTTGTAATTGAGACGTTTTAAATTCTTAAAAAAATATTAGTTTTAGATATACAAATAAGTTAAACTATAGCCACAAAGAATGAGCATTGTTGTTAGTTTTTAATTCCAGGATATCAGGCTCCACTTAGGGATGTAGATATTAACGTCGGCCTATAAATATCAATACCATCAAAATATTGCACTTCAACGATATTATAAATATTTTTGAAATATGTATATCAATATAAATATTGATTTTCTAGCGCACAGGCGCATCAAAAATGAAGTTATTATCCTCTATAAATAAATTCATGGACATATCAATTCTTCTAAGCTCCTTAGTAAAATTAATTTTCTAGTTTCTGTTCATCTTCGTCGTCCTCAGCTTTATCCAGAAATTTCTATCCAACCGATGCCTTCCATTTACCCGCAGATCAGATTCAGCGAAATACTAATTTATTTGCATACTTCATAGATTTCTTTGACAATTCGTGGCCTTAGATTGAGAAGGTTCTAACTAACAAATTTGTTCAAATTGACTTTACCACAATTTTTTGTCCGTCCGCCGTCCGTTGTCCGTCGTCTGCGTATTTTCTCCGAAACTACTGGACCGATTTTTTTCAATTCTGCAATTATAATCAGAGGTCACCTGAGGATCATCTTCCTTCATCAACATTACTGTCCGCCTTTTACTTTCAAAATGGCGGTCGATCTATAGACTCTAGGGCCTAAATGAATGTTGTACCGATTTCAATAAAACTTGGCTAAAGTCTTCTTCTTGATACCCTTTAAATTTATTTATATAACATACTTCAACGAAAATCAGCTGGGAAAAAAGGTACGAGGGATGGTAAAATTAGATTCTTACTCAAAAAGTATACAATTTTTTATGGATGGTTTTTTAAAAGTTGATGAAATTTTCTTTAAAAAAAATCGTTAAAATCGGAAAATTAGGAGCAAAGATATGGTCTCTAGATATTTTTTATGTTGTATGTTGCAAATACTTGATTAATAATAATTGATTAATTGATTTTTGAATGTGTTGCTTAAGTAATGATATTTTTTTTAGCAAATTAGTAATGATGAAAAAAAAATGTTTAGACAAATAATTGGAATTACCTTTTTATTTCTTTTAATTTGTCACTAGAAAGGTAATGTTGCTTTAGATGTATAATTGTTGGGAAATAATAAACCATTGTGAAATAATTTGCAGCGTTTTTTTATAACGATCAGATTCATATATAATTTCTAGCGCTTTTCGAAAACGATCTTTTTAAATTAAAATATCGAGAGGTCAATTTGGAAGTAGATACTATCAATGGAAACTATCAAATATCGCAGAGAAAATATCGATATTTCGATAATATTGGATATCTATGATTATACCTAGCTCACCTATAGTATTTCCACCAGAGAGCTATAATATGGTCATGCGCTTTTTATTGATTTAGATTGTTTATCATAGTATGAATCGTAGAACATATGGTACCTACTTTTCGCACCCTTTCTATAACTACTTTGTAAATATCTGAAGGCTATTTGTAATGGTTTGGAAACATTTGTTTACCTCGTTTTTGACACTACCAGTTTTCTAGCTGTCCTATTTACGACTTCTCTTTCAGCTTCAGACAACTAGAAACCCGCTCTAGAAAACACAAAATTTATATACATTATATATACACTTGTATGGCTCCAATGGTATTCTTTAATATTTCATAGAAATTTATGGGATTATTTAGTTATTTTATTTTTTTACTTTTGTCATTATACTATAAATTTAATACCCAGAAGACATCATTCAGACACCATCAGATAACTGAATTTTAATATAATGCTATCAAAGTTTGAACCTCTACTTATCAGTTCTGATTAATTGTAAAAGACACTCCAAATAATATTTAAATTTAAACTTAATTTAGAACTATTATATTTCAAGAAAAATACGTTACATGAATAATATGAAATACTAGTCAGAGTTATTAATAATCATATTTAAATCAATCCCGATTAAGAATGTCAATTTCAAACTATATTTCACATATAATAAAAATTATTATTTCTAGAAAATATACCTCAGTGTATGCTAATATACTTAAAATAGTGGCGTATTGAATGAGGTAGGAATTAAGGAACACTATAACCTAATCTGATACAACTTCTATCGAGTGAACTGCGCGATAGTATATTTACTGTCTTGGTAGTACAGTCGCCAAGCGGTTTTGTTGGATAGTTAACAGTTTCTATCACGGTAGCTACAGCCATTGTCGTATTTATAATCACGAATAAATGACTACTTGTGAACTAATGCACTTTATTTTACCAAACCATATGCAATATTTCTATAGGTAAAAATGTTAGGTACATTTTTTTAATTCATTCTTTCCAAAATGGTAGCTAGTTTCACGATAAGTTAGAACACAATACAAGTGATGGAATTCTGAGGATAGCCTAAAGAATAACAGGTAATTCATATAGTTGTATACTTGCGACATATTTTTTATTATTATTAACACTTTTATTATTAGTAACAACAATATAGAGAAATGGGTTTAAATATCATTTTAATTTGATTTCTGCAGTATTTCTATTTCATCTGTATTATTTAATATTATCTATAATTAATAATTAAGACAAGGCAAGAGTCTCGCAGTTACCTATTAGCTTATTACTATAGAGATATCATAGTAATTGTTTACATAGGAGGGACCTAACTAAGAATGTAAAGCAAAAGTATATTGTTTATACCAACTCTTTACATATAGCAACTAAAATTGTCAAGTATTAGTAACTATTTTCCCTTAATTTTTATTGAAAAAATCGATTTTTTTTACCAGTCGGTCTTGGTCTTGCAAAGTGCATGACCAAGATCAATTTTGGGCAACGCTACTTGCTACGAAAAATTGGAGATTTTCAATGTGCTCAAAGTAACTTCGGAGAGCCTCTGTTGTTAAATTTATTACCTATTATGAGAGGTAGTATTTTATTCTAATCTTAGAGGTTATAATATGATTTCTGATTATTTCTATCTGTTTATCCTTTTTTTTTTTTACTCTGAAGTCTATAAAATCTATAATTTGTTCTGGTATATTACGCAAATGAGAATACAATTACTCAAAGAATAAATAATGAGTTTATTATTATAATATTTTATGATAATAATAATAAACTTATTAAGTTTTCCTTATCTATGTATTTTATATCATTAGTTTATACTATGGCAATTCTTCAATTTCAACTTCTATTTATAATGTCTTTATATAAAGAACATGTATTTTTTTAAATGTCATTTATAATGTGTTTTCTAGACATAATTGAGCTGTAGTTTTTGAATATTAGGATTTTTTAAATTCTATTTTCACTATTTCTTATAATTATATAATTTAATTTTTTGGTTGTAACAAGAAGAAAAGAAGGTATTAATTCTTTTAGAAGTTATATAATTTGTGATATATCTCAATTCATTCTTAATTTATGGATCGTAGTTGAGCTGGATATATAATTCCTGGTTCATGGCCGAATTGAACTAATTGTTTCAAGGAGTAGCGATTCGGAAGTATTTTTTATTTTATTTGTCTTTATTGAAATAATTAATCACATAAATTATTAATAAATAATCACATAAGTTTTTCACATAATACCACAATGTTTACTTTTTGGGTCAAATTGTAAACAGCCTATAAACGCCAACAAGGGCATTATGACCATCTTATTTCATTGAAAACAATTACCACGTTATAAATTGTTACCTATGGCCAATTTTCGAATTATGGATTCTTAAACCTCCCTAATATTGATACTTTGGCAAGAGGTTCAATCATAACACTTTTTCTAAAATTATATATATGTATATTTATATTAAATCTGTCGTCCTAATACATACTAACAACAGTAGCATATTTTTACAAACCAATCAAGTCTATATAATATAAACTACGAAATAAAAAAATACGAAAAGTTTTAGAAAAATCTTGGTTGGAGGACGAAAACCTGCAGCCAAAAAGATTTGTAACAGTACGCCACAGGAGTGGGGCAGGCCATATATATAACCAGAATATTTATTCCATCACCAACACAATCTCACTACTTGTCTTCACCATGATCAAGGTAAGGCCCAAGCGGTTTATATATTCATTATAAGGCACTATTAATATATACCTAAGTGTGCATATGTTAATAGATAATGGTATTCTTAGACTGTTATGCTTGAGACTAATTTTTAAAACTAAATGGTATGATTACATCAGTAATTTTTATGAAAAAATAAAAGGTATAATTTCCTTTATTTTTCTGATTTTATTTTGGTTATATTTACAGTCATAAATAGCTTTAAAACTTTAAATTTAGAGTCCTAAGTATTTTTGGTTCTTAAATTAGATTATTTAAGATAGGAATGACACATCTATGAAAATCTTTATACCGGAGTAATTTAAATTTTGCTTGAAAGGGCTTGAAAGGAAATGTTAACTTTTATAGACTATTGGTAAGATATAAGATATGCCTGGAATTTCACATTGTTTTTCTGTTGAGTTTTTTAAACTATAAATTAAAGTTTTAAAGAAATTTCATCTAACGCAATCGCTTAAGCAGAAAATAAAATAAAAAACAAAACATTCTAAACGTGGGAAATATAAGAATCAATTTATTTAAGAGAAATTATTTCAGTAATCTAATCACTGTTTATTTCTAATTTATCGGAATAAATTTTTTTTGTCTACGGTAAGATAATCAATAAAAGTTAAGAACTTTATTATATAAACGTTTCTTGAATCTTTTATTTTAGAACATTTTTTTTCTGAATAGTTCCTTCGTAAGTGTTAAATTGGAAATTTTTAAATAGGTTCTTTAAAAGATTCATTCCATAATTTTTATCAAAGAATCAAAATTTAGTACACCTAATCTCCACGGCACAGAGGAGAATAATTGATCATTGCGGTGTGTATCCTTGTGAGATTTTTAAAATTTTATTTATTATATAATTGAAGTTATTTTCTATTAATTAAGAGTATTTAATGTAGTTATAAATAAAATAAATTGAGCCTTCGAGTTGATAGAATGACTAACTCCAATTTCAACCAATTTTTATTATTAATTTTAGTGATATTTCTAGTTGGAAAATTTATAAGATCTGTGCGGAAAATTAGTGAGTTGATCCTAGAATAGGTGATTGCAGTGTTGAAATAAAGAAATAAGAATAAATATATAAATATCGCTAAAACTAATAATAAAAAATGTTGAAATTGGAGTTAGTCATTCTGTCAACTGAGAGGCTCAATTAACAATCATTAATCCACATGAAAAATCTTATAGAGATTATAAAATATGATTCCGTGCAGAGAGAAACTGTTGAATATAGAATAAATGCCGCCCAATTATTTTTGCCTAACATAGAATACTACAGTTCCTTAGACAGTTTGTTAGATAGCGTATATTACCTTATAGTTGTAAAGTATCATTGTATGGAGGGTGGACAATAGGAATATGTTTATTTTCTTTATTTTTTTAAGATACGATGTTTATTCCTTAAAAAGCTTTATTAATTTAAATTAACGTGTTCTATTTTTTTATATTTTCCAGTTTGTAGTCCTCGCCATCGCCATCTCCGCAGTGCACTGCCAGTACGGCGGCTACCACCAGGAGGCCCCGCAGTACCACGAGGAGCAGTACTACGACCCTCCTCACTACCAGTTCCACTACGACGTCCACGACGAGCACACCGGAGACATCAAGAGCCAGCACGAGCAGAGGGAGGGGGACAAGACCGAAGGCGAATACAGCCTCGTCGAACCCGACGGCTCCTTGAGGGTGGTCAAGTACGCCGTCGAAGGAAAGTCTGGATTCCAAGCTGAGGTCCAGAAGGAGCATGGCAAGTACAAGCCAGCTCCCGAACCAAGCTACAACAAGCCTGAACCATCCTACTACAAACCAAGCTACCATTAAGGAATAGGTTATTGAAAACCTATTTTTTTGTATTATATGTAAAAATAAACTTTTTTATATATTTTTTAATAACTGTTGTTTTATATTTCCAAATCATTATTGATTTCAATTTATGCTGAATTCAGCACTGGCACAGGATGAAACTTATGAAGACAGTGTTAAGAATTAATTTGCATTAGAAAAATATTATTAAGTTTTAAAACGGAGAAAGTGAGAGTATACAAATGTTTTGCACATTAGTAAATAGATAATTTTAGCTGTGAGAAATAGAAATTTAACGATAGGTACGGAGAACACCTTTTGCTTTTATACTTCTAAAATACACGAAAAGTCAAATTTTTAAGTACTATCTATCTCTAATAAAGGTACTAAATTATTTTGAGTGGTCTGGAGTTGCTTAGGACCAACTATTATAAATAGTATTTTATATGGTGTATGTCATAGGTTTGGTTATGCGATTTTCATTTTGAATTTATTGTTTTTTTTCCGACTGAGTTAATGAAATTGTAGCATTCCAAGTCCATGAATACCTCAATTAGACTGTTCAACAAGCAGATGATGCTGACTGAAATGTGAGATGTGAAAAATTAAAGCACAACAATGCTTTCAATGTTTTGAATTTTAATGGGCAAAAAGATCCGCTTTTCTATAGTTTGTAATTGTTATTTTCTCAGTTTAATACTTATGATGTTAATCTATAAATAGATTTGCTGCATGCTGTATTTTGTTTCTGCGTCATATTTAAGTTAATAAACGTCGTAGTAGTATATGGTAAAAAACAAAATGTTTTGTTTGAATTATTTCGTTTTGTCTATGATTTATTATTTAAAACAGTGATCTCCAAACCACGGCCCGCAAGCACCTTCCATCCGGACCGCGAATGTTTCTTTGATTCCATAGTAAAATTTTAAAAACTAATTAAAAATGTGAAATTTAGCAAATTAATCACACACGAGGCTTTGACAACATTTATTGCATGGCTTTCTTTTCTGTAAGAAAAGGTAAAATTTTAAAAACTAATTAAAAATGTGAAATTTAGCAAATTAATCACACACGAGGCTTTGACAACATTTATTGCATGGCTTTCTTTTCTGTAAGAAAACTCATTTCACAGCGTCAAGTATCATTTACAAAACAATATGTTTTTTTCATCACTCGCCCGCGCAACTTAGTCGAGGTTTATGTGGCTCGTGGGCCGAAAAGCTTGGAGACCTCTGATTTAAATGGTAAAAGTATCGGTGAAGATTTCTTATTTGTCAGCGAATGTTTAAACTTGAATACATATTTATTTCAAGCAATACAGGTCTTACGCAAAAATTTAATTTTGTTAACGCAGAGAGAGCTTGATTCGCGGTCCCTTGTTCATATTATTTTTTTTTATTCATTTATAAAATTTCTTATTAAAATCTGTAGTCATAAATATATTTTTTCGAAGATACAATTTCGGTTTATTATACCTGAGTCGAATTCGGCCTAGGAAGGTTGAAATATATTTCATGGAGGAATGTTAGAATAGCTTCGTTACCTACGAGATAGCCCTGCTCCCTAATATGCCATAAATGTCCAGGTAGGATTTATGAGAAAAAATGGAAACTACTTCTATCTAGTGAAGTTATAATATTAATTATTACATTCATGATAATTATATGTTAATTAGTAAATTTACATATAAGTTTTTTTCCCTGTTGTTTCACAGACCTTTCGAATCTTTTGCTACCGTAACCAGACTTCTTTCTCCGCCTGTCTCCGCTACTGCTTTGTATTTATCTGAATGTAGCTCTGGATTTATTTTGTTTGTGGACTTACACGTGGTATTTTCCTTGATAATAAGCATTCATTGTTGTGTAGTGGCTTCCTGATGGATTGCTCTGAGGTACATGCCCCAACCATCTTAACATCCTTGCTTTTATATCATGAGATATTGATTGATCAGTTTGTTTAAGGAGTTTGTAGCGTACAAGACTCTAATGATGGTATCAAGTGTTCCAGTAGGCTCCTTAGCTCGCTGCGCGGGAACAACGCGTAACCTTAGCGATACGGAATTGGTTTATAAAAAGTGATGCTGCGAGTGAACAGAAAATCACAGTTAGTAGTTATTAAGCTTTTAGTTAGTGAATGTATATGTTAGTGAGCTATCAGTTTCCTTAATTATTTGCCGTTATAAATTATGTTCTGTAGCTATACTTTTCCTTGTCAGTGCAGGATTTATTTAATTTTGTTATTTTTTGGGGGGTTTATATTAAATGTTATTTCATAACCTATTTATTTATTTAAATATTTATAGCGACACAGGCCAATGAAGGACCCAGCTTATATCATTTTTAGGTCTAAGTCTTTTTCCCCCATATTCTTTTAATTTTTTCTCCCATCTCCACCTTTCTTTCCGCTGTTCATTTCTTACTTTCTTGCTTCTTCTTCATCGCTACAAGAACCTTTATATTTTTCACTATTTTCCGAAATTTGTCCCTGTCTTGGTTGGCTTCCTTTTGGATACTCACTTTTTCTACTTCTTCTTTGTTCCGTATAACCTTTTATGTTTTTCAGTCCCATTAATGTATCGAATATTAGTTTGTTTAACCTATTCCGTTCCATTCTCTTCATATGTCCGAAAAACTTTCTCGTTTTCTCCATCGATGATTTCAAGTTTTCAATCTGTTTATAAAGCTCATAATTTTTTTTTTAATCTGTATTCTTCCCCCACCTTTCTCGGCCCTTATATTATTTTCAGAATCCTTCTTTCTGTTCTCAATAACGATTCCATGTTAGTAAATCCCATAGTCCCCTTCCCATAGAGTACCATAGAATATTTTAGTTATACAAACTCCTAGTTAAGAACCTCAATTTATCCAATTTTACTTCCCTAATTTGTGTCGCTTGCATATCTTCTCCTATTGTAGTCCACATGTTCCCCTAAGTGTTAAACTGTTTCACCGACCTGATTTTTCCGTATTTAGTCTCGATTTTTTCCTTTTCTCCCTAATCTTTATTTTTTCAATGATATTTATATTCAAACATGTAAAATGCAATGTTGTTTTAAAATTTGAGTTAGCGCTTTAGAAGTGCATGTCACTTCTTTCTTTCAAAGGAATCTAGATAACTGGCTGTCAATATTAAAACAAAGATATTAGGGTTAGCCTTAATTGGTGTTTTTAACTTTAGATTAATTTGAACAATTTTTTAGACATATTATAGTGAAAATTTGTACAATGCAATTTAGATAAACTAAACGTTAAAATTAATTTTTTAATTACTATTTTGTCAATTGTGCTAAGAGAAACTAGATAAAGAAAAGTCAATGTTATTATAAAAGTATAAAAATTTATTTGTACATATAATACACTATAAAAAAAAGGCAATCTATACTACTGTTTTATACTGTGGTTTATAGTAGCTTGGTTGTGGTTTGTAGTAGCTGGGCTGGGGCTTGTTGTAAGATGGCCCAGCCTTCTGGTAGGTTGGCTGTGGTTTGTAATAGCTTGGCTCTGGCTTCTTGTTGGCTGGTTCGGGAGCTGGCTTGTACTTGCCGGGTTCCCTGTGTACCTCAGCTACGAACCCTGACTTTCCATCGACGTGGTACTTGACCACCCTGAGGGTGCCATCGGGCTCGACGAGGCTGTATTCGCCTTCGGTCTTGTCCCCCTCCCTCTGCTCGTGCTGGCTCTTGATGTCCCCGGTGTGCTCGTCGTGGACGTCGTAGTGGAACTGGTAGTGAGCTGGTTCGTAGTGTTCTTCTTCCTTGTACTCGGGAGCTTGCTGGTGGTAGCCTCCGTACTGGCAGTGCACTGCCGAGATGGCGAGGGCGAGGACTACGAACTGTAAAATCCAATGTAACTTTAGCAAACGTATAAAGGGATTACAACTTTTATGAAACTTTTTAAAAATGTTCCACTTTAACAGATCCTGGTAAATGTTTTAGAAAAAAAAATTATAAATTGAAAATTCTAAGGAACTTCTATGTAATAAAGTTCTAGGATTATTGTACACCCTTAACTATTTTTAATTTAAATTCTAAAAAAAAAGTTAAATGATAAATATACTGTAATTCGGCTATGATTTATAATTTATCTTAAATATACTGATTGGTTCTAAAGTCTCGTTTGTTTAAGTAGTTAAGAATAGAAATATTTTTAGATCGACTTTTTGGTGAAGACAACAGAACTTTTATATAAACATTAAAAAAAAAAATAAGTTAAGGCATGTTTTTTCCCTTTTGTTTGAAAATCTCAAGTTCCGAAATCCTGAAAAAAAAAAAAAATAGTCGTAATTCTAGTCTGGGTTAAACAGTCCCTTGGTGGATGAACTTAGCCTTTATAATATAATGGCTCTGCTCGTGTTTTCAATTCAATACTTTTTCTTTTAATCCTATAATTTTAATGATTTATAGTCACAAAAAGTAGCCTAATTTTCCGTAATTTTCTGAACAATTTGATTTGTGCCTATATGAAGAAGAATATTTATTTTTTATAGAAGTAATAATACATCCGTTGGTCAAGAATCTGCACGACATTGTAATAAAACGGTAAACTTTATAGTAGTGTTACAGTTTTATAAACAAAAAAAAAATCTTTCAAAAACATCGCGAAAATGATTGAAAAAATTTAGGAATTAGTCACGCAAGAATAAGTATTGTAAAAAAATCTTGAACTCAATTCAACGATGTGTTAATATAATATGAAAATAAATGAGAAGATAACTTCATAATCCTAACTTTAAAATCTACTTTTAAAATTGTAACCATATTATATGTTTGTAACAACTTTGTATGTAAACATTCAATTTATATTAGTAAAATTGTATACAGCTGAATATTTTTTTTAAAACTATTGTACGCTAATAAAATCATAAAAGTAAAAAAAAATAAATAAATAACAGAAACTGAAATTCTACCTTGATCATGGTGTAGAGGATTGGTGGAGATTGTGTTGCTTCTGGAAAAACTTTCTGGCTATATATACGGCCAGCCCCACTCCTGCGGGGTGCGTTACCAATCTTTTTGGAGTCGGACTTTTGGCCTTGATAAGCTAAGATATCTTTTAAAAATATATTTTTCTTACAGCTGCATGCAATTTTTTTTTACTAGTTTCTACCATTCCCACAAAGTAAACTGTAATTTGGACTTAGTTATTTTATAATATTTAAAGAGTAAAATAGTCTAAAATTATCTATATTGGATCATTTTTCTCCTTAAGTGATACCATAATCTTATTAAAAAAAAATATTACAAAAAAATTATGTCCAAAAATGAAAATTATTTATGAATACTTAATGGTTGACCGCTGTATATTTTAGAGGTCCGAGGGAGGAGATGGTCCGTGGGAAGGAGGGCGGTCATACAGAGACTAAAATAGAAACAAAATGGGAAAACTATTTTATTCATACTTGACGTTTCGACCCGACTTTGCAGCTTTTCTTCAGGGCAATGGTAACAATTGTTTTAGATTACTGTGGATGGAGAGAAATTGAAAGTAATTAGGAATATGGATAATATACGTAATTATGTATGTGATCTTACGGATCCTAAGGAAAGATTGAAAGAAAAAGGAACAATAATAAGAAATAACCGATAATAAAAAGGAAGAAACCGAAAGAAAAAAAAAAGTATTACAATCATTTTTTTCAAAACTGTAAAATATTATCTTGATTTTTGGAAAATAATTTTTTTTCTTTTATACTTGTCCAAATTGAGAATTGACAATATTCATTTGGACCGTCTTCTCTAATATCTCGTCATTACTTCTAGCATTAAACTTCCTTGCAGCTCTTTACAACTGCTCTATTGTTTTTCTATGAGCCCTCAATAAATAAAACGACATCAAGTAAATCAATAATTTATATCAACTATTACTCATAACCTGAACTCTTATATTAAGGACACCGATTATCCCCGAGCCAATATGCCAATGTTTCGCCACAGCTGAAGTAAGATAACGACTTCGCGAGAAGTAATTGGTTCCTTGTGTTAATTTTTTTTTTCTGTCTGCCTTTTCTCTGCATGGATTTCTAGGTTAGAATAGAATAGAAAATAACTTTATTCTGGGACGAAGTCCCTTTAGAATAACAAAATAGAACATAATTAAAATACTAAATCTGGCCAAAATAAACAATAATAAAAAAAGAGAAAGTAAAGAAAATATTAGTTAAACAAGCTATATACAAAAAAAAAAATCTATTTACAAAACACTTAAAGCTATGATAAAACACTTAAGACTATGTACAGTAGGAAAAATTATAATAATACTCTTTTGAAAAATGAAATAATAAAAAATAAATTGAATTCTTCTTTAAAATGAGGTGTGTTTCTGCTAACAAAGAAAAGACAATGCTGACAATATAAAATATCAGTGTCTTTAAATAATGATTAATATGTAGACTCATCATTGTCAAATGCTAGAGGTACCGATTTAATTAAATACCAATAAAAAATAATAATAAATAAAACAAAAAAAAACAACAAAAAAATAGATGTGGTCAGTGGCATTAAGAGTCGGAAGATATTGTAATATCCCTAGTGAAGTTCACAGTATAGAATAGTACTATCATTTGATGATGACTAAAATATCGAAGTTTAGCAAGTATCTGACTGTTTTTGGGATAGGAATTGGAATAGGAGGGATTTGAATGTGGATATGGAGGGGGAATGCCGAATTTTGATAGGTAGAGAATTCCAGAAATTGAAGCGCGAGCTATAAAGGAATTCTGAAATGAGGCAGATCTGTGCGAAAGGATGTAAAGGTCAGAAGGTCGAGATCTTGTTGAAAGGGAATGTACTGAGGACTTGAATTGGAGAAGGTTGTAGGCGTATGAAGGACGATGGTTGTTGATGATTTGATAGAGGAACGTACCTATAGGTTAGAATAAATCCGTCGATTTTCTTTTGTGTGTAAAATAAGAATAACATATTGCTGATTGATTTAAATGATGTGCCTCTGACAGTGATTGGAAATATAATCCTTAAATCGAATTATAAATGTCATATAAAAAAATGATAAGATGGATTTCGAATGTGTGAATTAGTGTTGTCCAAAATCAGCACTTTGTAAGACCAATACCAAGAGCACCTATTTGGAATAACACAAAATAGATACTAATAGAAGACAATTTTAGTAACTAAATGTAAAAATTAGTTGAACCAATATAAATTTACATTTCTCTGTTTCAACTTTTCTTTCGGAATTTCGTTGGTTTTCTCCATTATGAAAAAATGAGAGTACTATATTTATAGTATATACCTCTAGAGGTTAATATACCTCTATTATTTAATAACCTTCTAAAAAATGTTATACGATTTCCAACATTAGTATTGAATTGTATACACTGATTTTAATAATTGTTCACTTGCCCACTTACATTGCTTTAGTTCATCAAAGAAATCGTACTCTAAAGATCAGCATGATTGATTATCAGGAAAATTAGTCTAATTCAATAATATTATTTTTAATGAACATATTTCAAATTAAAAAAAAAAAATGTTTAAGATTGGTAGGAAAATCATATAAGTGGACACACCAGATTTTTTAAGACACCACAGCAAGACCAATACTTAGTACGCAAGATCAAGTCTTGGTCTTTAATTTGGGCAACACTAGTGTGAATCTACAGAAACACTAATATATTTTAAGAAAAAAAATTAACACTTCTACTCAATGATATGTTCCAAAGCTTTGCATATTATTCCGCGGCCCAGACACCTTTTTACCATTAACATCATTTATTAATAACCTAAATATTGAAACTTCATAAATAGCTTCATCTTATCGTAACCTACAATTTTTTTATCTACGAAAATTCTCAGACATAGTGCGTTTTCTCTTTAAGTTAAGTAATTTAATGAGGCAATAAAAATCACTGCATTCCGCTTGACTCTTAAATAATTAAATCACCAAACTAATAAAAAGGAGGCATTAAAAAATATTGGATTTCGTCCAATAAAATCTTGTTATTTTTACATGTAGGGGTGGGGGTCACTTCAATCAATATTTTTGCAGTTTACCTTTTTTCCGTGATATATTATTCTCAATTATCTTACGATTCAAGAGGAAAACAAATTTGTGTAGTTCACGGTAAATTTTAGACGGATGTTAATATCTTGATAAAAAGGAGGAGGAAACATATAAAAAAAGAGGTTATTTCCCACCAAGGATCGATGTAAAACGTTTAAATCAGAATTTTCATTGCTAGATATTATAGCTGAAAAAATCTTCATTCCAAATGATCAATAGAAATTTTCCGCTATATTTAACAGATATAATATCTGTAATGAAGCTGTAAACACATTGGCTGGCAGGTGTGCCTTATCGTCCATTATGCCATCCCTCTACGGCTATATAATTTCTCTGGACCATTGGGAAATAAATAAGAACTGACCGGGGTGGGAATCATACCCACACCATTCCAAACCAGGCAATCTGAAACTCGCGCTACAACATATTCGGTCATCATGGCTTGTATATTTAAAATTAGGTCATGAGGGGTTTCTTTGAAATATTCTGTCGTTTCCTAATCCTAGAAATAGGGAAAGTTCCTAAACACAATGATAATTAGATCAAAGAAATTCATAAATCGATTCATCAATCCAGCAGCAATATAAAGCGATTTAAGCTGAGTTTAGAAACGACCTGCAGAATTCCAGCGAAAAGTTATCATTTCTGGAAGGTTATAAAAATGAAATGAAAAATAAAAACATATAAGAAAATTTTTGAATTTCAAAGCAGAAATAAATCAATATTGAGGTCATAATGAGATTACATCCAGCGGAATCATCGACCCCAAAAGCCGGTGGAACCGCTGTGTAATCGATGATTTAATTGATGAATAGAGGAATAGATTAATTCCATTTATGGATTCATTGTTAAGTTTAGGACCGGCCTGATGGATTTAAGTTCTCCATCAGTGAGTTCAGCGGTGAGTTTAGAGACTTGCACATGATATTTGCATCATTCTGCTGATTTAATTTCCCTCCTTTCTTTAAACAAAACAGAAGAACATGCATCGATCCCTTATTAGCAAGATTTATGGACAGTTTCTATGATTATTTATTAATTTATTATGATTGTTTATTAACCACTGTTCTTATTTATATCTTGATAAAATTTATTTATTCTACATTTACCAAGCGTACCTGGCATCCCTTTCCTTCGCTTGTCTTCTGTATATTTTAATTCTTTTGATGGGTTCGAACGAATTACAATATATGTAATACTTACTCTATTCCATACACGTGTTACAATAATACGTGTTACAACGTTCTGTGATATATCTGTGTCTTAGGATGTAATAAAAACCGACGTTAATGATTGGTCAAATTGATATCGGTTTAGCAATCGGTGAAAATACATATGAATTAGCAATAATGACGGAGGTTTAGCAATTGAAATCGTGTACATTAGCTTTTACGAAACTCGAGTCATTTTGGTGATTATTCACCTTCAAGACATTCCTAACAAAACTCCAAAATTTCATCTGGGTCGTTCTTACATTAAACCAGAGTGGTTGGAGAAAATAGATTGGACCGGACCACTTTATTTTTTAATTTAAGTAACGATACAGCAATTTAAAAAAAAACAACAACACCATGATATGCCGAGTTGAAGTGGCAGTATTTCCCAGGTCTTTTCGTTTTCCGAACCTTTCCAATCAAAAAGCTATCTTACCTTCTTCATTTGCTTACTCCGTGTTTCTCAGTCCATTCGTTTAATACAAGATGCTAATCCATAAACAGGTTTGTTCCCTCTTTTAGAACTGTTTCTTTTAAAAAACTTCTAATCCTTTCTGTTTCTTTTTGGAATTCTTCACCTACATCTATACGCAAATCCTCTTCCTTAACCTCATTTAAACAAAATATATTCTTTCACCTTATCAGTATTCAATCTTCCAAATACACGTAAGAATAAAATTTTCTTATTTAAGATCTGTCACCTTCATTTAACTGTTATCTTGCTGTTACTTACACATTATCAATATTGTTAACTAATAAAAATATGTGAACACAATCATATATATTTCTGTACAAATTAATATGTTTACTTGTGTTTTGTTTATTTTAATTTTAAGGTTAGATTATTATGTTAAGTAATTATTTTTTGACTTTATAATGCCAGATAAATATCACCTTTTGTCCTTATAGTTATTTTTTGGGGTCTATTACAAATTCGACATTATAAAATTTATTTTGCTTTCTTTCTTTCATCATGACCCAGCCAAATCTCACTGCATTTACAAAATAGCTTCCTAAATTTAAAAAATTGGTACTCACTTTGAAAACGAGATTGTCACATTTACTCTTTGACGAGACACGAGCCGTATTGGTGAGAACCAAATTCCTCAGGCATCTACGTTACCTTGAAGTAATAATCGACAGAAGAGTGAGACCTGCGGTTCACTCTTCAAAATGAAGCGAAATAATTTAAACAAATTACTTAAAATATTATACTCCTTTTTGTCCAAATCAAAGTTGAAAATTAGAAAAAATTAAATACATACCTACATAAACCCATTTTGGCACCCGTCTTACAGATTACAGTAACAAAAATGCTCACTTATAATGACTACAGTTTGTTTAATCTAAAATTTTAAGACTAACAGCAGCAGCCCTCTGGTACGTAAACAACAAAACTTTACATACCGACCTAGGACAACCAACCATCGACCAACACAACTCTTTAATTCCGATTTCATATTACACTACACGAACACAACTGATTTATAAACGACATGGATACGGCTGATATGAGTGATCTCCTTTTCTGATTCAAGGAAATAAATAAACAAAGACCATAGAAGAAGTGCTGCTGGGCACTATTCATTTTCATGCCTAAAATAACATTTTCTGTCATAACAACAAATCTGCAAAATGCCACTATCATGACAGGTGCGGATGGAGATTTGAAGATAAGTTTGAATTCAGGTCATTTCATTTTCCACTTTCTCACTCCTCATCTTAATCTCTAAAAGTAATTTACTTAATGTCTTTGGTAGTGGGTTATGAAAAGTAAATACATCTGAATTTTTCTTCATTATTCTGTTTAAGAAATCTGTAGTCTATCCTTCATTCCAGTCCGTGATCAATGTTGTCAGCCAATCTGTGGCTAAGTGGAGGTGTGTCAAATGTGTTCTCCGAAGAACTCACAATTACTACGGTAAGATCCTCACCTTAACAACCGCTCTATTCTCCATAAAACTTACATAACCTGATTCATTAATCAACTCATAAGAGTTAATTAATAAACTGCTATAAAATAGTTTTGATACTCCTCAGTGCAGTCTATAACTTTTAGTTTATAAATTCATTATTCAAAATGCAATTCTAGCCATCGAAAAGAAAACACCGACAACCACACTGGCGAGATCTATTAAAAATATCTAGTGGAAACTAACAGAAAAAGGAAAGGAAATAATATTCATGTGTGTCCCTTCATATCCCCCCCCCCTGCGGAATTGTATGAAATGAACAGGCAGACAAAGCAGCAAATATGGCGAGAAGGTGAGAAATAAATCCAACAGTTATAATTAACGGAATCCCGATAGAAGATTTTATACAGCATATAAAGAAAAAATTACGGGTAATGTGGAGAAAGTATGGCAACAAAAAGTAAATAAATTAAAAGAAATGAAAAGCCACTATTCCAAATGGAAAACTAGTAACCGACTCCCTAAAAAATAAGAGACAATCCTCTGTTATTTTCGCATGCCTATTTACTAAGAGGACTAGACCCACCGACTTCCGAGAGCTGTAAGGTGCAAAGAACAGTTCAACCATCATCCAAGACTGCCCAGTATTTAAGAATATAATGAAAATTTGGATATGGCTTTGAATCTAAAAGAAAACTTTACTGACAACGAAATAGTCGTGGAAAAAACCTTGCATTTTTAAAAATTACAAAAACCTACTAAAGAGTATGAGTAGGAAGTGTTGCCAATGACCCTGCAGTGTAGAGGCAACAATAAAAACAAATAAATAAATTCATTATGTGAAGGATGATGAAATATATATAAAAATTTGATATGTTCCTCATTGATCCATTAATATTTACTTAAAGCCATTAATTAATATAAAACTTGTTAATATAGTTATTTATTTATTTTTTTTTAAGAACAGGCCTTAAAGACCACGCGAATACCATGAAGTTAATGCTTCCTCTTCATCTGCATCCTCTTCTCCCATATGCCCCTCATGAGCTCCACGTGCTTACGTCTTCTCTCCTGAGACCACGCAACACCCTTTTTTTTTAAATATATATTATATATATTTAATATAGTTATATTATTTCTTTTATAATATTTTTTTATGAAAATAAAGTGTTTCTCTCTCTCCAATACAATTTTAATATCCCTATTAGTAGATAAAAATAAGCTATGGATTTTTGAAATAACCGTGGCGATAAATTCTATAATGACCTGATTGTAAATGGACCAATATTCTAATGGCCCTAGGAACAGAGAAAACAATTATATAATTTATTTTGGTTTTCGCTGAACCAAAATATTTAGGTTATTACATGCCTACCAATCGATTTATTTTTTTTTATGTACAGAATAAGAGAAACATATTGACAATGATATTAGATGAGTTGGAATGTATCATAATTATAAAAACCTAAAGGCACTACCAATAACGTAGGCCAAGTAAATTTTTGTAATGAAAAATGAAGTTTTATTTCCTTTTAGTTCAGTTTAGAACGAATTTTTATAGAAATAAAAAATAATGCAGATATCAGTACTTGATTTTATTTTCCATAGCCGTTATCAATTATAATTATTGATGATAACAATCACCAAGAATTCATTATTTACTTAAATTTAATGTCAATAAAACCGTTGGGAAGCTGTTCCCAAAACAGAAACATTTTAAGCAAAAAAATCAGAAAAAAAAAAATCTTTACAGGCCATCTGATATTCCAAATTGTTTAGTATGTCAGGTTTGTATCATTCTTGTACCAGAACCCTAAATGTTGAAAATTTTCGTGTGATTCGGTGGAGTTGTCCTGAAGTTATAACAAATCTTTTCGCTCAAGTGCCGAAGGACCAAATAAAAATTCGTATTTAAGTTTCTTTTGCTGAGCGATCAATTTCTCCTTAAAAAAATATTTAATCCTACCCATAAATTGATTCAATTTTTTCTCATACCATTATTCTCTGCCAAATATAAAATTTCTTCTAAAACTGTCCCACTTCTAGAGTAAATATTTTTTTCTGTTTTTCATTAATCGTAGTTGGTAGGTAAAAGTAAAAGAAAATAGTCTATTTTATTATAAAAGTATAAAATATTTATTTATTATAATGCTGCTGTTTTATACTGTGGTTTGTAGTAGCTTGGTTCTGGTTTATAGTAGCTGGGCTGGGGCTTGTAGTAAGATGGCTCAGCCTTCTGGTAGTTTGGCTGTGGTTTGTAGTAGCTTGGCTCTGGCTTCTTGTAGGCTGGTTCGGGAGCTGGCTTGTACTTGCCGGGTTCCCTGTGTACCTCAGCTACGAACCCTGACTTTCCATCGACGTGGTACTTGACCACCCTGAGGGTGCCATCGGGCTCGACGAGGCTGTATTCGCCTTCGGTCTTGTCCCCTCCCTCTGCTCGTGCTGGCTCTTGATGTCCCCGGTGTGCTCGTCGTGGACGTCGTAGTGGAACTGGTAGTGAGCTGGTTCGTAGTGTTTTCTTCTTGTACTCGGGAGCTTGCTTGGTGGTAGCCTCCGTACTGGCAGTGCACTGCCGAGATGGCGAGGGCGAGGACTACGAACTGTAAAATCCAATGTACCTTTAGCACACTTATAAAGGGATTACAACTTTTATGGAAATTTTTAAAAATGTTCCACTTTAACAGATCCTTGTAAATGTTTTAGAAAAAAAATCATAACATAAAAGTTGTAAGGAACTTCTAAGTAATAAAGTTCTAGATTTATTGTACACGCTTAACTATTTCTAATTTAAATTAAAAAAAAATAGTTAAATGATAAATAAACTGTAATTCGGCTGATTTATAATTTGTCTTAAATATATTGATTGGTTCTAAATTTTCGTTTGTTGTTTAAGTTGTTAAGAATAGAAATATTTTTTTAGATCGACTTTTTGGCGAAAACAACAGAACTTTTATGTAAACATTTTTTTTTTTTTTAAATAAGTTAAGGAATGCTTTTTTCCTTTTGCTTGAAAATCTCTAGTTCCGAAATCCAAAAACAAAAATAAAATAAATATTTTACTTAACTGATTTAAAATATAAGTTCATATTTATTACACAAATTGAAGAATGGATATTTATTATTATTTTACTGGCCTTTTTTGCGAGTTCCAAGGTTTGATGAAATTCCTTTACATTATATTAAGATAAAGACACGGAGCCTGCGAATGATACTAAAGAACGTATGAAATATTTTAGAACAAAATGTATGACTATAAATTTAAATTTTAACCGTTATTTATATTTATATACGATAAACAATTTATTACAATAATTAAAAAGTCCTATAATTAATTGTTATTATTTCACTATCCTAATTTAATGTGTTCATCCGTTTAATGGAATTTCATCAATTTTTTTCTTTATTTAATTGAATAATCAAAGAACGATATGAATTTTGGGAATGATGGGAATAATAAAGAATGTGCAAAATATTTTAGAAGTTATTGTAGGACTATTACACTGCATTTTTACCACTACTTATATTACTACATTTTAGTGATAAAATATAATATAAATATGATACAAAAAAAAAGGTTTTTGCTTGTCTGATCACAATTTACGAAAACAATTACAGCATTACAGATGTTGCAATATCTCTACCAAAATTACTGTCAGTTTTTGTCTTTACATTAATGACTAAGGGCTTTAAGGTCGCTGTAATTATGAAGAAAAATTGAAAATTGAAACTTTTTACCTTGATCATGGTGGACTAGTGGTGAGCGTTTTTGGTTGTTTGAAGACATTCTCACTATATATACCTCCAAGCCCCACTCCCTGCCTCAGTATTACAAATCTTTTGGGGCATTCGGCCTTGGCTGTCTTAGAAATTTGGATTTAGTCGTTTTAATAAAAATTTGATCAATAAATATTATAGATATATGATCAATATATTACACATTTAAAATGAAATGAATACAACTTTCACAGGCGCTTTTTAAATATAATAAATATTGCAGTTATACAGTGTTGTTTATTTTAATTTTGTACAGTTATAGAAATTTAGTTTTAAAAGAGATTTATTTATTTTATTTTTTATTCTGTAATATAATATTCTGTCACATAGACAATAATTACAGTGAGGTTGAACCATATTCTTTTTGGCCTTTTGACTTCGACTCATTGAAATTTAGATTTTAGGTAGAGTGCTACCAGTGGGTAGTTTCTCAACAATCGTTTTCATGTGATTATATTTCTGTGTACACATTTGCTTGATGTATTTATATTAATGAAGTTGTAAATATCATAAATAAAATTAAAAAAAAAAAAAGATTTTAGGTAGATTTATAATATAAAATTGCTATATTTAAAATTGTTATTTTAAAATATAACATTAATGTTATATGTAGGTGAATAATAATCTAAATAAAATTGCTAGAAAGAAACTTCAATTTTACCTTTTTCCACTCTCTTACAATTGGTCTACTGTTGGAAGATTATTTGAGACCAAAAATTAAAAACAGCGTTGTCACTGAAAGCAACATAACTCAAAAAGTACCGTTTTTTGGAAACGGACTTGAGAGCTTTACTTTCTTAGTTATGATTTTACAATAAATACAATCATGAAATTTTTCTTCATATTCTGATTATTTTAAAAATCCCTAAAAAAAAAAAAAAAAAAAAAATTAAAAATCCCTTTTTTAATTTAATATTTATGATAAACTGTATTAACAGTCAAATTGCCCTATTTCCGAGAAGTGTAATTCTTAAAATCATTTATTTAATTATTATTTAATTTTGTCCTTTGAATTATCATCGCAGTAATTTGTTTGTGTTTATTCTATTAATATGATAGGATCATCATAACTTTTTGAAATTTGCTTTTTTTTTTTAATGAACAGAAAAAACTACAAAATTTTAATATAGTATATTTTAGGCGAAAAGTGCACTGAATTCAATTTTTTTTCTTCTTAAGAGAGGTTTGAAAAGATATAGCCTCGTTTTATTGTAAGAACTCATTAAGTAACATTTCGTAAAATTGAATCACTATTGTGCACTTATTGTGACTATTTGATACATAAAACGGTTTGACTCATATTGATGCACTTCCTGCATTATTTTTGCGACAAATAATGTATCGGAATTCGAAAACCTACGCAAAATTCAGCTCCTTCGAAAATGTGCTTACAAGGTCACTGTCAGTGGGTCACAGATTTCACTAAAAAAATCTTTATTCTAGAGACAAGGCCGGTTTAAAAAAAAATATTATAATTATCAGATAGCTATGGTATGGGAACATACTTGACTAAACGGCGTAGTATTATAAGAGTAAATATTTTTAAGTATTTCTACTTAATACGGAATGGTATAAATCCGATCTTCGTAAACAAATTAGAACCATAGATACGGAATAAAAATATTTGAGAATTACAGCTTAAAAAGGAATGAAATCAAAAAATCATTTATGTCAGTTGGAAGAGCAGTAATGCTTTCCAGCGTTTATATTATTAACGTTGAATTTGAAGAAAATTATGTTACGAATTCTTTAATTAAGGATCCGAAAAAAAAAACATCACAGGAAATCAAGTACAGTCTGTATTTCTTTATTACTATACTTAAATTCTTATTTAAGAGTTTTAAAGGACCCTAAAAACGAATCCTACTTGCTTTTTAAAAACAAGAAATGACTTGGCCTACTTCACTTGAAGCACCCTTCTGATTTTTGTATTTTATGATATATTATAACTCATCTAATATTGGTCAATATTTTTTTCTTATTATGTACAAAAAAAAAGTAGATTGGTATGCAATAACCTGAAAATCCGGTTTATTCAAAGCAAAAATTAAAAAAAAAAATTTTCTTGTCTAATTGGGACCATTGAAACAATTTTGGTTGACATTTTTCGGTGACCCACTGACTGTGAGGTCCCCTCCTTAGTGAATTTTTGCAATGAATCGACGGTGTACAATAATTTTTAAAAAATCACTATTTTATTACAATAAATCAAACATATTTATCCTGACGATTTTCCCACACAAACAACTTCGCAAGAAATATCTTTGACTCATAATTAGTCCTTATTTCTTGAAACACTGTCATTATTTTAGATTTTTTTTTTTCTCGGTAAATATTCCACTGATTTCTGTAAAACAGATCCGTTACCTAGGACTCAAAAGCCTTACTTGAAATCCTCATACTAAACGGAAAATACAAGAAACTTCAAGTGAATTCCAACGCTTACTCGACAAACGCTTTAGAATTCCAATATTCTACAAAACATTCATATACACATCCTTCATCAGATCCATTTGGACGTAAGTCATCGAATTAAATCAAAATCATCGAATTCTTCCCTTATCTATTCCTTACAATTCAAAACCTACTTAAAAACCTTAAAGCTCCTTATTCTGTCACAAATAAAATTATCCATAATGATACCATCATTCCATGTTCAACAGACATGTTGAAAACTTGGCCGAATTAGAAATCCCCCCTTTAGTGTAAAACTTTTTAGTCCTCCCAACCCTCTTCATAACCTCATAATGCATAATCTTTCATTCAAAACAATACCTGACAACAAGGCGTGAGAAAAGGGGATGGCCAAGAGTCCTCCAATTTAATCTAATTATTGAAGTGTTACCAATGGATAGCTTCTTCACAAGTTCTTATCACATTTTATATTCTCATTGCAGATTTGCGCATTTATTCATACTGTTATAAATATCAATAACATTTTCACAACTAACAAGTAATTTTATTAAATCATGTTAATTTTATGTGTGCTTACAGATGGTAAAATTTTATTAGTAAATTGTTGTTGGCATTGATAGCAGCATATATTCCGGTTATCCAATTTGAATTTGCTTCAAAGAACCAATATACTGTAATTATAGAGTAATGATTGTATAGCTTATGTAATATATTATACAGTTTAGAATAATCTGCTGGTGTTCCTCAAGGGAGCATCTTAGGTCCCATCCTTTACACAGTATATACTGCTGATATCTAACCACCTATCCTTCAACCGTCCTCACTACCTATACTGATGACACATGTGTATTGCCTGTCAATAATGAACCAACTATTGCATCACAGACCCTGCAGTCACACATTTCAGCCATTGAAGAATAGTGTGAAAATTGGAGAATTAAAATTAATCCAAACAAATCACTTTTACCCTTCGCCGTAAACCTACAACAATGTCCGTATTGTTTAACAATATTCCACTGATCCCTGTCGAACAGATCCGTTACCTAGGACTCCTTCTTGACAAACGCCTTACCTGGAATCCTCATACTAGACTTAAAAGACAAGAAACTGCAAACAGATTCCGACTACTACAACATTTACTTGATAAACGCTCTAAACTTCCAATATTCTACAAAAACTCATTTACAGTACCATTATCAGGCCATTTGGACATATGGTATTGAGCTTTGGGCCTCTACAAAAACATCAAATTGTTCCCGTATCCAATCCTTACATTCCAAAATCCTCCGTAAACTTCTAAATGCTCCTTATCATGTAACTAATAAAATTATCCATCAAGACCTCAACATTCCTCTTGTGGAAGACTTGGCCCGAACTAGATATACCTCATTTAATTCCACACTCTTTGGTCGCCCCAATCTTCTAGTTCGTTACCTTTCATCCAATACAATTCCTGACAACCCTCCGAGGCGTCTGAAAAGAAGATGGCCAAAGGACCTCCTAAATTAATTTATCTTTGAAGTGTTACCAATGGGTAGGTTCTTCACAAATTCTTTCTGGTTTTATTTATGTTTACAGTTGTAAATTTCAATAAAATAATTTAAAAAATGTTTGGAATAGAAAACTTGGCAAGTGTGGTCTCGATGGTATACCGCACCATTTTCCTTACGAAAAGTGATCAGATCGTCTCATTGTGAAATAGATGTAATTTACAAATTTATAAATACTTGTGGAATTATGTTTTGAATATAGATTTTCATTATTTTGGATGAACAATGGCACGACCTATCCGTAAGGCACTTACATACGTATTATTACATAATTTATTATATATATATATATATATATATATATATATATATATATATATGTGTGTGTGTGTGTGTGTGTGTGTGTGTGTGTGTATATATAATGTTTTTCTCTAAATCTTCGTTTTTATCAGATAAAGATGTTGAGTGCAGTAATTTTAATTTAACTGAAATCCAAAATTTCTGTTGATAGCTCATGAGGATCAGGTGTTAAGCTAAACTTGAGAAATGTTTTTTTTTAAATACATAGTTAATAAACGAAGTATAAAGCAAGAAAACAAAATAAAGGTTTTTAAGATACTTGGTTAAATTATGTAACACAGGAGAACACAAGAGGGGTCTGAAAATCGGTGATAGGAATTTCTTGCAATGATGTCCAGACGTGTAAGTCAGCAGAAGAATTCTCTAAAGGCACTTTTACCTACCTCGCCCGAATAGAACCTTTCACGCTGAATAAAATTTTAAAAAAATTATTTTCACATAAAATCTGAATATGATGTAATTCTTTAAAGCATTTTCGCTAGATTTAGTTAGTCAACCTCTATAAGAAAAAAACCTGTGTAGCTCATATTAACATCATTCATTGTTGCTGAAAATATCTGCTTACATCAAGTATTGGACAAATGTTCAAATAACATATTCCATGCCACCCGTTGGCACGATAATATAAATCATTGAATAGCCAAATCATGAACGCTTACTCAAAGTTTATTGCCTGGATAGGGAAGGCTCAGCGAGATTCGTAGTTATCTTTGCCTTTAGTGCGAAAGGAACAGAGGCTCCGATAGTCGAACCTACAATTAGATATCAAACGAACGATGAGGATCAAGATTACAAAATACAAACAGAGAAGGAGGAAATATATAAAAAATGCATTCCGAACTTAAGTGAGAAATATAGAGAGAAATTTGGCGATAGAGATTTTTCTGTAAGGGAACTTTGGTTCGAAAGTAGAGAGACAATTCCTTTAAATTTTTTTATGGAAAAGCTGGGAGTTGAAAGGGATCAGATACAGAGTATGGCGGAATTTATTATTTTTTACTCATTGATTTCTTTGGACCTTGAGGACAAAATTGACTAGAATTAGGATTAGAAGAGAAAGAAAATTATAAATGACATTTTTTATACAAAACATTTGGCATTTAGGATGGATGCAGAAAAAACTTTATCCTTTCTTTATCCTTTTACTTGACAGTATCTTAGAAATTGTATCCACTTGTTTACACATATAAATTGTACGTAGTTTTTTTTCTATCTTTCTCGCCTCTATCCTCAATGGTCATAGGCGTTTTACTATGATTTATATTCTTCTGTAATATTCTATTTACTTCAAAAATTCAAACAAAGTTTTGACTGTTTCTTCAGTATCTTGAAGGATTTCTTTTAATGTTCTGGCTAAGCCTGTTTTTTGTCTATAACTTTCTAATTGAGGTCATTCTTCCAGTAAGTGTTTTACTGTTTGCGGAACGTTATTGCATTTTTCACATGTGGGCGCTTCGAGACCTCTCAGAAGGTAGCCATGTGTAAACTGGCAGTGTCCTATCCTTAGTCGGCAAAGCATTACTTCTTCTCTCCTTGAACTTCTGTAGCTTGTGAGCCATTTGTCGCAATTAGGTTTTATTTCTCTCATTTTACATTCTTTCATATTCCCTCTTCCATTCTGTTTGTAGTCTTGTTTTTGGGTGGTGTAGCCAGTCTTCTAAGGTAACTTTCCTTAGTCTTATCTCCGCCGTTTCTTCTTCGCTTCTTGCTAAATGGGCTGCTTGGTCAGCTTTTTCATTTCCTGCAATGCCGCAGTGGGCTGGCACCCAGACGAACACTATTGACATTCCTTTGTTTTTTTGCTTCCCACCATACATTTAATATTTCATTAATAATAGAATTAGTTGGAGATGGATTGTCGATAGCGGCTAAGACACTCCATGAGTCAGTTACAACGACCCAGCACTTTTCCACAGAATCTCTTATGAAATAAAGACCGTTCATGATGACAGTCGCCTCTCCTGTAAAAATGGAGCATTCACCTGGCAGTATAAATAGCAGTTGATTTTCCTTATTTGTTACAGCACATCCTACATTGTTTCCTTCCTTGGATGCATCTGTGTATATGAATTCGAAATTTGTATAATTTTCCGTTAGTTTTAAAAACGATTTCTGAATTTCAATCGGGTACGTTCTTGATATTTTGGCCATACATCTATTTATCACTGGTTTAATTTTTTTCCAACAAGGTATTCTTAATTCTTATATTAATTAGTTATAATGAAATCAGTTCCACTCTTTTTAATAATTTATGCTCTACTTGAAGTAAAAGAAAATATTAAATATTTATCACTTAAACTTTTCTCTTTAGCTATAATTAAAGCTTTTAAACAATATCACTTATTACTTTTGTCCTCACCTTCAATTCAAGAAAAAAAAAATATAAACCTTTCAACGTAATTTTTTCGTAGGAAGATGTTAGGCGGCTTTAGATGTATTCCGAGGGTTGGTACTTATTCATTACAATATACGTTGGTCCTCCATTGAAATTGTATATCAATAGTATCAATAGTATTTGGTGTAAATAGTTAAAGTCAATTTTATTACAAAAGTATAAAAATTTATTTGTACATATAATACATTATAGAAAATAGCAATTTATAATACAAATTGTAGATTTAGTAGTATTTTGGCTGTGGTTTGTAGTAGCTTGGTTGTGGTTTGTTGTAGCTGGGCTGAGGCTTGTAGTATGATGGTTCAGCCTTCTGGTAGGTTGGCTGTGGTTTGTAGTAGCTTGGCTCTGGCTTCTTGTAGGCTGGTTCGGGAGCTGGCTTGTACTTGCCGGGTTCCCTGTGTACCTCAGCTACGAACCCTGACTTTCCATCGACGTGGTACTTGACCACCCTGAGGGTGCCATCGGGCTCGACGAGGCTGTATTCGCCTTCGGTCTTGTCCCCCTCCCTCTGCTCGTGCTGGCTCTTGATGTCTCCGGTGTGCTCGTCGTGGACGTCGTAGTGGAACTGGTAGTGAGCTGGCTCGTAGTGTTCTTCTTCCTTGTACTCGGGAGCTTGCTGGTGGTAGCCTCCGTACTGGCAGTGCACTGCCGAGATGGCGAGGGCGAGGACTACGAACTGTAAAATCCAATGTACCTTTAGCACACGTATAAAGGGATTACAACTTTTATGGAACTTTTTAAAAATGTTCCACTTTAACAGATTCTGGTAAATGTTTTAGAAAAAAAAATTTAATATAAAAGCTCTAAGGAACTTCTAAGAACTTGTAAGTAATAAAGTTCTACATTTGTACATTTGTACCCGCTTAACTATTTCTAATTTAAATTCTAAAAAAAAAAATAGTTATTTGATAAATAATAAGCCTGTAATCAGGCTAAGATTTATAATTGTCTTAAATATATTGATTGGTTCTAAAGTGTCGTTTGTTTAAATAGTCAAGAACAGAAATATTTTTTAGAACGACTTTTTGGCGAAGACAACAGGACTTTTATATAAACATTTTTTTTTTAAATAAGTTAAGGCATGCTTTTTTTTTCCTTTTGCTTGAAAAGCTCTAGTTCAGAAATCCTGAAAAAAAAAATGAAAACATATATTCTACTCAACTGATTAAAAATAAAAGTTCATATTTCATTAAAAGACCTACCTGGAGTATATCATTGAGAATTTATTGAACAAATTGAGGAATGGATATTAATTATTATTATTATTTTTTTTTTACGAGTTCTTGGGTTTGATGAAATTTCTTTATATTATATTAAGATAAAGACACGGAGCCTGGGAATGATAGTAAAGAACGTATGAAATATTTTAGAATAAAATGTATGACTATATATTTACATTTTTACCGTTATTTATATTAATACCAATCAGTAATAAAATATTATGTGGTTTTAAGTTCTGTACCCCATAGACACTTACTAGATATTTTTTAAATCACATTTTATAAAAAAACATGAAAGCATAACGGAAGATTCGATGCCTTAACCAAATATCACAGGTGGAATATCTCTTTACAGCAAGGCTAAGAGCTTTAAGGTTATTAAAATAAAGAGAAATAATGAAAATTTGATGAATGTTAACTTTTTACCTTGATCATGGTGAACTAGTGGTGAGCGTTTTTGGTTGTTTGAAGACATTCTCACTATATATACCTCCAAGCCCCACTCCCTGCCTCAGTATTACAAATCTTTTCGGGCATTCGGCCTTGGCTGTCTTAGAAATTTGGATTTAGTCGTTTTAATAAAAATTTTATAAATAAATATTATAGATATATTATCAATATAATACACATTCAGAATGAAAGGAATACAACTTTCACAGGCTTACAATTAAATTATTGAGCGTTTTTTGAAACATAATAAATATTGCGGTTATACAAAATGTAGCCCAGTAAATTTAAGATTTGATACCAAGAAAATTCATAATTGGCTGTAAATATGGGAATTAGTTCTTCATCGAACTAATTTGAGAGTGACAGATAATACGACTTCAATTCTGTGTGGTTTAACATTCACTTACTGTCTCACATATTGACCTATCTACATGAAGTATTTAGAAAATTTAATGCTCTTTCAAGATGATTATAACAAATTTCTTCAAGAGATGCGTAGATTTTGAGTTTGGGGAGAAAAAACAACGAAAACAGCTATTTCTTGTGAAATAAATAAACAGCTAACTTGTTGCAACTCCTCACCTGTTCATCTTAAATTAAAAAGCTATTCTAAAACTATATAGAAGATTTTATGTTCTTTAAGTTTGTTTAGAATAATAATCTCGATAAAGTACATAATTTCGGAGACATAGCCAAGAGAGAGAAACACTTTATTTTCATAAAAAATATAAAATATAAAAGATTGCTGCCCAATTATATTGGGTTGCTATATACACAGCATACTCGTTAATCTTTAGGACAATAAATGAACTTATATATAAATAGACAGAAGTGGTTAGCTTATATTAGTAAAATAGATATATGTATATACATTTTTTTTTTCTTCCTTTCATTGTTCATGGTTTTTTTTAACATTTGATTTCCCTTTCTCTCACTTCTCTCTCTTTAACTCTATTGTTTTCAATTTTTCATTAAATAAATAAATACATAAATTAAAACTCTCAGCTTATAAAAATTGCGGAAATTTCCCTGTTTTTTGTATGTACCTCGGAACGCAATCGAAAACTTTGTTTTAAAACTTGAAATTCAGAAGAAACACACTAAAAAACATATTAGAATGAAGAGAAATCAGAAGAGAGTCTATTTGCTTTTTTTCTACATATTTCCACTAGTATCATTCTACTGGACTAATTTGATATTTTTGTCGCCTTCAGTTTTCAAAACGCAACCGAGTACATCGACAGTCGAGGTGAATTCTCTTTTAGGGACATATTCTGTTCATCATATCCAAATTTCAGTCGTCAGTTCTTCTGTTAAATAAAACATAAATTTTACTTTAAATTTTTGTATAGAGAGCAATAGCTTTCAACCAACTGACCGAAGTTGTTTGTTCAGATGAGGTTTATCTACAATTTAAAATGGTTAATAACTGCAAGTCCTTCAGTTAAATGAAATGATTGTTAGCTCGTAGTCCATAGCCCGTGATGGAACTCAGCTTTTTTTAACAAAAAATAACACATCTCCACCATTTTTCAGAAAATGTTAAGAAAACAATTTTTCCAACATTCCTCTTTCTGAGGAATACAAAAAACATACGTAACATTATTTTCTATTTGTGAATAGTTTCAAAGCTACAAGGGGTGACAGAATTAGAATCAAGAAATTTCGTTTTTTTTATCAAACAAATCAATTTACAGCTAGTTTATTATTTTTTATCAGGTGAAATGGAATCCAAAGGAAGCATCCTTGCCGATTATATTAGTACTTCCAGAATTCAAGAATGACGGTTTTTGATGGAGATATGAGAAAAAACATAACATAACACAGAACGTTCTAGGTGGCCATCTTTGACCCTCCATTTTGGATAGAAGCGGACATGGGATTTTAGAGGACTTTCCATGGTTTGTTCTACATTCGATGAGGAACTAATTCTCACATTTACAGATGAATTATCACATTCATTTACAGATGAATTTTCTTGATATCGGCCCTGTTTTTTCCCTATTTTTATTGGGCTAGTGTTGTTCGTTTTCACTATATATACTAATATATATATATATATATATATTTATATATATATATACATTTATATTAATATATATAGTGAAAACGAACAACACTAGCCCTGTATTGAATATATATTTGTATCGGATATATACAATATATACAAAATATATATACATATATTAATATATATATAGTGAAAACGAACAACACCAGCCCAGTAAAAATAGGAAAAAAACAGGGCCGATATCAAGAAAATTCATCTGTAAATGAATGTGATAATTCATCTGTAAATGTGGGATTAGGTCCTCATCGAATGTTGAACAAACCATGAAAAGTCCCATAAAATCCCATGTCCGCTTCTATCCAATATATATATTTACTAATGTTTTATCTTTTTAGCTTGTACAGTCATAGCAATTTAGTTTTAAAATATATATATTTATTTTATTTTTTATTCTGTAATATAATATTCAGTCACATAGACAATAAAAACAATGAGGTTGAACCATATTCACGCTACATCTACAGAAAATACAAAATTAATAGAAGAAAAATAACAATCAAAAAGTATTTACATTAAGAAAAATTAATTAACTTAAAATTTAGCCAGGAAACTCCTAGGCAGGCTTGGCTCTCCAACTAAGGAGGGAAAACCAGGACTCCAGGAGATAATTGCGCTACTCTCTCAAATCCGTCACTGGTACTCAAGCCAGTGGAGATTTAGCGAGACCGTTTTAGTCAAATCCATTCATGTCTTGAGTGGAGAATCTGACCGTTGCCTGAACTCCTATATATATACACACTACAAAATATCGCGGGGCCAATTCCGGTTTAAACTGCTTGGTGGATTGTAGGGATGATTGGTGCTAGATAGAGATAATGCAAGGGGATTTGGATGATACGTATGGTTCTGATGAAATTTGGAGACTTTTTCTGCGATAATGTAAAAAAAACAAACTGAACGGTTATTTAGAAAATAACTCAATTGCTATGAACTAAGCATATTTATTTATCCTGGTATGTTGTCTCTTATTTTTTCTCAGAAGAAACTCCTATCACTTAAGTTTTAGAAATGTAGTTTACTTTTTTCCTCTATGATCCGCATCTATAATTCATAATCAGCATATATTGAAATCCTGACATTGTTTTACCATTCTTCTTTTTCTTTTTTTATAAACATGGTTAGATACAAAAATATCTTACTGTTGCCTTAAGAGATTTCCGTGTATCTCATTAACCTTCAACTGAAATTTTAAATGGTTATTATATGGTTAAATCTGCTCAACACTGTAAAGATATAGTAGTTTTTCTCTAAATCTTTATTTTTGTAAAACAACTTTAATGTATTATTCTGAATTTCGGAGTGTGAATCAAAAACGTCTGTTCTTAGCTCATGGCGGTTAAGGTAACGTTGAGATATTTTCCTTATAATATAATCCTTATAAACGAAAGTAAAATAAGCTTTAAAAACTTCGTTTCTAAGTACTTGGGCTAATTATAGAACGCATGAGGGTACTTGAGATCTGGATCTTGGTGATGAAATTTCGTGTTCAGATGCCTAAGCCGGCAGGAGCATTCTCTCTTGGGCACTTTTACCTTCCTCGCCCAGATATAGCCTTTCACGGTAAATGGAGCTTATAACGTCATATGGAGTATATTTTTGGATGGCTTGATGAGATGGCAATAGCAAATTTTTTTCACTTTCTTTATTTCCGCACATCTGTGATCTTGTTTTTCCTGCACTGATTATGCCTGAATTGGCAAGATTGAACGATTGGCAAGTTGTAACTATTCAATGTATGTTATATTTTAGAGTCATAACCTAAGTTTCACAAAAAACGTGTATAGTTTTTAAAATATTTTTTTCAGCTTTAGATCAAAGTCAAAATCTATTAGAAAAGTAAAAAAAAAAAAAAAAACTACGCCTTTTTTATTTGCAGACCTGTTTAATCGGCACTATATATAACATGGTAACCAAATTGACTCGTATACCCCATATTTTGAGATACAATACGTTAGTATATATGTGTGGTATGTATGTGTTTTTTAATTTACTTAACATTAAGTTATTTTATTTTATTCATTGTATATTGTATATATTTTTGATTATTATTTATTTGTAATCTTGCTTCTGTTCAATTTTTTTTATTGTTTGTACATATAATGTGAATGTGATTTTACCTCCCTATAAACATTGTCGAAGTGACAGAATGTTATATTATTCAATAAATAAAAAAAAAATAAAAAAAGAAGCAATAGATTTTGATGAATGAGGGATCAAACGAAAGGAAATTTTATTGAGAAGTGAGGAATTCCAATTACAAAACGTAAAACAAAACTATAACTAGAATAAAAGTTTCTGACAAAAATGGAGTTTTCAAAACTCAGATGGTTTCAAAAGTTGACGGAACAAGACTTGATAAATTGTGTTTTAAAGATTTTGAGGGGGGTATCAAGACCCTATACCAGAGATTAGTAAATGCCTTTTTGAGTACTTAGTACCAAGTATTTTTATCAAATCTGATTTTTTTTTTAGTACCAAGAAATTAATTACTACTTCAGTTGATGCCAAACGATTAACTGAAGTAGTGATTGAATTCCTTACAGCGATACAATTAGAGTAAAATACTTGGTACTAGTTACCCTGAGTAGCATTTGCCCATTTCTGCTCTGTACATCGGATCCTGTGTTTCAAAGCCCAAAAATGTACCAATTTCGAGATAAATTTTAGTTCTTATCGAAAACCTCTTAATTGAAATGGTTTCCATGGGATACCTTTTACACGTTTTGGTTTAAAAAATAAGCTATTGCTATTTATGATAATTTTCGACGAATTAAAATTCTATTGAAAAGGTAAATGTAAAAGAATAGTTCTAGAGAAGAATATGTTCAATAAATTAAAAAGTATATCCACGTATAGCTTCTTTACTCTTAGTAGTGAGTGAACTATAAGCCAATGTTTCATCTACGCCAAACAAATGGATCTTGAGGGAGTTCAATAATGGATTAATATAAGATCAGGCACTAGCGGATCCAAGATTTAATTTTGGGGAGGGGCATCGGCCCGAAAGATTTTTTTTTCATAAATCTTCATAAAAATAATTTAAAACAAAAAAGAAAGAAATTAACTACCTATATGAAATGGTGTTTAAGTGGTTCCTGAAGTCCTATTAAATGTAATTAAACGAACAAGAATACTTTAAGAGACAGTTTTTAATATTTTTTTCTGTAAGATATGGTTATATTTTACCATTTTGGGAGGGGGGAGGGGAAGCTTCAGCCCGAAAGCCCCCCCGTAGATCCGCCTGTGAGATAAGGGATTGTTGATTGTTGATTTTATTTCCTAACTATTAAACTGGATGGATATTTTCCAGTGGGACAAACTAATTACTGATTGAGCAAATTGTTACTTTAACAGTCGTGGTAAAGTATGAAGCTTCTCTAATTGTGTGGATTGAATAGATTATATTCAACATAGATAATATTATTATATATATTTGTATACATGAATAAACTAGTTCGCTTATGTCGCTTTTGTCACTTATGTCGAACGTATCAGGCAGAAGGATAGTTATCTTCAGTGGAAGTTCTGGTGTGTACGAGTACTTATTAATATCATTCATTTCGACTTATGATATCTGTTCAGATCTTGTATCTAACCTACATCATTTGTAAGCGAAGTGTATTTCCGTAGAATATAATAAGAGAAATTTGATTTGTTTTAACTTCATATGCTCTAATCTTATATGTATAAGGGGTGTAATTAAGGTTTTTAGATATATCTATCTCCGTGGCATTGCATTCCTCGCTAAGTCTTGGCCTTCTCAGTGAGTCTCCGCAATTCGGCTTTGACTAGAACAGCTGCATTCCAGGCGCCACTCCGTCATTCCACCTCAGTCTCGGCCTGTAAGCTCTTCTAGTCAAGTTAAGGACCTCTTCCAACAATTTCCTTGGACTCACTACTCTTTCATCCTGGAAATATGACCAGCCACACAAATCATCATAAGCTTGATAAACTTCATCACATTTAGCTTCCATAAAGTTAGTAAAATGTTCATTATTTTCTGATTCTCCAGGCCACTGCAACTATCACTGAACTGATTGGGTGCCGCAATATTTGTCTTTCAAACAACATTAGTTCTTCTTAGTTGAATTGGTCCAGGTTTGGGATGCGCAGTTTTGTTTGTCTGATGAGAAGTGTACTGCGGATTGTCTAATAATATCTTAATATTTTTGACCTAGATCTTGGTCTTGCAAAGCGCAAGACCAAGACCGATTTTGGGCAACACTAGTAAACACGTATGTTTCGCTGATCAGCGACGGGAGTTTCCTAAAGATAAAAAAGGCCTAAAGATAAAAAAATCAGTTACAACCGGTTGATTTAGCTGTGTTTCTTTTTCTGCTGTACTTTATGGAAATGAAAGGAGAAAATATTAAAAATACATCACTTTATACTTTTAAAATGAGCTGTAATTCACGTTTTCTAAACATTTTCGATGCATTCGTTCATAAGACGATCTTGATGTTAGGTGTGAATATTTAATAAAAAGATAATTTTATTATAAAAGTATAAAAATTTATTTGTACATATAATACATTATATAAAATAGCAATTTATAATACAAATTGGTGATTTAGTAGTATTTTGGCTGTGGTTTGTAGTAGCTTGGCTGTGGTTTGTAGTAGCTTGGTTCTGGTTTGTTGTAGCTGGGCTGGGGCTTGTAGTAAGATGGTTCAGCCTTCTGGTAGGTTGGCTGTGGTTTGTAGTAGCTTGGCTCTGGCTTCTTGTAGGCTGGTTCGGGAGCTGGCTTGTACTTGCCGGGTTCCCTGTGTACCTCAGCTACGAACCCTGACTTTCCATCGACGTGGTACTTGACCACCCTGAGGGTGCCATCGGGCTCGACGAGGCTGTATTCGCCTTCGGTCTTGTCCCCCTCCCTCTGCTCGTGCTGGCTCTTGATGTCTCCGGTGTGCTCGTCGTGGACGTCGTAGTGGAACTGGTAGTGAGCTGGTTCGTAGTGTTCTTCTTCCTTGTACTCGGGAGCTTGCTGGTGGTAGCCTCCGTACTGGCAGTGCACTGCCGAGATGGCGAGGGCGAGGACTACGAACTAAAATTTCAATTTGTGTTATACCACTGTTATTACCATATTGTCACAAAACATAAGAAACTGTGCCTAAGTTAACCTTATTTTATGGAAGCATAGTATTACAATATATATTTTTCTTGCTACATTTCAGTTAATAAATATCGTCTCTTTATTCCAAAGTTTACTATGTACACTTTTGTTGGGGCTAAACTTTTAAGTACGCTTTTATGAATTTCGATTTGGTTTATCAATATAAACATAATCGATCACTGTAAATACATAAAAATGATTCTAGCCATTTTGTTTTTACAGGGTGAAAATTCATCACAGTACTTAATATTATAAAATACTACTTAAAATTTTCAATAAACCGACGATATTAATTATAAAATATTATGTAGGTTTAAGGCTCCTACCCATCAATCAACGTTTATAAGTACAAAAATAAATAATGTTCATTAATGTCAACAGAAAAAAAAAAAACTTACAATATCTCTATAAAACTCATATGACCCTATCGTTTATTGGTAAAAAAAAGCTGTGTAAAAGCTTTCCATACTAACAAAGAAAATTATAATTCCGAAATGCATATGTACAAAATAAATAAAAAAAATGTAAATGAAGATTCGAATCAGAGGTCATTCGAAACTGATTCAAATAAAAGTTCAAATTCATTTCAAGCCCTGCACATATTCCATTAACAATTTGTAGAATGGTTATTCATTATTATTTGTGTTGCGCGAAATCGGTCTTGGCTTTGCAGAGACCAACGCCACCTAACTGTTGTAAGACCAAGACCAGAATTGGTAAAAAAAAAAAAACGATCTTTTAAATTAAAATTTAGGCAAAAAAGTTCCTAATAATTGACAATCTCAGTTACTATATGTTAATAATTGGTATAATCAATATACTTTTGCGTTTAACTCCTCTAATTTTTCATTCGGGCTTAGGGTTTTTTTTCTATCTAAAAATTACAGTAATATCTCTATAGTAATAAGCTAATAAGTAACTGCAAGACTGTTGAGAGGCTCTTGCGCAAGACCAAGACCATGACCAAGACTAACTTTGCAAGTCCAAGACTGGTCTCGGTCTCGCATTTGGGCTACACTATACGTTATATTAAAATAAAGACATAGAGCTTGTTGATGTTAGTAAAGAATGTATGAAATATTTTAGAACATAATATACGACTAATATTTTACATTTATATCACTACTTACGTCAATACTGATTAATAATAACATATCATGTGGTTTTAAATACCGTACCCATAGACAATCTTTAGAAAAAAAAAATTAATGTGTTAATTTTTATTTAATTTTTTATTAAATTTTTTAAAAAAACATGAAGGGCTTAACAGAGAATGCAATAACTTAACCAAATATCACGGGTGGAATATGTCTTTACAGTTAGCTAAGAGCTTTAAGGTTATTACAATAAAGAAAAATAATGCAAATTCCATGAATGAAAAGATTTTACCTTGATCATGGTGGACTAGTGGTGAACGTTTTTGGTTGGTTGAAGACATTCTAACTATATATACCTCCAAGCCCCACTCCCTTGTCTCAGTATTACAAATCTTTTTGGGCTTTCGGCCTTGACTGCCCTAGAAATTTAGATTTAGTCTTTTAAATAGAAGTATTATCTATAAACATTATTTATATTTATTATTATTTTAAGTAGAAGTGTTATCTACAATAGATCATTTACATAAATATTTAAGTAGGTAGATGACAATCGAATAAAATCATTAAAATGTACTTTTTTAATTATTTTTTTTATTTATTGAATTATATTACATTCTGTCACTTGAAAATTAGTTTTATGGAGGTAAGATAACAATAATCTTTAAATTATTTTTTTCTTTAATGATGAAAACTTCTTTACTGTTGGAAGAATATTTTTTGTTTAAAACTATAACCAATATCGTCACCCTAGAGCTTGAATTAAATGGCACATCCAGAATGAAAGAAATAAAATACGAAAAATGCTGTTTTTAGGAAACCATGGTTAAATTTGTACACATTTTAAAACACAATGCGTCTCTTTGAAAAGTTTCAATATATAATTTTTTTTTAATGTCTCAATGATCCTTGTTTTGCATTATCTAACTGTCCCCAGTTTAAAATCAATCTCATGTCTTAATTTTTTGTTTTAACTTTGTTTTAATTTTGGCGACTGGCCTTTATGGCGGCTAATATTAATAGCGAAATTTTCTCCAAACCGAGAAGTTTAATTCTTGGAATAAAAGAAATTCTCTTATGAAAATATTGTAATATTAAATATACCCAAATTAATAAAAAATATTAATCATCAATTTTGTTTTATATCTCATAAGTTTTTTTGTTTTCATTCTATAACAGAAATCTCATTGCATTTAATTTCTTTTTTGTTCTTGATCTGAAAAACATTTAAAAGAATTGTTTTATTGATTTACTTTTTAAAATTATAATCTTTTTATTGGAAGAATAATAATACAATCTGCCACAATTAAGAGCATTGGGCATTAAGGCTCTATGTGTACATTCATACTATTATATACAAATAGAGAAAAAAGAAAACATCTAAGTAAAAAATATATACAATAAAATAATAAATATAAGATAATATAAAATGGAAATAAATAATATAATATAAAAGGTAAAATAATATTAAAAACATAGAAGATACTTGTAAAAAGAAAAAGAAAAAAATACAAAATGAAAAAGAAAAAATACAAATGAAAAAGAAAAAGAAAAAAAAATACATCATAATTTTATTAATGTTATATTCCCTCCATATTATATCTCTGCAGTATATCGGTTGACAAAAAACTCAAAAGTTATGTCCTTTTAATCCCCACTTATACCCATACTAATTTTACTGGAACAACAGACATTTAAAGCATTCCGGCGGCTATTGCCACTACGAAGTCCTCTAACTCAAAAAAGATATTTTTTAAGTTCTACTCTCTTCATTTTGTATTTGCAACATGAATTTATATTTTTCTAGCAAGAATATGGCTAATTTATAATAAAGCTCTATGAATGATATACGTTCAAACTAATTTTATTTTTATTCTGACGATAACACACAAATGAAAAAAATAATTCAGATGTCTAGATCGTTTTAACCAAGTATACTGAATCCAAAAAATGACAATCAGTTCTTCATATTATCTACAGGTTTCCCTCTTTTTTTTTTTTTTTTGCATTATAAGTAGTTTGAAAATTATGTTTTTTTAATCTTCGAGGCAGATATGGGCAAATACTATTTCAAGTACCGAGTATTAAGTATTTGACTTAAGTTTAATCAACATTGGAGTTCAAGCACTACTTCAGTTAATCTTTTGACTTTAACTGAAGAAGCAATTAATTATTTTGGTACTAAAAAAGGTCAGTATTTGAATTTAAAAAAATTACTATTTTATTACGACGAACTAAATATATGTAATTAATTGGTATTTTAGTAGAAGGTTTTTCAAGTGCACTTAATTTACTTATAGAAGGTGTCTCCAACGATATATCTTCTTATTATTATTCAATAAGCTCTTCTACCTTTCGGTGTAGAGATCTTTTTACATGGATTCCACACGCCTCTGTCGAGGGCTGCTCTCCTGGTTTCCGGCCATCCATTTCCTCTAACTTTAAGAATATTTTTTTTATTAGAAGATTATCTTCCCAAGTAATTCTTGATATTCCTCGAGGGCCTTTTCCCACTGGTTTAGCCTCCATAATTTTCTTTGCTGAACTGCAGTCATCCATCCTCGTTACATGACCGAACCATCAAAGCTTCCCTTTCTCTATTATCTGGTTGAGGGGTTCAATTTTGAGCGTAGTCCGCATGTTTGTGTTACGTATCTGGTCTCTCTTAGTCCTTCCCTCTTTTTTTCCACAGATACCTCATTGCCATGCCTTGGAAGCGGCTGCGATCATGTTGCTTTAGGACCCAGGATTCGCTTCTATGAGTGAGGATAGTGAACGTCGAGTGTTAGACGGCTAATTTTGTTTCTTTTGCCACTTCTCTCTTACTTTAAAACTTCCTCTTGTTGGCAGATAACATCCTTCCTGAAGTGGCAACTCTCGTATTAATTTCGTCTCTAATTTTCCCGCTTTCACTGATCGTCACAGCGCAATACTTGAACGTAGGAATCTGCTGTATCATCTCCTCATTAATGCGAACCGCAAAATGTTTCTGGACACTAGCATACACTTGGTCTTGAAAGTTCTAATGACCATATTTCTTTTTACTAACTCTTCTGTCCAGATATCTAAACTTGCATGTAGCTTTTCTTTACTGTTCTTAACATTTGATTCACATTTATTGCAATCGACGCCAATTCATAAACCTGTTCCTGAGGTAGTCACTCTTCTTCCATTATAACATTAAAAGTGAATTTAAGGAAAACCAAAACAATTATTATATTTAATTTAAAATTTTGAGCATAAGTCGAAATTGTTTCTTTAATTGGGAAATTAGGTACTTATTTTTATTAAAATCTGTGTTTTTTTTAAATTTTATCGAAATGTAAAAATAATTAAATACCTCGTCTCCATAATTACACTAAACCATGGAAAATAGAGTAGTATAGAGTAAAGTCACTAAGTGATTTTTTAATCGTTAAATCCAAACCCTGAACTGGTATGAGCTGCCCGTTACGGAGTAGGAACTGTAAACACTAGTGTTGCCCAAATGCGAGACCCAGACGAGTCTTGGTATTGCAAACTCAGTCTTGGTCATGGTCTTGGTCTTGCGCAAGACTCTCGCAACAGTCTTGCAGTTACATATTAGCTTATTACTATAGAGATATTACTGTAATTTTTTAGATAGGAGAAACCTAACTAAGCTCGAATGAAAAATTAGAGGAGTTAAATGCAAAAGTATATTGGTTATACCGATTTTTAACATATAGTAACTAAGATTGTTAAGTATTAGTAACTATTTTACCTTAATTTTTATGTAAAATATCGATTTTTTTTTACCAGTCCTGGTCTTGGTCTAGCAACAGTTAGGCGACCTAGATCTTGGTCTTGCAAAGCGCAAGACCAAGACCGATTTTGGGCAACACTAGTAAACACGTATGTTACGCTGATCAGCGACGGGAGTTTCCTAAAGATAAAACAGGCCTAAAGATAAAAAAATCAGTTCCAATCTGTTGATTTAGCTGTGTTTCTTTTTCTGCTGTACTTTATGGAAATGAAAGGAGAAAATATTAAAAATATATCACTTTATACTTTTAAAATGAGCTGTAATTCACGTTTTCTAAACATTTTCGATGCATTCGTTCATAAGACGATCTTGATGTTAGATGTGAATATTTAATAAAAAGCCAATTTTATTACAAAAGTATAAAAATTTATTTGTACATATAATACATTATAAAAAATAGCAATTTATAATACAAATTGGTGATTTAGTAGTATTTTGGCTGTGGTTTGTAGTAGCTTGGCTGTGGTTTGTAGTAGCTTGGTTGTGGTTTGTTGTAGCTGGGCTGGGGCTTGTAGTAAGATGGTTCAGCCTTCTGGTAGGTTGGCTGTGGTTTGTAGTAGCTTGGCTCTGGCTTCTTGTAGGCTGGTTCGGGAGCTGGCTTGTACTTGCCGGGTTCCCTGTGTACCTCAGCTACGAACCCTGACTTTCCATCGACGTGGTACTTGACCACCCTGAGGGTGCCATCGGGCTCGACGAGGCTGTATTCGCCTTCGGTCTTGTCCCCCTCCCTCTGCTCGTGCTGGCTCTTGATGTCTCCGGTGTGCTCGTCGTGGACGTCGTAGTGGAACTGGTAGTGAGCTGGTTCGTAGTGTTCTTCTTCCTTGTACTCGGGAGCTTGCTGGTGGTAGCCTCCGTACTGGCAGTGCACTGCCGAAATGGCGATGGCGAGGACTACGAACTAAAAATTCAATTTATATTATACCACTATTGTTATCATATAGTCACAAAAAAAATCATGCATTAGTTATTACTATTTTATGGTAATCTCCGTAATACATTATAGGTATTGAAAGGTCAAGAATAAGTAAAATATTTTATAACATATTATTATAATATGCATTTTTCTTGCTACATTTAAATGTAGTATCATTGGTTTATCTCAGACTCAAAAATCACCGAGTACATTTTTGATGGAGGTAAACTTTAAAATAGGCTTTTATGAATTTCGAATTTGTTTATCGATATAAAACATACTAAAAGCAGACAAATGACTCAAATCCTTTTATGTATCAAATATGCTACAGCAATGTTCTTTTTTCACAGAGAGAAAATTAATCACAATATTTAATATTAAAATTTTATAGCATGCTACTTAACATTTTCAATAAAACGACGATATTACTGTAATAAAATATTATGTAGGTTTAAGACTTTTACTCATCTTGCAATATCTCTATAAAACTCATATGACCCCATCGTTTATTGGTAGAAAAAATCTGTGTAAAAGCTTTCCTTATTGGTGGAGAAAATTATAAAAAGTATAAAAAAAAAAAAAAAATGAAAATGAAGATACGAATCCATGGTCATTCAAAAGTGATTCAAATAAAAGTTCTGATTCATTTCAAGCCCTGCACATATTCCATTAACAATTTGTAGAATGGTTATTTATTATTATCTTTCCCTTTTTTTATGCGCCCCTTTGTTCGATTAAATTCCGTTATTAGGGTTGTGCGATATCGGTGTTGGGCTTGCAGAGACTAACGCCGTCTAACTGTTGCAAGACTAAGACCAGGACTGGTAACAAAAAAAACGTTTTTTTAAATAAAAATTATTTCAAAATAGTTACTAATACTCGACAATCTCAGTTACTATATGTTAACAATTGGTATAATCAATATACTTTTGCATTTAATTCCTCTAATTTTTCAGTCGGGCTTAGTTAGGTCTCTTCTATCTAAAAAATTGCAGTAATACCTCTATAGTAATAAACTAATAAGTAACTGCAAGACTGTTGAGAGACTCTTGCGCTAGACCAAGACCATCTCCAAGACTAAGTTTGCAAGACTAAGACTTATACCACTACTTACGTCAATACTGATTAATAATAACATATCATTTGGTTTTAAGTATCCTACCCACAGACAATCCTTCTTTTTTCACAGAGAGAAAATTAATCACAATATTTAATATTAAAATTTTATAACATGCTACTTAACATTTTCAATAAAACGACGATATTAGTAATAAAATACCATGTGCCCGCATAGTATTTCAAGACTCCTACACTGTCAACGTTTACCAGTACAAAAATAAATAATAGTTATTAATGTAAAAAAAAAGCATGATATCATGCTTGTATGATGATATCATATAAGCATGACAAACACAACTATGATATCATCATGGCATCTGTGCATAGGACACATTATAATGTATAATGGTCATATGTCTAACGGACATAATTTCGGATAAAACGAAATTCAAAGTTTTTCCGGATTTTTTACAGGTGCGAGTTTAATTTTCAAATTTTAACCTATGATTCACAAAAGAATGTTGATCTGTTTAATAGTCTCATAACTAGCCCATTAGAAGCAACGAAAGAGAGAAAAGTTAGCTTTCTTGTGATACCCATAACAATTCACAAAATTACGCTTAACACACTAATCTCAGGAGCCGTAGATATAACATTAATGTGATCCCATCCCTTATTGGTAGTCAAGAAAAAAGTTTGAATTAGTTAGATATCAATATATTTTGTAACATGAAGGTATTCCGATAAATCAAAGGATGCATCTACACAGAAGTTGGAATATAGTCATTACATAATATTGACTTACGGGTTTTATATTTACTTTAATGTATTTACCTTGATCATGTTGGAGACTGGTGAGAGATTTTTGTGGTGTGATAGACCTTCTAACTATATATACCTCTAAGCCCCACTCCACTGCCTCACTGTTACAAATCTTTTCGGGCTTTTGGCCTTGACTGCCATAGAAATTTGGTTTTAGTTTTTTAAATAGAAACATGACATGAAATAGTTCATTCATTCAAATAAATCAATTTATTAAATAATTAACTAAATATTAGCATTTAAAAAAGAACATTTACTTTCCTTTTTACCTATCATTTATGAAAAATAGTTAACTGTTGGTTGAATATTTGACTAAACCTACGTAAAATTTCGTCGCTCTGGAGATTGAGCAATATACATATATTTTTCCATCTAGCAACTTGGTGAATAGTTTATAACAACGACCAAAAAAAGAAAATAGTTCAAAGTAATTTTTCAAATTAAATTTTCAATAGCTCCAATGATTATTTGTGAATAAAGCTTATAAAATTAAATCTGAAATGAATAATTTCTTTTTTTTGTTTTAAATATTTCTTTGCATTTGTCAACTTTATGTTGACAATCAGAAAATGTGCTGAAAATACAAAAAAATAATGACGTATCAGGCCTGGGGAAGGACAGTAAGGGTAGGTATTATTAAGAATAGCTACGTCTTTTTATTTAAATATAATAAATAATTAAATACAAAAATCAAAATATATAAATATAAATAAATAATAAAATAAAATAAATAGGTTTATGAGTTTGTGTGAAATAAGGATATGTATTATTAGGAATCGTTATATATTTCTATTTCAATAAAATAAATAATTAAATATAAATAAATAATTACTTGCTTAAATAATTAATTATAAATTTCGTTTAAGGAAGTTCTCTGAATCAACGCCTTTTTAGGAGTGTCAGCTGTGGCGATGATTCTTATTAATCTGTTGTTCTATCCGTTCAAATTTGTATGGAATTGTTCGTTATTCTTTTAAATATTGGCGAACTGTAAGTAGGATGCTGATTATGTAGAATTCTGTGAAGGTGCTTTTGTTATGAGTCGCAATAACTTTGATTGGAAGGTTTGAAGTTTTTGTAAGCGGGAGTTTTTGAAGAACCGATTAAATTTAATAATTAAATTTGATTAATTTTTTTAGTGAATCTTCGATCTTCACCGGATTCAAAGCGGCGGTAAAATAAAAATATTGCAGGAATATTATATTTAATGTTAAGGTTTACCTTGTGGAATTAACTCTGAAAAATAATCTGTTAATTGTGATTGAAAAAAGTAAATCTGGAGAAAAGTTTTTTACTTTGTCACTTTATTATCTCTGTTTCGGAATATTTTTTTATTTGTTCCTCTTTCCAATATGGCTCAGAACTAAGAGCAGCGTATATCCTATTGATTCGTGATAAATAGGTTTATTAGTTTGTGTGAAATAAGAATAGATATTATTAGGAATGATTATGTCTTTTTATTTAAATAAAATAAATAATAAAATAAATACAATATTTAAATAAATAAACATAAATCAATAAAAATAAATAAATAATAAAATAAAATAAATAGGTTTATTACTTTGTGTGAAATAGGGGTAGGTATTATTAGGAATCGTTATATCTTTTATTTAAATAAAAAAAATAAATAAATAAAAAATAAAATAAAATAAATACGTTTATTACTTTGTGTGAAATAAGTGTAAGTATTATTAGGAATCGTTATGTTTTAAATTTAAATTTAAATAAAATAAATAATAAAATAAATAATAAAATAAATATATAAAAAAATAAAATAAATAAATAAAAATACATAATAAAATAAAATAAATAGGTTTATTAGTTTGTGTGAAATAAGGGTAGGTATTACTAGGAATCGTTATGTCTTTTTATTTAAATACTCATAATATTATTATAACACGTGTGAATTAAGCGAGATCAAAAAAACTTTTACTATTATTTGATAATCATAGAAAATAAAATGTATTTTGTAGAAATTATACGTCCTTAAACCGTTATTAATGTATATGTGTGTTTAATACAACCCCAAGAAAAATTAGGAAAATGTTATAAAGAAAACCCAAAATATACTCATTTTTGAATTAATTATTTAAATAATCATTTGAAAGATAATTTAGACAAGGTTATCATTCAGCAGCAGTGGAGATTTATAGAAGCATGTAAAATAAACTTTAAAAAGATTTAGAATATCATACCTTCATTCTTTGATAATACAACAGTATGCTAAACATTAAAAAGAAAAATACAAAAATAATCTCAATAAAACAATTTTCATACTAAACTTTCCCTTAAAGCGATAAGAAAAGTTGTGGAAGGGTACGCATAAGGTATTTTTAATATGTGAATATTTGGAAACTATAATTTGCGATGATTGGGCTGGGATCCAGCAATGTTGAAAACCGCTTGACCCGATTAAAATATTTTCTAATATAATTTGGATTGAACTTCCTAAATATTTAAAATTTAATGATAAATAGACACTTAAATACAATACAGAAGCAAAGGAAATATATATTTATATATATACACATTACATAAATTTGCTAGAAGTCTCGGGAAACGCGATAACTTTATAAAATTTATTACATGATTTTTATTTCAAATTTTAACCCAATTGAAAAAATATTATTCATAAATCGACCGACATTTTTTATAAATTCAAGTCACATTTTTTAAAAAGACTTACCTCCACTTTTCAAACCTGTATTTCAGAAAAAAAAAATTTAAGGTGTGATATTATTGAAAATCAAACCAGTATAATTTGTCTTTAATGATTAGCTATTAACTATCAAAGTTTACAATCATCTCTTCCTCTATTTATTTTTATTTCGACTAATTCCTATTTTTCATGATTAAATCCACACTTTATCTCATTATCAACAATAATATTTACTGGTGATATTTTGACTTTTGTAACGCCTAGGGCAGTAAAACGTAAATTGAAAAAATTAACATAAAAATTAAGCTCTATGAAAACTAAAAAAGAAATCGATATTATTCTAGATATGAATAGATGTCGAGTATAAATAAAAGCGTAGTGATTTCATTCATAATCTTAATTCATTCATACTACAATGGAACCTTTCTTATGACCTTCACCTTTCCTTTAACCAATCTCTCACTCATTCATTCATACTTTTTCGTGGGGTCTGTACTATACTTCTTACTGTAGCTCCTAATGAAGGAGTATTTTAAATACTTAAGATAATAAAATAAAATTGAGAAGTATTATGGGCTCTCCTGGATAAAGGAATGTTTAAGTATTAAAAAATCTAAGAGCCTGAAAATTACATTTAAGCAACACAGTTTGGAAATTCGATGCCAAGGATGATTTGAATATTTAAAATAATTGTTGATTTATTGCGTTTTATTCAATATAATGGATAAATAGTAGGTCCAGAATGTTGTCTCTTAAAATTAATGAAGAATATGACTTTTGAAGTATTTATTGATGTGACATTTCTCTTTGAAAGTTCACAAATAGCTATACTTTAAAATAGTAGTGGATCCAGGATTTATTTCGAGCATTTATATATATATATATATGTGTGTGTGTGTGTGTGTGTGTGAATAAAAAACCTGTACCACTACAACCCCTTAAGGATCTTGGGTTCAGTACTATTTAGAGTATACTGTTACAAGGCCAATGGCTGTGCAGGGAGGGGTTCGGGCCAGGATTACGCTCAACCGCCAAGTTTTGCCCCCTTATCAATTATTTAATTAAGGGTACCCGCTTTGTAGAGGCTGGGTGTGCCTCAGGAGAGTCTCCCTATCCCAGGGTCAACCCACGGTCAACGAAACAGAATAAATAATTTTTCAGCCATGACCGGGGATTCGAACATGGGAGGATTAGAAGCTTAGTGCTCTATCACTGAGCTACCTTGCTCCCTATATATATATATATATGTATTTTTTTTAATTTTTTTTTTTTTTCGGTTGGCGCTACAGACCATGAAGATCTTTGTCCGCGAGCTGTGGTCTCCTAGACCACATCCCGATTCCCGATTTAAGTACAAGGGGGTAGGATCATCAGTCTTTCACCCGGTCGGTGTTAGTTGCCTCCATTAGGCTGACGAGTTCCTAAAACACAAAAAGCTACCTTACAACAATTTTTTTCTCTCGAGACATTTAGGCTGTCAAGCCATCACAGTTGATCTAATGGTGTTAAGGAGAGCTTTTCCTTACAAAGTTATTTTAAATTTAAATTCATAAATTAATTAAAATTAGATTAATGATAAAATTCCTCAAACAACAATCAAATTCTTCATACCGACACTGTACCTTACCTTGGACTCACCTTCAACAGAAGTATTACATGGGGCCCGCATGCGAAAATGAAACGTAATACACTTAAAAAACGACTCAAACTGAAACTGAGACAGAAACTGAATAAATATATATACTCACTTAAACGCATATGGACATACTCATCACAAAAATATACGGCATCGCTAAAAAAAAACCACCTACAATAACTTCAAACCTTCCAATCAAAATTATTGCGACTTATAACAAAAGCACCATGGTAAGTGACTAACAAAACTCTCTACATACTGATCTCCACCTTCAAACAATTGACCAACATATATTTAAATTAGTATAAACCAAGGATTTTATACTAATTTAAACGGGCATCACAAGAGATTAATAAGATACATGGCCACAGCTGACATACCCCAGAAAATGAAGAGGATACTAAAAAGACGTTGGGTGAGAGATATCCTTATTTAAACAACCTGAGTAATTGAAACAAGTCAGGGAAAAGGTGCTGCTGAGTACTTTCCTTCCCCATGTTATTTATATCTTGTATTTCCACCACATTTGCTGATTGTTAAAGAAAAGCTGACAGGCGCAAATAAATTTAAATTAGTGTAAAAATTAAATTAACGTTTTTTAAAAAACTATTTATTCAAGATATTTACAACTGTATTACAATATAAATACATCAAGTAAATGTGTACACAAGAATATAAACACTGGAAAACGCTTGTTGAGAAACTATCCACAGGTAGCACTCTAATAATATGTCTACATAAGAAGATCACGAGGCCATCTTCTTTTCAGACGCCTTGGAGGGTAAATTAATGTTAAAATTATATTTAACCGGAACAGTTTCCCATTAGAGGACTAAATCAACTGATGGTGACTTGACAACCATAACGTCTTGAAAATAATAACAATTGAGTTGTGAAGTTGATTTCCCGGTCTAAGGAATCTCTAGGAGTTATTTTAAGTTATGTGGATTTTATCATAGTTTATACTGCACGATGAATTCAACGCGGTATCAAGAACTTGTCAGAAATGAAATTTCAGGGATCTTATATATTAAAGTTTTCCTAAACATTTTTCCAAATTACAAACGTGGGACAATAAACGTGGGTTAACCTATGTCTTCTTTGTATTTGATATCCTTTTTGAATATCAGCTTCTGTCTAAATAAACAGAAAAGTGATTGCAAGTGTTTAATAATTATCGATATTCATTTCGTGAACATAATGATTTGACTTACTTTTACTATTAAAACTGATCGTTTAAAATAATTTAAATAAAATTTTGAAAAAGGATTTTAACTAGTTTAACATACATCTATAAAGTACTTTATTATAAGCATGAAAAAAAGTATTGGTTCAAAGAAAGAAAAAACAAAACAGGTTTTTTTTTCCTATTTGGCTGTTTAGCAAACCATAGCGCACAATTTTCGTCTTGTTGGTACATAATAACACTGTTTGGAAATTGAATACATTTTTCGGGTATCGCGTAACACGCATATAAATACGCTCCAAAATTACAGGACCCCTAGCAATTAATATCTCATTAAATATCTCGGTCACTAAACCTATTCCACTAATTCGGCATTTGGTCACTGGGTTGAGGGGGGGGGGAGTGATCTACTAACTATATATAGTCGAACCTCGTTCGGTTGAAAATCAAAAACCAACATCCAACAACATGTTCAAGGTAAGAAATAACTCTATTTTCAGAAGATTGATAGATACCTGGTAACCTAAGTAAGAATTATAATATTCAAATTACTCAAAATTGTGTCCGTTAATACAATTAATGATAAAGTTTAGATTGAATTAAGAGAAATAACTCAACCATGACGATAGTTAGTAGGAATAAATATATATTTTTTATAGTAAACGGTGTTTACTTTGGGACTAGAGGGTGACTATAAAGTACAGTATATTTTGAATTTGAAATCTGGATTGAAATGGATTTAGTGGATTGAAACATTCACATCAAGACTATGAAAAAGTTGTCTGAAAATAAAAATATTTTAGCCTGAATTGTAATATCAAATTCAAAATAAACTCTAGAACGTAGTCACCTTTTAGCACCAAAGTAACTCAGGTTTATCATACATTCAAAATTAATTAAAAATTTAGTAAGTATTTTGTTTGAAATTTTATCCTAATATTTAAATATATTTTTTATTGTTTTATCAAGTACATTCACAATCAATTATAGTAGCATATATTTTTATTTCAACCAAAAAGCGTCACACTGCTTAATACTTTATTGGTGAGACAAGACTGTTTATTTTGGATAATTTGTATTTTTAGACGTATATTCGTGTGACTTGAATAACTTAAGTAATGAATAATTTTGTTTTTTTAGTTCGTAGTCCTTGCAATCGCTGTCACGGCAGTCCACTGTCAGTACGGTGGCTACCAAAAGCAGGAAGCCCCCGAGTACAAGGAGGAGGAATATTACGATACTCCCAAATACAGCTTCGAGTACTCCGTCCACGACCCCCACACCGGAGATATCAAGAGCCAGAAGGAGCAGAGGGAGGGAGAACACACCCAGGGAGAGTACAAGCTCGTCGAACCCGACGGTTCTGTCAGGGAGATTCACTACTCCGTCGAAGGTAAGTCCGGTTTCTTAGCCGAAGTACAGAAGCAGGCTGGCAAAGGACCCGAACCATCTTACTACAAACCACAACCAAGCTACCAGAAGGCCGAACCAAGCTATTACAAACCACAACCAAGCTACCAGAAAGCCGAACCAAGCTACTACAAACCTCAACCAAGCTACCAGAAAGCCGAACCAAGCTACTACAAACCACAACCAAGCTACCAGAAAGCCGAACCATCATATTACAAACCACAGCCCAGCTACCAGAAAGCTGAACCAAGCTTCTACAAGCCAGCCTACAAACCAAGCTACTAAATAATACATACCATTTTATAACTTATTTAAATGTAAATATGTAATCATACAAATAAATTTTGTATTTTTCTACTTTCTGTCTAAGTTTATTTACAAAATTTTTTTTGAATTAGCATGTTTTTTATTAAGTTATAATTGATATTTTTATGATTCGTCTTTATCTCCAAGGATCATCTTCCCTTCGGAGGGGTGCTAACACCTCAAGATGTTTTAGCATATTTTTCGTATGCTTACACCAGATTCCACTGCAACAGAAACTGACCATTTACACTTTACTACTTAAGTCCATTTGGAACTACGCTTCACATATATATAGGGCAGCCTAAAAAAACTCCATAAGAAAACTACAAATATTTCAGTCAATAACCTTCAGAACTATAACTAAAGGTCCATGTTACATCAAACCAGTGATTGACACAAACATTAAAGACAGCAACGACCATTTTGAAACACATTACAAAAGATTTCAGGATATACTAACACACTCATACAAGAAGGTGAATAGAGATTTTCTAGCTGAAATATGAGTACCAAAATCAAGATTGGAAGGGTTACCGCAGCGTACTCCTTTCCTTCCCGCCAATCAATGCTACTATATACTATTATTTTTCCCGATAGGAGACTCACAGGTTGTCAGTATTTCTGACAGGTATAGGTGAAGAAATAAAGTTAAAGAAAAAAAGTTTTAACTCTAAAAAAGCACTTTTCAGGTGAGAGCAGATCACTTATTGTAAAAAAGTTTTTTTAGACTGCAATTTACTAGTCAAAATATATTAATTCAGTATAATACTTCTTTTATTCAGATTTTTTTTCCATTGTTCACTCAAAGAATCTCTTTTATTTTTTTTATTGTATATTTTCATTGACGATACTGTAATTTTTGACTTTATTTTTTGTTAATTTATCTTTTTTAAATATGTTTTATGTTCTTGTAAGTTATTCTCAAGGTACTAGGTTAACTTTCACCAGTAAAATAAAATCAGATTTAAAGTTAAACCCCCTTTTGAAAGGAGCTCAAGGGTTTTTGGATATTCAAGATTCATGAAGTAAAAATTAGAAGTACCGGGTAATGATTTGTTGATGATGCGTCTTGCTCCATATATTTTTATTGGCATGAGGTAAATATTGGAATGGATTAGTACCTTTTTCACTTCTCGTTACAAACATTGAATTAACCAATTCGGTTATTGAAAAGGCAAACTCCCTGCAAAGAGGATTTGAAAGTTTAAAAATAATACATAAAATTAATTTTTTTCGGAGAGAATATATTAACCCTTATTTACTTTATAAAACTTTATTTCGTTTTTATATTTTGACGATGTTTCGGATAATTTTGCTCATTTTCAAGTCAAAAATGATATTTATGATATAAATATGTTTAGTTCATTAATTGCGATATTTATTAATTTCTGTTTTATTGTTTTGTGTGATCAGAGGAGCCCAAAAGAGGGGTTTGATGGTGCAAGTTACGCCATAAAAAAATTTGAGGGGGGCACATTTTTACGCGGTGCTGATATATAACTTTATATGTGTTTTATAATAATGTTATTTATATTATAGAAATCATTTTTGACTTAAAAATGGACAAAAATGATCGAAACGTCTTCAAAATTTAAAAATGAAAGACAATTTTATGAAGTAAATAAGAGTTAAATATATTTTCTTCGAAAAAATAAATTTTATGTAATAATATATACTCTATAAAAAATTTGAATAATTTATGAGAAAATTATTACATTTGGTAATAAATAGCAATACAATAATTACACAATAGGTTCACTGTATCAGTTCCAAAAAGTCCTCAGCTAAGATTCTTTATCCCTTTTATAATCTGAAAAACTTCATCATTTTTACTTTCATATTCAGAGGAACCCCCTGTCGTTATATAATCTAGTTATGCCAATAGGCTCAGGAATCGATAAAGTAATAAGATAAGATGCGGTAAAGATTATAACATTAATTGTTATTATGTAATAAATTATATTATACACTTAGGAACCATGCAAAAAAGTGGTATAAAAACCAGTATTGTGACTCACCAAGTATCTTAAACACTACAAACATGTACAGAGCCCTTTTTTATTAAATTATTAACATCAGTCTGAAACTTCGTGAATGGCTTCATCTCATTATTTTATTTACAAAAAAATCTCGGAATTGGTGCGTTTTCAATCTGGAGATCGACAAACTTTGTCTATTTAATTAGGTAATAAAACTCGTAAATACTCGTTTGCTTTTCACTTGAGTCATAGGATAATTTGATATTGAGCCGTTTGGCTTGATCTATATCCCCAACATTTCAAAATAACAAGGTTATATAAGCCAAACGGCCCAATATTTTTATAGGCCACCTTTTTTTCCGATTTTGTGATCACATTATCTTATGATGCAAGTGAAAAGTAAATGGGCTTTTAAGAATTTTTAGTACCTAATTAAATTGACAAAGTTTGGCGATTTCCAGATCGAAAACGCCCCAATTCCAAGAGTTTCCGTAAATATTTGTAGGTTACGATGAGATGAAGCTATTAAGGAAGTTTCAGGCGGATTTTAATAATTTTATAAAATTAGATCTGCACCACAGACTGATGATAATTACTGATCACACTTTTATTGAAAACAAAAAATGAATGAATGAATGATATTGGTAATGTAATGCTTTCTTAGTGGAAAGAACCAACTGGACAACTTTTGAACTGACCTTGATCTTACTCAGAATCGTCCAGAGGACTGCTCAGTATTGGTGTATATGGGGCAGTAGTGAATGGATAGTCTGTTCTCATTAAAAATGTACAAGCCAATCAAATTCCTAATTTAAAAGCTGTATGCTAGTAGTATTGCAGTATTGTTGTATTGTAGTAGTATGGTATTTTAATCCCACTACGACTGGTCTCCACGGGAAGTTAGACCATAACCTGTTTATCAGGAGAGGCCTACAGGTTATAACATACTTGAACGAATAGGCTAGCAAAAAAAAAAAAAAAAAAAATGTAATATATAAAATATTTTAAGATTTATATGATTACAATTAAATGTTTTTTTTCTGTTGGCTGTCCAGAACTTGTAGTTCTTTGGATGACTTAACCAGCCTTCCGACTTTTGGATTATTGTTTTCCAGTTTTCTACCTCCAGTTCCACTGTATCTTTATTGATTCGACTTATCCATCTGATTTTTGGCCCCCTCGTGGTCTCTTGTTAACTACTGAGGCATCCATTGTTATCCAGGCTTCCTGTTGGATTGCTCCGAGCTACATGTTATATCTTATATGTTTTTTATTTCTGTATAATTTATAATTAAATGTTGAATAATTAAATAATATTTTTTTTTCAAAAATCGTTTCTCATTTATCCTACAATAGATTTATTTATGACTAGAATGATTGTTTCACTTTTTGTTAATATTTAAGATACAATAAAGGTCGGGAGAAGATGATGTTTAATTACAGAAAAATAAAGGTATTTATCTAAATCTAGCTATAAAATCGCACCTGTGTTTATGGATATTTGTACATTATTTTTTCTAAGCAATTTGATGTTTCTTTTTGTTAATTATTAGTGGAGTATTTATTTAATTTTCTCATTTGAACAATAATAGATTAAGGTTTAAAATACCAATAATATTGCTGCAAAGATATTATAAGATATTAAAAAAATAAAAAATATTTTTTAAAAGTAAAAACAATTTATTTATTTTATTTTTTCGCCTACATACGTGTTATAGTACACCTGTGTTTTTGTATTCATAGATATATTAAGTTTTTTGTACTTGAGCGCATCTTATGAACTGAAACAGCAGAGCTCTTAATGTTCAAATTTCATTCAGTATATAAATGAATAAATAATGAGGTATCATTAATCACAACTAAATATACATGTTATTGAGACTATGCTTTAGGATTTTTTTTTAAAGCTAATATGTTATAAAATATAACGTATACAAGTTTGATTGTTCTAGATAAGCGAAACATTGAAAATTGATATATTCTAATAAAAATGTTTTTAATTTTTTATTATACATGTATTTCCAAATCTCTTCAATACGATGTATGCAATGGAGTTATTTCAAGGTATAAGATTAAAAACATCCCTATATTTTTTTTACGTTTATCATCAGTGTTCTGTAAAAAGAATGATTCCAACAATAGATTACGTTTATGGAGAGCACAATTATCAAACTTTTTGTAGTTTTTGAAGTGATGTTGTTTTGGCCATTTTTAAATTGGATGATCTCCATCTTAACATTGGTTTAGTTGGTTCAGTCGTTGATGATGTTCAAAAATAATTGTTACACCGTTTTTATATAAGGTAGTTTTACATTGTGTGAATCTGAAATGGTGGAAATCTGAATCTATCCAATTTGTCAGATTCGCTTTTTTATAAGAGTTGAATTGGGGAATATCGTTATTAAAGAATGTGGCTGGTTGAAAATCGAAGGTATGATAAAATGGAAAATATATTTATAAAACAAGAATTTATAAAAAAAAAGTATAAAAATTTATTTGTACAAAATAAATTACATGACTGGTATCGCCTTATTAAGTAATTATCACAAAGCAGTTAATACCTAGTGGTAGTAGGAAGGTTGTTGGTATGAGGGCTGTGGTTGATGGTAGGCAGGTTGTGGTTGATGGTAGGCAGGTTGTGGTTGATGGTAGGCAGGTTGTGGTTGGTGGTAGGCAGGTTGTGGTTGGTGGTAGCTGGGTTGTGGCTTGTAGTAGCTTGGCTCAGGAGCAGGCTTGTACTTGCCGGGCTCCTTGTGTACCTGGGCCAAGAAGCCGGACTTGCCTTCGACCGAGTATTGTACCTCCCTCTGGGAGCCGTCGGGCTCCACCAAGGAGTAGACTCCCTGGGTCTTGTCCCCGTACCTCTCCTCCTTCTGGCTCTTGATGTCTCCGGTGTGAGGGTCGTGGACGGAGTACTCGAACTTGTAGTGAGGCTCGGCGTATTCGTCGTGTCCTCCTTCCTTGTACTCGTGAGCTTGCTGCTGGTGGTAGCCTCCGTACTGGCAGTGCACTGCCGAAATGGCAACGGCGAGGAGCACGAACTGAAATCAAATTAGCTGCGATTAGTTAAGAATTTCATATCTCTGTTACTAATTAACATTAAGTACACTTGAAAATTTGATGAGAAAAATTATATAATGCCATTAATCATCCCATCTATCATTCCTGAAAGCCGAAGTGGAAAAGAGAGATCCCTATACCTCTACTCTGCAATTATACTGGGGATGCCTCGAACTGGGCCCCAAATACCAAAAATGTCTGGAATTGCTTTCCGAGATATCCTTTGAATTGCATTCTAACCTTTTTTCATGTATTTCATTAGTATCAGGATAATCCAGTTTTCTATTTGGTGAATTTTAACTATAAATTAAAGTCAAATAAGGTATTGATTGATTTAGTGATGTTTACTAGGTTAAAATATATGGCTAGCTAATTTAAACATGAACCTTGAATTTTTGAAAATTTTTAAATGAATCAGTTTTTAAAAGAAGAAATAAACACAAATGACAAATTACCCTCTTATTATTAAAAATTAATACTCTTTACTAGGTAAAATATTATCCAGAATATTTCTAACTTATTCTTCGGTGCATACTATTTATTTTCAAGTTTATTTATTATCAGCCAAAGAAATAAAGTGGTGGACATGACAAGAATAATAAATTTTATTATGAGTAGACGCATGCAATTTGCATAAGTGAAAAGGACAGGTACATGATGGGTATTTAGGTATATAAAAAGAATCTTTATATTTTGAAATATGCAAAGTTAATATATGATTGTAAATTGAAAAATGTTTTAGACTTGAAAATGGCTCGACGAGACGAAACGTAATTGTGATGTGTAGTCATTAAGTTGACAAAATTTAAAAATAGTTGATAATAAATAAACTTGAAAATAAAATATTATCAAATAATTAAGGGAAAATAATGACAAATTTGTTTTCGTAATTATTGTGTCGTCTCTAACTTCAATTATCAGATTGCCGAGATACGTTTGATTCTATGTATACGCGTTAGACCGCTCGGCCATCCCACCTCACACTGGGACAAGTAAGGAAAAACTCTCGACATCTATTTAAGTGTTTCTGAATATACATTTTTTTTAGAACACCAAAAACTTGATAACCTGTTTTACTGATCTCTTGCTGAGTTCATGAAGTTCCCGAGAACATATTCAATTGGCAGAATATACATTTTTCACTAGTTTTATTGAATAGTTCAATTGAAAAAAAAATAGATTAATCCGATGTCGCTAGTATTCCCTTACTCGTCCCACTGTACATCACCTCAATTAATCAATCAAAATGAAGTTTGAAAAACAATTAACACTATTTTAATTAACTTTTTAAGTGCCCAAAATGAGGAAATATCGAGGCTCCATACCCTAGTAGGTTGTATAATGTATATCAACCACAATCATTACAGTATATTATAAACAATTTAATCCATGATACACTTAATCATAATTAATTAAACAAAATTATATATATATATATATAATATATATATTATTATTATTATTGTGTACTTATAATTATTTACTACATAGTAATACTATATTAGTACACCGTTATAACAACCAAATAAAATAAATAATTAATCCATTATTTTTTTTTAGAATTTTGACATATATAAGTTACATAATTTTATTTTAATGTCAACCGGTGTGTACTGATATTTTTTCTAATTCTATTGTGATAATTATGATTATTAAGAATTATTCTTTATGGAGAAAATTAGATGGTAATAATAAATACATAAAGCAAAAACTATAATGCATTAAAAAAATAGCTTTAAGGGAGCGTAAGTCTACCCACACAATGCACATAGGAATTGGGGGAAATTGTTCCGGGCGAAACCAACATTATATTATATATTATTTTAAACCGATTTCAGGAGAAGTGATTTGTATATATAAATCAATTGAACTATTGAATAAAAGAAGTGAAAAATGTATATCATGCCAACTGAAAATGTTCTCGGTAACTCCACAAGATATCAGCAAAACAATTTATCTAATTTTAGAGTTCTAAAAAAAATATAGATTTATATATACACACACACACACACATATATATATATATATATATATATATTCAATATTGATTCAAATATCAAAAATCAATTTACAATGTCAAGTCAAGAAGCCCTATCAATTTAAACAATCGCCATATCTCGAAAACTTATTTCGGATTTAAGATCACTTAACATTGTAATTAACAAACTGATTCAACTTAATTAATTTACAAATAACATTAATTTGTTATTAAGTTATAAAATAATCATTAATCAATATAATTAATAAATTTGAAGTAATATGTTAGTAGAACGTTATAATATTTATTTAGCAAAAAAAAATTAAATTAAAAACAATATATTTAGGTAGGCGATCATTCTACTACGACTTATGTATTTCTAATAATTTATTTATGTATTTCTTTGAATTTATTTATACAATTATGTTAATTTATAAATGTATTTATGTATTTTTAATATCGTAATAAATTATTTACATTGTTTAATTATTTTTGGTCCATTGATTTTTCTTCTATTTTTTTTTATTTATGTAGGTTATTTATTTACATATTTAGATTTATTTTAGTTTTATTGTTTCAGTTTTTTTTATTGAAAATTATTTTATATATATTTATTTATGTATATTATTTTTATTTTTAGGTTTATTTATTTATTAATTCCTTTATATTTCTTTATATTAATCTTATTTTATTTTTTATCTTAACAGGTTATTATTTTAATAGTAATATTATTTTATTGATCGGGCGCTGATAACTTGGATGTTTTGAGCCTACGATTACAATTACTATTTTAATCAAAAGTTTGAAATATACAAGTAAATATATAATATTTACAAGTCAACATAGGATCAATAACTATTATCCAAAGTCTAAGAAGAATTAAACAAGCACAAACATTAATTAATAATTAACTTTAATTAATAAACATTAATAGTTTTTTTTAAAAACCTAATACTATTTTTTTAAATTATAATTATTATTATTATTTTTAATAATCTTTATTGAGATATATTATAATCTGTCACAGTAATGATTAATTAAGAAAATAGCTTTGAATCTAGAGTATTAAGTGAGCTTTGACTACAACTTCTTACTAAGTTCCCGATCTTAAATAATAATAATAATAATAATGATTTTTTTTTAAATTTTATATATATGTATATAAGTATATGTATATATGTGTATATATATATATATATATATATGTGTGTGTGTGTGTGTGTGTTGTGTGTGTTGTGTGAATCGTTAATGTAAAGGTATGAGCAATAGCTACCTTGATCATTGCTAGGATTGACCGGAGAAGACTGTAGCCGTGAAGATGTGAGGAGTTCGGTTTTATAGGAGTGCTTCATCCCCTCCACACCAGCCCTTCCTCGTGGACCAATCTTCCTTCTTTCAGCCATAAATTACTATCCATCAAATTAATATGGAGTACGGCTCTTTCAAAAACTGCCAAATTTTAGTAATCAATAGAAATCCGAAACGATATATTATTAAGTTTGACTAATAGTTGTGGAATGTAGAGATTTCAGAAAAAGAAAAATATAGGTTCACTATGGATATCATTGGAGGAAATAGTGTTTTGGTCACTATTTCAAAACGTATTATTTCATAGTGCCTAACAGCTAATAATTATGGAACGATTTTGGTTATTTTTAGTTTAATTGCTATCCTTCTAAGATTCTGCTTTGTTCATGATTATTATTCAGTTTATTTTTTGGGGATAAAAAACAACTTGTGTTTAAGAAATTATGAATAAATTTAACCTAAAAATCTGCTATGCCTCGTTCCTATTAAATATTATTTCCCATCAAGCCAAATTTCAACAGTGAATATGAAACTTTTAAGCACAAATATAAATTTATCCCAAATATAAAATAGAAAGGAAATTTATTAAATTTCAGCATTATGCGAATTAATGTTTACTGTTAATTTTTGAAATGGATTAATACCAATTATAATTGAGGGGATATATACGTTAGAAATATCATTATAAATTATATTTTAATAATTAACAGCCTCAAATTTTTCTAAATATGTTAATTTTTTCCATTATACAGGCGATAAAATATCTCAATCGATTTTAAATTGACCAGATTTTATGAAGGAAAAAAAAACAATAAAAAAAGATACTGACGATGACGACTGAAAAATACTGACGTTTGAACTAAGTATCCTGTCGTATTGCGATCAAAATAGTAAAATTAGCAAGACAAATTATAATTTTTTTAAGTTCTCAATTTGAGATTAGTTAATATTTTAAAAGGTTAACTATTTAAACTCAAAAGATGAGCTAACAATTTCTTGATTAATCAGTAATTTCCTACTTTGTCGGCTCTCTAAGAAGGTAGATGAATCCAATCTATAGTGCAAGGCAATTGAAGATATACCAATTATTATTATTTCCTCAATTAATTGTCGTCTAATGGAAAATTAGATCGATTAAACAATGTACATTACTTGCAATACACCAAATTTTGAAGGACGGAAAAATCATTGAATAGTACTCTTTTAATTCTGGAATTAATATATGAAAGCCATTAATGAACATTTCATGATAAAACGCAGGTTTATTTTCTTTCTCAAAAAATAGTTCTTTTGTGAAAAATGTGGATTTCTTTTCACAACGGCTGAAATTCAAGAAATGATGACTCTCCAAAAATGATTCTCGAGGAAGACACAATGAGTTTGTTGAAAACTGGTTGCTATAAAACTTCAGATGATCCATTTGTCTCTACTTCTATATTCTACAATTTAAAGTCCAACATATTTCTGAATTACATTAATTATAATATCTTTCTAGTTATGCTTTTTTGATCACTTCGACCGTGAGTTAAAAGGAAGTCCTTAGTCGAAACGTTTTTCCAGTTTTGTGGAGAATAGTAATTCTCGGGAAGTTTAATCTTGTACCTCTTATTTTACTTTAATCAAACACATTATAATAAAACATTTGGACTTGAATTATCTTAGTATCCACTCTGGGAATTTTGAGTTGCTTATCGGGCATACAATTGACGATTCAAATAATGCTTTTTCCAACATGTTCGAAACGAAAAATTTATAAGCTATGGTTTGCCTATATTTGTTGAGTGTATAATGCTTGTTTAAAACTTCAAAATAAACAAATGTAAAAGACGACACGGAAGAGCAGTATATTTTGTCAGATTTAATGGCGGTAGTGTTGGTGACTTTAATGCTTGATGCTTGACAGCGAGCCACTTTCTAACACCCTGAAGCCCTAGGGACTTGCCGAACTGGATGCCTCTACAGCTTGTAATGTATTCCGCAGCGTCAGGAAGTAAATATCTTGGCTCGGGCCGCTTCGCTTCGTTGCCTCTCAACATCTGATAACGTCACTCATTCATAGAATTGCTTATATCAAATTGTGTCATATACAAAATATGTCATATGGACCATATCCAGAGAACTGGTCACTTTTCATATTTAATTCCTTGCTAATTAAAAGTGTGAATGAAAATCTGAAAAAATGAGAATGCTTTTATTCAAGTTCCAACAATTGGTATACACAAACAAGTTATGTTTTAAGGAAGGAAATGGTCCGGGATTGTGGTCATAAATAGACTAATTTGCGGCAAAACTATCATCTTAAAAGCCAACGTTTCGACCGACTTTGCAGGTCTTCTTCAGGGCTAGAACGGACAAGATACAAAAAGATATAGAGAATTGTGCAAGTTAAATCATATTTAGATAAAAAAATATAGCCAATGTGAATAAACTTATTAAAATTATAAATTATACCCCCTTAAAATATTACCCAACCAAGTCAACAAATTTCCCCAATACATAAGCTTACGCTGGTTTTCCAGTTCTAAGTGAAACTTCTTGCTGAACACACCTGAAAGTCTCTATTTTTATTCTGCTAATTTTATTTACTTATTTTTTATTTTTCTCCTCTTTCTCCACATCCCCTTATCTACATTATTTCATATTATATCCTTTTTCCTTTTCTTCCAATCTCTCCTGTAGATCGATAATTTTAATAAGTTTATTCACATTGGCTATATTTTTTAACTAAACATGATGTAACTTCCACAATTCTCTATATCTTTTTGTATCTTGTCCGTTCTAGCCCTGAAGAAGACCTGCAAAGTCGGGTCGAAACGTTGACTTTTAATAAAATAGTTTTACCACTATTTAGTCTATATATGACTGCCACACCGGACCATCTCCTTCCTTAATAATGCCACTGTCAACTATTAAGTTTTCAAGTTATGTTTTGTTTTATTATGTTCAAGTTATGTCATGAAAAGTTGAAGGCAGGGAGAATGACAATGACATTTTCGTAGAATTGTGGAAGGTGGAATAATTATTTTATCAGTACTAAACATTTATTAAAAAAAATATTTATAATTTAGATTTGAGGGAGAGACTGGTGTGGAAATGATAAAAGCAATGTTTTATTGTTTTGTTTTCTTCTGTTTTCTCATTTGTTTTCTGCAACCTTTTCACATTTACAATGAGGTTTAGAAAATATTAATGTTTTTACCCTCCTTTATATTTATATTGAGGATGATTTAACTTTATACTTTCTCCACCTGGGATACCTACATGAGGGTAAAATGCATCAAGGGCTTATTTTTTTAATATTCCTTCTCCAACTCTATTGAAAAAAAAAATGGTTTTCGTCTCTTTAATATTAAATCGCGAAAAGTATATAGAAAAATAAGGAAGATGAGATAATATAAAGCTTGGACCTAGCCTTTTATTTACTTTTTTTTAGAATATTATTGTTTATAAGCAACCTCATATATTTAGATCCTTATGCTACAAATATACCGGTATTTCAAATGTTTAACAACATTAGAAATATCGAATTAATAGAATCAAAGTTGGAAAGTATTCGAGTCGTAAGAGAGTTAGATCACGGTGGAGGAATGACGTGTTTGAAATTGTTTTCTATTTTAATTTTATTAATTTTTCATCTAGAACTTAATTTATTTTGATAAATTAAGTTTAGTAGCTTAATTTACCTCCGAATACGTTAATAGGAAGTAGTAATCACAATTCCACATCAATTGTTTGTATTGAATGTTCATGTGAAATCTGCAGTGATATTTTAAAGCAATTAAAATTTTTATTCGTTTTGGTAAAGGTCTCCCATGAGATAAAATGACAAAGAAAATAAATGGAGAGAGTGAGTATTTTATAATAAATCAGTGCCGGCCTTAGACATTCGGCGCCCTTGGGCAATGACGTCATCTTTCTTCCCTCTAAAAAAATTAAGTTGTTTCTTAAGCTGTTTTATATTATGCATTATTCAATATTTCTCTAATACAGCTGCTCTATTAATAGGCTGAAATTAATTATTTTAGTACGTTTTGTATTTCTTTTTTTAATTTTTAAGTGGCGATCGCCCCAAGGCAGTTGCCCCACCCTAAGGCCGGTACTATAATAAATATTACTGTTTTAAATGTAATAGAGTAGTATTGTTTGACAATGAGATTAAGTAATAAATAATATATTATCATTAATATGTTTCTATATTAAAACACATCCTTCTTTACAATACACATAATTATTTTATACTAACAGAAGCATAACGTGGTATAAAATCTTAAAAACGTCCACTACCCTGTTAAATAATGAAACTTTATTTCCTTTTAAGAAAGTTTGAGTTTAAGGGGAGAACATTATGGATTTTCTAAGAATAGAACTCCAATCCTTCCTCAAAATTAAGAGGCAACTAAAGTTGTTTTTTTTCTTTGGATGGTCGATGTCTGTAAATTGATTCCGGATCACATCAACTGTCAATGGGTGATGAAGTAATTAATATCCATCCTCTACCAAATGGTCTGGAAATAATTTATGCAAATTTGTATTTAATCTGATTATGATATAAAATAGTTTCTGTTTTTTTCTTATTAAGAGTCTTATAAAAACATTTTTCTCGACTATTTGGAATTAATTTTGTATTATTAATAATTAATAATATCGTTTTAATAATTATTAAGACGCACTTCAAGCATATCAGAAAATAAATAAGAGGCTAAGAAAAAATAATAATTATTATCATTTCGTAGGATGAGAAATTTTGAATCTTGTATTAACTTTTTGACAATATAGTATCAACGTTAGTTACAAATTGTTCTATTCATATTCTTAGGTTTATATAAATAAAAATGGTCATTGAATCACATAAGGTGGTATATGACTTTTGAAATTAGGGAAAATGAAGGCTTTAAAATGATAAGACAAAGAACAATAACCAATTTATTATTATTGATTCGATTCGATTTTTATTTGTACTAAAATAAATAAAATATGCATATTATTTATGTCTATCTTCATAAATGATATATTAAAATATATATTTATTTATTTTTCTCTTTCTTGATTTTTGGGTACTCGAAATTTTTCAGGGATGACATATCACAAACGTGTATGTCCCTGCTATTAAATAGAAACACTCTTAACACTCTTCATAAAACTCTTTAGTTTTCATTTCATCATAAAACTCTTCATATTTTCCATCAGTGAGCTGGCCCCAGAACATCTTTCCAACCGTACACAAAATCTTTGTAAAACGGGTGTATTTATATTTTATGTCAAAAATAACTTGCGGATGATTAAACAGAAGAATATGAGCTACAGGAATCTTTAGAATCTCATATTCCTTTGATAGTTGAATGGGTTTTTATTAAACAATACTAGAATTAATTAATGACTAAGAATAAATTGTTTTATTATAAAAGTATTTAAAAAACTAAAAATATAACTAAAAGGTTAATTGCTATCAGTCTTCATTTGGTTTTTGGCATTGTTCCAGGTTATAACTTGTTGAGATGTATCAATGGAGACAAGTGTTTCGTTTTTCTGTGTATCCTCGTTCCATCAGAATCGACTTCAACTATCGATGATGCTATTCCACTGTCCATGTAGAAGAAGGATTTCACATGGCTGTCGGGACTGTGATGCTGGATCTCGTATCCGACTGAGAACGGGGCAGCATCCATGCAGTGATAGCAGTTGTGGATCTTCTCCCTGAGGAATTAAGAATAATGTATTCTAATATAATAGTAATCCACCTCTTTATGAATAACGAATTTATGTTTAATGTACGAGAACAGCCCTGAACTGTTACTTGTGGAATGGATGCGGAACTCTTTGCACTTATCAAGATATGCAGGGAAATTCATATCTGTGGGGATGATTTAGCTGAATTAAATTCAAGTTTTTTGCTGTAATTAATTCATCTTAACAACATAGAATAAGTAACCAAGAGAACCATCGGCCCAAGAAGGAAAGAGAAAAGGTGAAGAAGAAGACCATAAACACACTTTAAAAATAATATATATATATATATATATATATATATATATATATATATATATATATATATACACAGTTCATTTCACGGCCTTTCCCCCATGGAAAGGACCATCAAAAATTAAATTAACAATATTGTGAAGTTTGATTTGTTCCACTCACTCATTTATGTAGTAGAACCCATCATCTCATAAATAAACTAACTCACTCAATAAAATCCCACATTGCGTACTTTGTTTTTCAGCGAAAAGCAGAACATATAGCACTTAGTTTTATTGTAAGAAGAAAAGGGATTATTCAAGAATTGTAGAAGAAATTTGATATAAAAACAATGACGCAAGATCTTCTGCCATTTAGGTTTGCTAACCACAGATCTATAGAAAAGAGGAGGATTGGAAGATTATAATCCTGGAGGGTGAATCAGGTGGCATTAGCTGGCAAATGCAGGCAATAGGTGGAGCAAGCTGGTTAACCATGTCAGTAAACAGAGACTAATGGGTGAATTTTCTAGAGGAGGCGAAGAATTGTACAGTGGAGCCAAGCAGAAGCGTCCAGAAGGGGATTTCATGGAGCAAATTTTTTGAAGGGGTATATTTTGACTGGTTTTCAAATTTTTGAGGGGGACTAATTTCGATGGCGTTAGCAGCAAATTTAATTGTATATGATCTACGATTTGTCTAATTCTACTTTAGCTACTCTGTTTTTAAGGAAAGGAGAGCAATAAAATATCTTGGGAGGAGAGTTACCCCTTCTTCTTACGCCATCGATCTTGGGGGAGAGGGGGATGAGCACCCCTGGCGCCAAGGACGAATGCATTTAAAATCCCAAAATGTCCAATAATATGGCATGGCTATCTGTGATAAATAAAATGCTTCGTGTGGGCGGGGTGGCCGAACGGGCTAACATGTGTGCACAGCACCGCCGTTGCCCAGCAACCTGACCTGTGAGACAATGGATTTAAAATATACACGAGTTCGGTATATACCGGTGCCGGGGGAGTTTAAATCCCCGCCCACACCCTTAGGCCCGGGAAAACCCCGTATAGCCCTTACAGGCGACACGACACGCTACACGCTCTGGTATGTGGCATTGCATAGTAATATCTAAATGAACTTTACATAAACATGTTCTTATAACTGATAGACAATTACTTATGGACAGTGGCTACGAATCCAGAATCGCCATTAACGTTGTAAACGACAGTCCTCTTGAAGCCGTCCGGGAAGTGAGCGCTGTACTGCCCGCTGAGGACGCCTCCTCTTCGCTCCTCCTCTCTGGAGTGGATGTTACCAGATCTCCTGTCATTCACTGAATACTCGAATTTGTACTTCGACTCCTTCCCTTCTTCATCCTCATTCCTTATACAGTTCACTCCGAGTACATACCAGAATGCGAAAATGATAAAATTCTGAAAAATAAACTATTATTTACAAACAATGAACTGGAAAATTATTAATGGTGTAAAAAAAAGAAATTAGAAATTGTAGCCAAACAGTACTGTAAATATTAAAAGATTATTGAGATTTAGATGACTTTCTTGAATAAAAATAATTGAATATTTTAGGTTTGATGAAAGAGTGAGATATCTCCTTCGAAAAACAATGTCTCGCTGGAAATCTGAACATCTCCGAGTATAGCTAAAATAAGGTATGATGATGACCGATCCTCAAACCATCCTATTAAACCGATATGACCATTACGTTCATATTATATTAAAGGCCGAATATCGAAATAGGTTATCCAGGGTTTGAAATCGATAATTATTCTTTCTAAAAATCAGGTAATAATTATTTATCTTCTGATGTATTAAATAATTTTACTGTCTTACCTAAAAGTTTTTTAGCGCGTGAAAATAGGGACTGAGTTTTCTGCCATCAAGCAAATAAAAGCTGGTCTAACTCTGGATAGAGTCTTTGGTCATACGCTTTTCAATATTTGCTGCTCAAACATCCCAAAACACTAAAAAACACTGTTGGCTACATTTGCTGATGCTTATTGACATCTAATAAGGATGCAGCTTAGGCTCCTCAAGTACTTCAAGAAGACCTAGACGACACAGCTTTTTGGACTAAAAGATGGAGGATAAAAATGCACAAGTCTAAGAGCCAATTCGTTTCATTTACACTTCAACATGATTCTTTTCCTCAAGTTTTCTTTAATAATATACCGCATTCGAAAACTGTATGATATTTGCGTCCCTACTTGTACAAACGTCTGACATGGTCATAAAACATAAAACAAAAAAGAAAAGAACTTAACCAGCTATACGGACTTCTTTCTAGGTTACTTGATAAAGGTTCTAAATTATCGGTGACTAATAAATTAACTATTTACAAAGTTCTCACTAAACCAATTTGGACATGTGGTATCGAGCTATGTGGAACGGCAAAGAGATCAACTATAAAAATAATTTAGTCATTTCATTCAAAAGTCCTCCGAAAAATTGTTGAAGCACCCTGTTACGTTTCAAACCTTATGTTACACACTGACCTTGACACTCCTTTCATTATGGCAACTGCCACAGACCGCTTTTATAATTATCTGACTCTAACAGACTGACTCTAAATTCAAATCCACTTACTCAAGCTCTATCGACTGCTACAAATCCTTATAATTCGCCCAGAAGAGTGCTGAGGCGCTGGCCAAGAGACTTGCTGAGTTGCATTGAGCTACTTGCTGTGTTATCTTTTGCTTTTATGTTATCATGTTATCTTATTTTCATTTCACTCCTTTTTTTTTATATATACGTATATATTTTTTTGTTATTTTATTTTTTTGCTGATCTGTTGTCCTTGATATCATATTTTCTGAATATAGAAGTAGATGGCAAATTTATTGTATCCCAGATATATGTGTAACTTATAAATAAATAAATAAAATACTTGATTTTTAATTGATATTTATATAAAAAACTAAATCAAACTTTGATGTTTATTTATTCGATTAAAAATAATGATCATTCACTGAGTGATACTGTTAAACATAAATGATATTGATTACATTGTGATAAAAGAAATGTTGACCAGAAAATAAAAACCACCTTTTACACGCAATATGATCAGGATATGATTTTTATCGCTTGTGATAAAAAATAAAAACAGGTCTTAATAAAAATCATCAAATGATTTTTAAAAATTCCAGATCAAAATTTTGATCAGATTTGATTTTTGTTTTGACGTTTTAATTATCGATTCCAAGCTCTGGTTTTATTACAATTCTTATGGTTCCTACCTATTATAATAATCTTGTAAGTTACACCTAACCTTGTATTTTGTTTCGGATTGTGACCATAATTACCAGAAACAGCAATGTTCACTAAGGTAGAAATAAAAATTAGGCGACAAAATATTTTAAGTTATTGAAAAAGTCCGATCTCAACGTAAAACGGCTTTTTAGAGATACACATATTTATTATTTTATTGGAAACCGTATCCTGCATGTTTGGCAATCCAGAATGTTATCTTTGGCCAATTGTCTCACGGAATTCCTTCTTTAGGGAAGATATATACTTTCGATACTTGTTTATTTTTTTCCTTACCATCCAACCTCACCGCCTGATTTAAATGATTATTCTAAAATCTTACTGTAGGATCCATAATTAGTTGTGTATTTTCTGTCTCAGAGAATCATGAAAAACCACGTAAACTTAATTAAATATATAGCCCAATGGTAAATATCATTTAATATTCATGTAGATAGATAGATTGAACAACAACAGAAAGTTGAAACATTTTTAAATTAAGATAATGCTAATGAAAAAATAAAAGGCACTTTAATTCAATGTACCCGCAGGAAACACGAGAACGTCTGGGAATCCCAAAGACGGATCTTATGAAAAAATTACAGTTTCTCTTTGACGTTGTAGGAGAAATATTTGTTGCCAAAGCCTTGTATAGTCTATTAGCCTTATATATATATATATATTATATATATATATATATATATATATATATATATATATATATATATATATATATATATATATAAGGCTGAATATGATACATATTCACTGATGAATTCAATTACTAAAAGTGTCATGCATCTTCGTGTTATCAAGACATTAAAAATCAGCTATAAAATTTCCCAACTCATTATAATTTAATTTATGGTTTCAGGGAAGGCGAAATGAATTTAATCTACCTGATGCCATATGCCTGCGCCATGTTGCATAACTGGTCTGGAATTCGTTGATTATCATCATTATACCAGTCCCAATCCAGGTCTTTGCAATTTGGAGTAGTATTAATTTAATTGTAATTGACAAATCAGCCATATTATGTTACCTATTTAAAAGAAAAATGTGGCTGTTAGTCATTCATCAGTCTACCGTAGCACTATTTAACATGATCTCACTATGACATTACTTAAGAATCTTGCTGTGGGCATGAGATTGATTGTATGTCATTAAATGTGTTAATGATTGATTGTTAGATCAAATGCGATTTGAAATACTTGTTCCAAACAAATTTCGATTTGACAAACGCTTTAATAAATAGCCGTTGTGCTGACCAATCTGTCTCCCAGAACAAGATTTATGCTCTTCGTCTGCGTAACAGACCTCTTTTTATCAAATTGCTAACATCCTTCTATATTTTATTTATTAATTTATTTATATTAATTTTTAATAATAAATATTTATATAAATATAAATATTTGAATATTTATATAAATATTTAAATATTTATATAAATATTTATAATATATAAATATTTAAATATTTATATAAATATTTATAATATATAAATATAAATATTTATTTTATTTATTTATTTTATTTTTATAACCATCACTACTTGTGTTTCTCATCCTTCTAAAACTTCGTGGATGGTTTCATCATAACCTACAACTTTTTATCCACGAAAATTCTCATAAATAGGGCATTAAATAAATTAATTTAATGAGGTATTAAAAACTCATAGATAACCATTTGCTTTCCAATTGAATCGTAAGATAATTTAATCACATGATCGAGAAAAAAGTTGTCCTTCAAAAACATTGGCCGTATGGTCTATATAACCTCGTTATTTTGACACGCTGGAGATGAAGTGAATGCCAAATGACCCAATGTAGGACACTTTTTTTCTCGATTATTGAATCAAATCATATTACGATTCAAGTGAAAAATAGATGAGTAATTATGAGTTTTTACTATCTCATTAAATTAATTAATTAGACAAGAATCTTGTAGGTTACGATAAGATGAAGCAGTTCATGAAATTTTATAAATTTTATGGGTGATGACAATTAGATAAAAAGAGGTCTGCACTGCGAACTGTAAATCCAAGGAAGTAAAACAAGGTGCAACAACTGCTTCCTACATAAACAGAGAGAGCAATTAACTCGAAGATCTGAGTTACAGTAGGGGGAGAAAGCGCATTGATGAGGAAATAAATACACACCTGGGAATAAGAATGATAATGGCGAAAGAGGACTGGAGAGGCTAGCATTGAATTAAGAATAAATAATAGACAAGAAAGAAAATATAAATTAAAATTTCATGGTTTTACTTTCTAAAATTAAAAAGGTGGATTTTCGTTAAATTTTGTAAATACCAATCAACAATAGTTATAGAACCCTTTGCCATCTTCTCGTTTTTAAAAATAAAAATTAAGGCGACAATTTTAGTCACTATATTATATACTAGGTAGAACCAATATACTTTTGCATTTACCTCTTCCAGTTTTTCATTCGGGGTTTAGTTAGGTTTCCCCATTCTGAACAATGACATTAATAGTTCTATAGTATGTAGTTGTAGCGGTTTTTAAAAGGTTGTTGATTTTTTATAAAATAATCAAAAGATCGTCTAAATCGGACTAGCTTTAGCGACGTTACAGTGTATTGAATTTTATACATTGATTTTAATAATTGATCACTTGCCCGTTTACATTGCTTTAGTTCATCGAATAAATCGTACTCTAATGATTTCTCTGATCGGTTATCAGGACAATTAGTCTAACTCAATTGTGTAATTTTTAATTAACATATTTAAAACTGAAAAAAAAATTAAATCGGTAGGAAACTTAGTGAGTGGACACACAATATTTTTTTATATAAATAATTAGTGACATTGTATAGATTGTCTTTCCTCTACAACTCTTCCATTCCAAGGTGGGGACCTATCACTAACATTCTTAGCAATGCGTTAAATGTATTATCAAGTTAATTTTTATTAATTTGATTGGACTTTACTACGCTTATGTCAATAAAACATCTAAATGTCACTATTCTGTAGAGTTTTTCCAAGATCTAAACAAGTACATGTGTAATAAATAGCAAGAAGCACTGCGGGTCCAGTGTTTAATTTTGGGGGGGACTTCAGCCCGAAAGATTTTTTTTTTATATACATATAACAAACAATAATTAATTAGAAAAAAAGAAAAAAATTAACTACCTATATGAAATGGTGTTTAAGTGGTCCTTGAAGTCCTATTAAATGTAATTAAGGGAACAAGAATACTTTAAGTTAAGAGATAGTTTTTATATTTTTTTATTTGTAAAACAATGTTATATTTTATCATTTTGGGAGGCTTCAGCCCCAAAGCCCCCCTCTCTTCTCCGTAGATCCGCCTGTGGCAAGTAGCTAACGCGTTTGAATAACATGCGTTGCCCGGAGCAACGCATGATAAACTGAAGTTAATGATTTAAAATCCCGGTGCCGAAGGGGCTTTTAACTCCGACTCAATTTCTCCATCCTCAACCCTAGACCTGCAAAGACCATATATAGGCGAAAAGGCGAGGAAGAGTTTTAAAAAAAATATAAAAGTCCGTGACCTTTGTTATGAGTTTTTAAATATGATGTCCGAATGCCATCTTGCAGGGATAGGTGCAAATCTATATATAATGTTTTGTTACTCACATACGTTGATGAAGGCGTTGTCAGTTTTGAGTTAAGTTAAGATTTTGTTTGGAACGTCTTTAGTTTTTTAACTGTCCCGTACATTTTTGAAGCGTGAGTCCATGAGGTTTCTTTTTTTTTTTTTTTTTTTTAAATTTGAACAACAATAATGGATATGATGTAAATAATGCAATGCAAGTAAAAGAGAAAATTAATCGTATAAATAAGATAGATAAAAGAGAAAAATTAGTAAGCTATGATACTGAATCCTTATTTACGAACGTTCCACTTAATGAAATACACAAAATATTGGGGAAAAAATGGGATGAAATTGAAGCGTACACTGATATTAAAGATAAAAATGTTTTTACGGAAGGTATTAAATTAATTTGCGATAATGGCTATTTCTCCTATAATAATAAATATTACAAAATGAAAAATGATCTACCGATGGGCGGATGTATGTCAATCAATCTTTCGGGCATATATCTTAATAATTTAATAGATAATGCTATAATTAAATTGGAAAGAAAACCGACGCTTATTATAAAATACGTGGATGACATACTTGCAATAATAAATAAAAATGAATCTGTTAATTTTCTTGATAAACTAAATGATATATCAGATAAACTTAAATTCACAATGGAAAGTGAGAATAATAACAAAATTTTGAGTTAAGATAAGATTTTGTTTGGAACGTCTTTAGTTTTTTAACTGCCCCGTACATTTTTGAAGCGTGAGTCCATGAGGTTTTTTTTAAATTAAGTGTTATTTATTTTTGTTTCATTCTTAATGTGAATCCTTTGTGCCTGAGAAAATTTAAAACCCTTAGTGAATTGTTTCGGGTATGATGTTTCTGTTTAATGTGTCATAAACAATGGATTTTACTAAAACAATACTACATGTAAACTGTAACTATTCAAACACTCAGGCTGCGACAGTACATTGATACAATGTTAATTGATACAATATACAATTGACAATATGCAATTGATACAAAAAACAAAAATAAAGCAACGGAATGACATTTAAAAAATGAAAAACTGGTCACTAGAAACTAACCCATCTTTAAGATTTATAAGGAAATATTTTTATAGCTATCATTTTACTTAATATGACTAGTTTTTTTATGTTGTCTTAATCCACGAAAAATGCATTTTCTAATTTGAATATTGGAATACTCAGGGATTGGATTACTTACTTAATTAATATGCCTATCGAATATGGATTTCAATTTTTAAAGGTTATTTGTTAAGAAGTTACTAATATCATTTACAAAAATTGAATTGTGACAAATTAATAACTGTGATCACTTACCCTGTACATGATGTTAACGCGTATGGTTCCTGTAACCGTCTGATTCCAGTTTACTAGGCAAGCTTCTTTTTATATGGAGTAACTACTTCCTAAATTTTATGTAATGTTAGCTTCCTGTTGTCGTTAACTGGGAACAAGTTTTCCTGTCCATCCTTATGGTCCTGTTGGCGTTCTCGACTCTAGAGATGACGCTTCGGAGACATTTTTTTCTCAACTCCTTTCTCCTTCTGAGTTCGTGCATTGGAAGTAACATTGCACACTCCGGACATGTACAGATCACGAGTTGCATCGAAGAGGATTCTAAATTTCTTGATGTGAGGAACTATTACATGGATTCGACATCCAACCCTGATTTATCCAAATTAAGGTAAAATTGTGAATCTTTATCAGTTTTAAAAAAATTAAATTTATCTATTTTTAATCATAATCAACCTAAACCACATAGGTTCAGCTATGATTTTTGAATAGTTTATATATATATATATATATATATATATATATATATATATCTGTAGATCTTTTGTTCCCTTGACCAGCCTTCTCCTATTGCATCTTTGTTGATTTGGTGTCTTGCCTACTATTGAGGCACAGCAATGAAGGCTTTCTGATGGATTACTCTGAGCTACATAACGTATAATAATAATCATGACTATTGAAGTTTGATTAAAATGTAATGTGATTATAAAAACTTGTACATTTTGATGTACTTAGATATATCACCAGAGAGAAGAGGGAAAGACTGGTGTCTTAAATCCTTTCTTAAGGCAAATGCCTCAGAACATGTTGTTAGCTAAATTTATGGGAACTCTTAATTTAATTAACACGTTTTATATATATATATATATATGAAGAAGAAAATCGTAGGAGCACCTGCTTATAATGAAACTTACTTATTTTTCTCAAATTGTTATGAACCTGTCGCTTTTCCTCTTTATTGTTTCATTGATATAGTTTTGTTTTAAATATTGTTGATTTTGTATGTTGTTATAACATGTCTGTTGTAGCCCTGAAGACCTCCTATGTAATGGGGTGACATGTCAGCATTCATTAAAAAAATTTTGAATACTATGTTTGTGTTAATTTAACCGCTCCCAAACCCAATTCTTCTATATTGTATAAAGTAAGTTATAGGTAAATTACAAGTGTATCAAATATTAAAATTTCCTTTATTTAAATATTATTTCAAACACTAAGAAATGAGGAGATAGATAGAAGTCATCTTAGTTCCAATTTTTTTTTTTTTTAAAGAAAAAAGGAAATATATAGATTGGTGATTTCATTATTTATTATTATTATATTATGAATATTCTATAAATGTATTATTATTATTTAATATAAACTAGTGGCAAATAATGGTTTTTACAATAAATACTTTTAAAAATAAAGAAATTAAAAAAAATATTCAATATATTTTATGAAATATTCAGAGTCTGTGTGTATGTGAAAAAAATAATTTATAAATATAGCATACAATTATCTATTATTCGGTGCTGAATTGACCAATTAAAAAAAATCCAACTTATCAGTTAAAACTGAAAAATTGGTGTTTTGAGACCTAACATCTTCTATTACAAGCATGAAAAGAATGATGGAGGGAAATAGCATTTAACTTTGAATAAAGATGTTTGGTTTTTTAATATTTTTGTATTAGTAGAATTGTATACTAATCTTAAACTAAGGAAGAGTGCAAAAGAGCCAAATATAGCTACGGTTAGTGTTAAAGGTGGAATGTCAAAATTGAGTTTTTTCATTTAAATGATATGAAAATATATTTTGTTATTCTGGGACTGTTGTTCCTTTAGAACAAATTATAATTACAGAATACATGACTGTGTGGTCATAAATAAATTAAATATTTACAATAGTAGTTAATTAAAAGTAAAAATACAAAAGAAAGAGAGAGAAAAAAAAAAGCGTACATATATGTATATATAAAACAAACAAAGGAAACTAAAATAACATAAGTAAACAGAAATAGTATCTGGGGCACTTAAATAGGTATATAATGTATATTTTGTAAACAGTTGGATTGAGAAAAGAGTAGGTGAGCATAAAAACTGATTATTTCTTTATGATTTATTGGTGTAATTTCATATTTTATTTCTCTCTGCTATTTTCACACATCTGTTTTAGCAGTTGCAGACTATAAAATTTCACTTTTAGTGCAAAGCAAATAAACATGTAAAATTATTATATACAACCTTTTGCACTAACAGTACCGATATATATCATATCAGATAGATATAATATATAAAAGGTAGATTTTAACAACATCAAATAAGAGAGAGTCAAATATTGAGAAATGGATCTTTGTGAATATTTTAGACCTTTTTGAATATTTCTTAAGAGATCTAGCGTTCCAAAAGGAAATTTTGTAAAGCATTGAATTTACAATGAATTCAAAATGAAGTTTTAAGACTTTTATCTTTAAAAAACAGATAAAGAAAATGACATAAAATCCTCTACAAGTTATATTTTTAATAACATATGAGGTGACACACTCTTTAAATTAAGGTGAAGTTTAATCTCATCCTTTTACAATTCAATAAACTGTTTCATTACAATATTAAAGGTTGATTATGTCTATTCTAATGATTTATTTGTAAAATCTAGGATATTTATTAGATTATATTTAATTTATTAAAATAATAATAATAAGTACTTAATTTTGCATGAAAATCTACTTTGATTATACTTTCTTTATTTATTACTTTTTTTCTATGATTTGATAAGAAAATGATTTTTTAGCAGCATTTTTCATGCGATTTTCAAGTTTATAAAATACAGCAATATAATTAATATATTTTTTTTATATTTGAAAATGTTTTTTAAATTTTTTTCTTTTTGTTTTTAATTTTTTTAATTGTTAATTGTTTTAACAAGACTAGCAATATATAATAAAAACTATATGAACATAGTTATATTATTATGATGCATTGCTCTTAAGAATAAACTATTAGTGAGTTTTATAGATAGGTATTTTATTATATTATTTTATTGGTACTTTTTGTTGTAATAATGTTTTAAGATTTTTAAAATTTTTAGGATGATATTTCTATTACAATAATTCTTATAACATTGTTCTAACATTGCACTTATTACACAGTTTTCGTTGTTAATAAGCTCTAATATTTTATATAAAAAAATATTTTTATATAAAGAAAAATATCATATTGCAGGAAGAGAATGTGAAGGCCGCAACTCAACAATATTTTTTTGTTAGACCAAACATTTTAAGTTCAAAATCGAAGATCCCAGCTTTACAGGTTTTCTCTCACATATTCCTGGTTGATTTCCTGTCATCTATTGGCTTGGCCTATTAAATAAGCTGTTAAAATTTCAGGATCTATAAAATTTTGAGCAGGACCCCTTTTTATAGCCAAAGTGTGATATGTAATGAAAGTTCTGCATTTTCTTTCATTTTTTGCTTGAAAAATATTTATTTAATGGTAAATCTATGCTCACTTCCATATTGGTGCCCGCAGAAGAAGAGGACAAGTGCCAAGAAGACCTCCAGATTCTGGAAGCTAGGGCGAAACAGAAGAAGAAAGAACAGGAGAACTGCACATCATACACATCATGTTAACTAGTAGTAGTGTGTTATTAAGCATTCATGCCTAATAACATATTATCGCAAACACCCGTATTGCCATAGTGGCATGGGAGGGTGAAATACATAAATAAATAGGTAAATCTATGTCAAGTCTGATTTAATTCTGCTCTAATTAGATTTTCAATATCAGCAAACAGAACTTTTGTAACATGAAATTGTTATTACATTTACCACTCTGAGCCATATAAATAATTTGTAACAAACGGCAGCACCATTGACAACTGAATATGTTCAAAATATTTCATATCCACCAAAAACACACGCATCAACATTCCAGTTTTTACTAGTTAGCTATTATTTGAAGATTCTAAAAACAAATCATTAAGTCTCTCTATGCCAGCAAACAACTAACAAGTCAATGCTGACATAATAATCACTTATATAAACCTTATATTGTATTACTAATTAATGCATGAAATTAAATTGATTATTTATACCTAAATTGTTCTTAGAAAGTGATAAAAATGAAAAAGCGACTTTGTGACTTATGTTGATGACATTTTTAGCACATCCCAGTATATTCGTCCAATAATTTAAAACCTGCAATTTATAATAATACTAGAGTTTCTATCACTTCAACTTTCAACATTACATGCATAAAATTGTTAACTAATCTAACGTAAGCACCCAGCTCATATGGTATAGAATAATATAGGTATTTAATGAGAAAATAATTTTACAAAAGTATAAAAAAATGTATTTAGCTATTTACTTAATTACATTATTGTACAAAATCACATATTAACTTACAAATTTACAAATGAAATATTACTCTAATGCTAGTATTTCCCATCATGATATTTTGGTGGAATTATATGTTTAGTGATCTGTTCAACATCGGCTCCATGAGTGTGCAGCTTAATGACTGATGTCGCTGCCTCCCCAGAACTGTATTCTGAACTGTAACCCTTGGTGTTGTAGCCTTGGGATGAGCTGTAACCCTTTGATGACTCGAGGCTTCCATGAGAATCACCATAGCCTTTTGATGACTCAAGGTTTCCATATAATGAACCGTAGCCTTTTGAGGACTCAAGGCTTCCATATGATGATCCGTAGCCTTTTGATGACTCAAGGCTTCCATATGAAGAACCGTAGCCTTTTGATGACTCAAGGCTTCCATATGAGGAACCGTATCCTTTTGATGATTCAAGGCTTCCATATGAGGAACCGTAGCCTTTTGATGATTCAAGGCTTCCATATGTGGAACCGTAGCCTTTTGAAGACTCTAGGCTTCCTAGTGATGAACCATAGCCTTTAGATAACTCGAAGCTTCCATGGGATGAACCATAGCTTTTTGAATATCCAGAGCCTCCTAGAGAAGAACCATAGCCTTTAGATGACTCAAAGCTTCCATGGGATGAACCATAGCCTTTTGAATATCCAGAGCCTTCTTGAGAAGAACCGGATCCATAAGCTATATGGGATGATGAACTGTAGCCTCCCTTGGATGACCCATAGCCCTCATGTGATGAACCATAACCTGCTCCATGCAACAAACTATATCCACCTTGAGCCTTACCATATCCTTCTTGTGGTGAGCTGTAACCACCATGGGAAGTTGCATATCCACCTTTGGATCCATAGCCACTCTCAGGGATCTTATGGAAGCTGCTGTAACCGGTTTTTTGGCCGTTGTTATTTTCTGAAGCTCCATAATAATGGTATCCTCCTTTTCCTGAGGTGTAGGCTGAAGATTCATACTCACTTACTTCGTGGACTTCTGGTTTGTGAACTGCGAGAAGAGCTGGGTACTTTGATTTATAGCCTCCAAAGCTACCTGCTCCTTCTACTTTGTATCCACCAGCTTGGCTAGCTTGGTGATAGGAATGGTAGGCAGGCTGGACATGTGAGCTCACAGAACCATAAGACCCTTCATTAGATCCAGAGCCCTTGTAAGAACTTTGTTGATGGTAGGTTGGCTCATGGTGGTAGCTGGGTTCATGATGATAATGTTTATTATCACCTTTGCCGCTTTCATAGGTAATAAAATTGTGGTATGATTTAGCCTGGCCTGCAGCTTTGTAGCCTCCACTGGCATATCCTTGGGCCTCTGCTGCTCCTGACTGATATTGGTGATATTTCCCTTCAGACTCAGTTTTATATAAGCTGCTTGGAATTGGATGAAATCCTGATTCGTATTTTGGAGATGATTGATCTTTGTAGTAAACTGATTGTGGTTTCTTGTAGGAAACTTCGTGCTTATATTGTTCGGCAACTCCGTGATATGAGGGACTTCCAGATAACTTAATTTCATGACCACCTTGGTAGCTGGATGATCCGTAAGAATTATGTTGCTTTAAATCAGAATTTGCTTCATAAGACTTATAACCTGATTCCAAAGCACTTCCGTGAGAATACTTTTGTTCTGATCCATGCCCCAATCCATATCCAAAATGGGATTGTGATCCTCCTGTATAATGGCCAAGACCAACAGAGCTCTGTTCGTGACCGAGACCACTTAGATGGTAGCTTGAAGATCCGATGGACGACAATGACTGGCCAGACTTGTAACCTTCGGAGCCACCATAGCTAGCGTGAGATTCGTAAGCTTTTCCACCTTCAGATCCATATTTAAGTTTTGAGTCGTGTCCTAGAGAACTGAAGCTCTGACTAGAGTGGTAACCGTGAGATGCTCCTGCAGATGAACCCTGGCCAAATTGGTATCCAGCAGAAGCCTGTCCAGCACCTGACTGATATCCATGGGATTGAGATCCTAATGAAGGCAGATGACCTGACTGGTAGCCTGAAGATTGGTGACCAGATCCATAATTCAAACCTGAACTTACTCCGGAAGAACTATGGCCCTCGGCTGCCTTATAGCCTTGCTCTCCATGATATCCAGAAGATTCTTGGTTGTACTGGGCTCCACCGTGATGTTGACCTTCATGATGTTCTTCATGGTGACCATGTCCATGGTGGTGACCATAAACTGTGTACTGAACTTTTGTTTTCGAACCATCTTTTTCGGCGATGGTGTATTCACCCTGTGTGCTATCTCCATTCCTTTCTTCTTTCCTTGTCTGGACACCTCCTCCATGAGGATCGTGCACTTCTAGTTCAAACTTGTATTGTGCCTTGCCATCTGATTGCACTGCCACAAACAGACCCGCAAGCAACAATAACTGAAACAATTAGAAATTTATACTTTAATAAATTGTAGAAGTTGAATAAAAAAAGTAACACAAGTGAATTAATAAAAAATAAATAAGGGTAATTTAAATAATAAATTTCAACAAAAGTGTAGTTCAGTATCTAATAGTCAGTTAAATAAGTGTTATTATTCATCATACCGATTCTTAAAGATTTTTCTTGTAAAATTATTAATTTTGAAAATAAAGTAATAACAGAAGATGTGATACAAGTAAACGGTTTTTTTTTCATTCATAGATTGTTGATATTGTTTGTTGCTAATATTCATTCAAACTTGTTAAAGGATATATAATATATAAATTCTTGACTACCCGTCTGTAAAATATTTGAAAGAATAAAAGCGACACATTAATAATCTCTTATTTTATTAACCAGTCGTGCAGGGTTAGATTTTTACTGGAGCTAGTTCTCTTTTAAGATGAATAAAAAAAAAAAAGTATACCATTAAACTGCAACTACACGATTTAAAATTTTATTTGGTATACTACATCAAATCTTGATATTTTAATCTTCAATAACTTTCAATCCCAAATATTTACCGGATTATTGATCAACCGTTACCGAATGAGGGGCATTATTTCATTGTTACCTTTGAATGATTAATCGTTGTTTATATGTTTCCTCAGTTGGAAGCCCGATGAAAAGGAGGTTAATGTTTCACCATTTCTATTAATCTGTTGCAATGGCTGGTTTTCAAAGACAGGCACTGTTTCCTAGTGATTTAACAGAACAGCTAGACAGTTGAGTGGAATTTCAACTTTCTAAATGAAGGAACCAGCAATGGTTTGATTTTCCTCCGTTATGTATATAGGCGAACAGGTACCGGAGCAGTTCCTATCATTAGGACGAAATGTGTAAATGGGGCTTCCTGTGGCAGTTGTAGGCGAGTTGCTGATTGACATCTGGCCTACTGGGGCAATTCAACACCTCGCTAGACGGGTTTCGTTTGCAATATCGATTTGTTTAAGTAATTCTTGACGCAATCGATTTGTTTTTATCATTTCCCTTTTAAAGGAATTTAATACTGATTGGACTCCAGGAATCTTGATACGCGTTATGTCATGGTTACAAGCCTATATTCGTTGTAATAATATATCATTAAGAAAAAAAAAATCATACAGTTATTCTAAAAAATATAATCGTTTTTTATCCGAGTTTTATCTAACGCTCACTACACTTCATTTATATTATTACATAGGTGGCCAGAAGTGGGTTTGAAATTTTTGAGGAGGACACATTTCGGCTGGCTTAAGAATTTTCGAAATGAAGTTCCGTACTACGGGATTTGGAAAAAAAATGGAACCGACCGCAGCAAGTGTAATTGTGTATGATCTACGATTTTTCTAATTCCACTTTCGCTTATTTTATTTTTAAGAAAAAGCTAGCGATAAAATATCTTGGGAGTAGCGAGGGTAGGTTCTTGCGCTATCGACCTTGAGGGAGATAGACATCCCTGTATTATTGTGTGATACATAATGTATTGAAGCGGAGTTTTACACATTTTTAAACACCACAAATACATGTAATCACAAAAGCTTGGTAAAAAATAACATGAGGTTTTAAAATGCTTGTGTTTATGCGGGTACAGAGAATTTTTTTGGTTTTAGCCACTTCATTTAAACAGAAGAAATTAAAAATATAAAAACAATTAAAATATAGCAATATCCGATGAAATATCTCGTAACACTTATGTGATAAACTTTTGTTATTTTTAAAAATTTAACACTACTTAATGCACTCAATATTTTTAACTGATTAAAAACCATACATCAAAGTAAGTGAAAAAATTAAAATAATACATCTTGAATTTATTCATTGGTTCATCAACTAAACGTACAGGGCTATAAACGTGCATTGTGACGATCCATTCCTGTGTTCTAGTATTGGGTCTGAATTAAAATATTCCATAAATAAACCAATTAAACTTCATTGACCTTGACTGAATTTAAATTTTGAACGATTCTGGGCTCGTTTCATACATGTTTCATCATAATCGTTTTAAGCAATTTTCCCCAAGAAAATAATGTAATATTAATATAAATCAATTAAGTAAATAAGATATGATTAAATTAATTTAACTGTTTAACTCATATTCTTTCTTATTTTAACAATTTTGCTTAACGTGTTCCCTCTGGCTTTGTAAGTTCCTAGCCGAGTCTAATGGATTTGTTAATTATCCGAATTAAAATAATACATTAGATATTTAAAAAAAAATAATTTATCGTCATCTTATTATAGAGAGAACATTTTATTTTCAATAATTGAACAAAATAAAACCGTTAATCCTCTCGCAATTAAAATGCTATATTATTTATCATAACAATCTTTATAATACTCCATTTTTATAACTGAGCGCGTGTAAAGAATTAAAACATTTTATTAAACCTTATGGATATATAACATTTATTTTTGTGAAATTCGATCATTGGTCACCCAGTATATAATTTGTTTTTTATGCTTAGGAGTATAACCAACGTTTTGATGTTGATAAAAAATATAAATATGTATAAAGCGCAAAACAATAAAAATTCCAAAGCAACGATGATATATTTTTTGTTGAAGGAAACGGATCTAAATTTTTAAAAAATAAATAAAAACTATCTTCGTAAGAATATTAATGTTAAGAGTTCTTATAGCACATCACTACAATATTTCCGCTTTGCAAAATACATATTTAAAATTTAGTCACACCTAACTGAATAGGAGTAATATGAGCAAGATAGATTTTTTATGTATTTACACCGTTTGTTGGCACCTTGTTACTAACTAATCATCAATTTTTAATGCTAGCAAAGCAATAACATTACTTTGACACGTAATTTGTTGATATTGGTTAAACTTTTTTTTTATATGACTGTAAATTATTGAAGAGTTTTTCTAAGATTCAAAGGTTTAATTTTAAAGTCATTTTAAGTTTTAATATTAACAAAGGAGAATTTTCTAAGATATCGATTGATTTAAAATTTGTATTCTTAGTTTTAATCATTTAAAATAAAATATTTGAGAAATAAATTCGTCAACTTAGTAAAAGTTAAATATATTTGGTATAAGTGTATTAAACTGTCGTAAATTTAATTATATTGAACTGTAATTACAAAATTTGTAAAATGTAATCTATTTTTTTTATTTTCAATTTATTTATTTTTTTAATCGGACGAATTAAAACGATATTTTACCTATTATGTTTATTTTTTTTTTAAATTTAACTTTAATTTTAGTTTAAGTTTATAACAAACAAAGGGTGAGCTCCATCGCGTAATTTGAAGTTAAAAATAATGAAATAACAGAAACTATTGTAAGGACATAAATCTCCTTAAAATACAAAAAATGACAAAGAAGAAGAAATTTATTATTTCATTACTATTATTTGAGTTTGCTTAAATCTGATTAGAACAATAGGACATCATTAATCCTCACGGAATTAAAATTCTATATTTTTTGTTATAAAAATGTTTTTGGTATTACTTTAAAATTAAAAAAAAAACTAATAAAAAAGGATCTAAGAAAAGATTTTTTTAAAAATTATAACACAATAATTTTTATGCAATATTTTTCATTAATTTTTCTGTGAAATTTTGTAGTTTGAATTCCTCTTAGAATTAATGATTCAACACGGGTGAAATTGATTTGAATTTATATAAATCCAAGACATTTTAAAAATAATTAAATATATCCAAGTAAACACAGACAAATAATCAATTTGTAATATAATTGAAATTCATTAATTTAATAAAAGTTGATTAAATTATTAATCAGATCATGATGAATTTAATGCTTTTAATTAAACATTTCTAGATTAGGATTTTAATGAAATAAAATATTATTCTTGTAGATAATGAGAAACAAAATTCGATAAATTATAAACGGAAGCGATATTGAATTATAAAGATAATTATATATATATATATATATATATATATATATATATATATATATATATATATATATATATACATGTGTGTGTGTATGTAATTGTAGAGGAACTGTACCCACCTTGTACATTCTGCCTTGATGGAGGTTGGTCTGTTTCTGACGTTGTGCCGGCTGGGAGCCGGTTATATAGTAGATCGCGTTCTGTCTTCCACCAATTAACCCCACAGCTTTCACCACATATTCCATAGCCAAACTTTTTTATATAATGTTGCCCAAATTTTCGAATGATATCCGAGATGGCTGCTTGAATGCTCGGGTATCATGGCTTACCGGTAGGATAGTGGAAGGTGTTTAAGAAGCGCCCCATTGTTTCACAACTGGTCGACTCATCCCAACCACCTTTCCCTCACCAGACTGTCATTCAATTTTATTTATTTGTTATTATTATTTATTTGATTATATCCATATAATAGGTCGTTAGACTGGAATAATGAGTAATTTCATTGCGATTAAGTGAATAAACATGCATATATTTTTTATTTTTTTTTATATGAATATTCGTCTCTTCTTCAGATCAGCCTACTTATAGTACACATATTCCAATAGGGGTCTTCATTATATCCAACGTGTTCCATTTTTAATATATAAATAATTTTGTTTAAAAAGTTAGTTGGTGGTTGCAGTGACAGTGAAACACAAATAAAAAATATGTATATTTCTTTAGAAATAGAAATAGAAAATAAACTTTATTCTGGGACGATGTCCCCTTAGAATAACAATAATGTACAGTTACAAAAGAAAAAAATACACATATGGCCAAGTACTAACTTAATAAAGATTCAAACAATATATACAACAACTTAAATAATAGTATGTAAATTACTAAAAAATAAAATAAAATCTTGTCAACTGTACTTATAATTTTTCTGGAATAAATAACAAAATAAAAGGAAAAAAAAAAAAAGAATTACATGCATAGAAAGAAAAAGCAATAGAAAGATGTATATGTATACAAATTGAGGAATGTAAGAAATGAAATACGTCTAAAATATACACAATCTTGTAGATGGAAAAAAGAAAAATGGATAAAAACAACAAACAATCTCTTACTTTTTATGCATTACCTCAGAGTGCTATGGCAAAAGTGATACTGAATATTTCCAATTCACAAATAATAAACAAAAAATAAAATAAAATAGTGGTGTATGAAAAAAAAAAAGATCATCCTTGTTGATCATACATAATTAACCAGCGTCTGATTGGGTTGTGAAGAGGATTTTTAAATTTTAAATTATGACTTAAGTTTTAGAGTAGTAAACGAATTATGTTATTGTAGCAGGTAACATATATTTTGTTATCATACATTTTCACAATAGATTTATTATAATTTTATTTGTCTGTTACCTTGTATTTTCTCAGGCCTGAAGATAGCCTGAAATTTAGGCCGAACGTCATCACAAAATATAATAAACAATAGATTCTTTTTTTTAAATTTTTATTTACGTTTCTTACTCTAACAGCAACCCTCAACTAACTTATCTATCATTTTACCACTATTTATCAACCATTATAATTTATTTTTTTCGTTTTCAGAAATATAATTTAAGAAACAATGACAAAGAGTTTCATATCATTTCACCGCTACATTTTATTTATTTTTTTAATGCGTGTGTTAAAATTTTTCGCATGACTAATTTTTGACCAAATTAAAAATATTATTAATACATTTGAAAAATGAATATATTAGTTTTGAGTAAGTATTTTCCACTTATTTACATATTTATGGAAATTAATTTTATGAATTTTTTTAATGTAGCTCTATTTTTTCTAGTCTCTATTTTGTATTAAAAACGATAAATTAAAAAAAGTAATGAAATAAATTATTATTTTCGATTATTAGAAACAGCCAAAAACAACAAATAAAAAAAATGTTTTTTCCACATTCTTTTCTTTTCAAATAAACATGAAAACTTGAGTTTTCAAAAATAGATAAAATAAATTTCATTTATATAAATATTAATATGCTAATTTTCTGATATTGTAATAATATACTAATGAACAATTGAATATAATACTATTTTAATTGCTTCAGGTACTCCCGTTTACTTTAAAAAACGTACATTAAATAAAACATGATTTTTTATTTCTTAAAGAATTAATTTAATAAACACAGGTACATTTTATTATTATTGGAAGGTTAGTGTGAAATATTAATAACAACAATGACAGAACTTATACTGTTATTTGTTTACTTTTTTGATAAGCTCCACGGAATACGGGGTTGATATCAGATGTAGAGGACGTGAGCGGGATAAGATCCCAAGGAAGGAAGCTATTTTCTAGCAATATGCATAACTAAAGTTCATTTAGTTGACCTGAGTTATTATAAATAAATTATCATTAATTTTTGCTTGAGTCCGCCAGGGTTGAAATGTAGTGCGGTTTATTTTTTGACTAGGTCAGTAAACATCTTGTTCAAACTGTTGTCGGAATTTGTAAACGTCTTCATGTTTTTTATAGTATTTACAATCTAGGGAGTTGAGTCATCGTGCCTAACTCATTCTGCATGAATCTGCTATTGTCCTGTTCGGCAGTCCGCTGGTTCTATCTGGGTGACGTGGTAGGGGGACATTGATCTTTTAAGAGAGGGCCACTGGGAGCTTCGATCTTAAGCTGACCTTCGTTTTCGAATGTCGCATCCGTTCTTGTAGAATGTTCCGAGTCGAATGGCCGATGAATACAGCCACTTGTATCTTACTTCAGATAGCATATTTAATCTAGGCAGGTAGAAGAGGCTGCTGCAGAGTGGGGTAAAGGTGGAAAACAGCTTTAAAAGAATTAGAACTGTTTATCGTGGTTGATAAGCAGTAGGATAAAGATAAGACGTCATTTTTGGAAACAAAAGTTGTGAACGAGCGTTGAATTAAAAAAACTGGGTGTTATAAATACTTATAAATTTCTATTATGGAGATCTGGTAGAAAAACACCACTTCATAACCACTTTGCGTGAATAATATTTGTAAATTTATCATTTTTAATTTTTTTTATTTTTATAAATAAACTGTGTTTTTAGGCAATGAAGTGCATCCTTTATCAAGGGAAAATGAGAAATAAAAGCTTTGCAACAGTTAATTGTAGTCATTTTTGCAGAAAACAAACCTTTGTTGAGAAGTGGGTACTTCTTATTTGATTGATAATGAATGGCGTTGGAGATGTGAACGGTTGAGTCTCTTTTTCGTCTGGAGCTTCAGACGTCCTCATTTCATAGAACAGAATTTAACATCCTTATGGGCTTTCTTCTCTTCGATGGTTTTTAGATAAATGGTGATAGACCATTATATAATGGTAGATAGACCATTGGTGTAACGGCCAAGGAGCACTTTGCATCTATCCATTCTAATTGTTTTAGAGAAGTGGTTAGCCTTTGTTCTGTCATTCTTCGAAACACAACCTTCCTAAGGTCACTAAGGTCTAAATAATAAACAAGGATGTCAACAAAGTTCAACTTTTATAACAATATTTATGACAGAGCTAGGTTATTTTTATTTATTTATTTTTTCTTACCCTCCAAAATGTTTATTGAAACAATTTACATGTATAGTATACATAATAATACAATATATACATGTAACAAATTCCTTCCACTGCCCGGGGGCATTTTAAGGATTGGGGATATCTAAGGGTTACATATGTGACAGAAGGCATAGTAGAAGAAGGCAATGAATAGCAGAACTAGGTATAGTTTTAAAAATGTATACTTATTATATGCGTAATAGTCAAGATTAATGAGTAGTGATGCTTGTGAGATCAAATAAATTTTCAGAAATCCGTTGAAATAAAATAATTGCAAGTTAGTTTTGGTAATTTTTACTAGAAAAAAAAAATGATGAAGAAGCTATATTGACCTAGCACTTTTTTTTTTACTCTTAATCTCAGAATCTATTAAAAATGATCATATATGCTGTTATCACAACAGTGAGTAGGAATCATTATAGTCGTGTTGGGTAATTAAAGGATTATTTCACAAATATTAAAATATTCCCTTGGAACTACCTTCAAACATTTTTATTATTATTTTTTTTTTATTTTAATGGAATTTACAACTCTAATACATAGAAAATACAATAAGTAAATGTGAAATTGGTAACATGACATGTACAACATGAAGAGAAACTACCCATTGGTAGAACTCAAATTAAAGTTCTATATTAGAAGATCCCGAGGCCATCTTCTTTTCAGACGCCTCGGAGGGTTATCAGGGATCGAGGAGGAAGCAAGGTTTGAAACGAGAGGATTCGGATGGTTCTGCAGTTTGTTATGGAAGGACAGGTATCTGGATTGGGCCAAATCTGAAACATATGGAACATTAAGGTCTTTATGGATGATTTTATTTGTGACAAAGTAAGGAGCGTTGAGGATTTTACGAAGGATTTTGGATTGTAAGGATTGGATACGAGAGGAATTCGATGGTTTAGTGGAGCCCCAAAGCTCAATTCCGTAAGTCCAAATAGGTCTTATTATTGTCATATATACGAGTCGTTTATAATTGATTGAAAGCTTAGATCGTTTGTCTAGTAAGTGCTGCAGTAGTCGAAAACGTCGGGCGGTTTCTAGTCGTTTCAGTCTGGTGTGGGTGTTCCAAGTGAGTCGTTTGTCAAGGTGGAGTCCTAAGTATCGGATTTGTTCGACAGGGATAAGAGGGCTATTGTTGAAGGATACTGTAGGACAGGAAGTCATAGGTTTACGACGAAGAGTGAAGGTTATTTGATGGGATTTATTGGAATTTAGAAACATTTTAAATTGTAAGAAATGAATGAATTGTTTGTACGTCTTTTTTCATTAGGTAAGGGTATCTCATTCGTAAGATAAGCTTTTTAGGAAACAGTTAGAACAATGGCTCTATAAGAGGTTGTTGTACCTTCAATGTTATAGTCTCCACGGAATTTTACGTATTTCCGATAAACATAATTATCCATGCTATCTTTTTTTCGTCACGTTTGATGATAAAGCATGTCTTTGATGTCTCTTTGTTCGCACCGGTCACTCTTATCTGTCATAGGTATGAATAAAGAAATGAATTAAAATAAAATGAAATAAAAAAGTATTTGTTTTAGCATTTCTGTCATCGAAATGGCCTCTGAAAAAATATTTTTCATTCAAAATTACATATTGATTTTTAAATAGAACTTTTACAAAACATTTTGTACTCAATTAAGTCCGCAAATAGAAATTATATATCGTTATTT